CTCCAAATGACAAGTTTTTCAGATGGATGTGTCTTCTGATGGTGAGCTATCATTTCTTCAAAGACGACATTTTTAGAAAGCTATTAAAGCTATGTTGATATTTTCTTGCAAGTAACAGTTAAAAATAAAACTTAGAATGAATCTTTTTTTCCTTATGATACTACATTGTATAAGAGAAAATCTGGGAAAATCTGTAATTAACTTCATCTTCTCTGGGACAATCTGTACACTGATAGTGGACAATCAGTACACTGCATCCGAAATTAAAATCATATTTTTTTTAGTATTTTCCTAATCTCCTTAAAAAAGTACTTCCAGCTCTAAGTTTACTTAATTTGCACATTTATATAAGTATTCTATAATTAGAGAAATAACATTTAGATATTTGAATAATATAAGAAAATTACTTCCCATGACTTCCTTGCTTCGGAAAAGTTTCTATTTTTAGGATTGGTCATCAAAATCCATATTGCCCATGGGAGGTCAATGATAAAAATGTATGAATGAAAAGGAAGGTTGCATAATTATTGACACAGATTTTCTTTAATTCATATATAATTACCCTTTTTGATGTTCTCTACATAGGAAAATCAGGAAAAATCAGTAATCAATCTGGGAAAATCAGTACTGTAATCGGGGGAAAATCACTTTCTGCCGTACTCGGTTACAGGTAGTGACTAAGGGAGGAGAATTTTGTTTTCTCTCAGTATCATCAACAGTCCATTAATCGCACTGATATTTTTATTGTCTGTATTGAAAGAAAATAGCCTTCTATGCTGGATCACAGTACAGTCCACATCCTACTTTCAGAAGAAATTTCAGTTAGCCTTTCACTTTTGGAAGTTTGAATTTACTCCAAACTTTTATTTAATGTGAGTTGTTCCCCTTCCTGACAAAAATCTTGGCCATTTGATCAGTTTATAAAGAAAGCAAGAAGATACCAAGGCAGCAATCAAAAAGCATATGTTAAAGACAGCTACCACAATGGCCAAAAGAAAAAAGATAAAAAAAAAAATTGATAAAAGAACAGAGTTCCAATGTCCCCTGCGTTGCACATATTTCATATTTCCAAGGGGCATAACTCTTTAAAAAAAAAAGTCGATCGGCCACCATTATAGAACTTGTCCTAGGTATTGCTGATATTAATCTATAGTATAAGTTTTATAAAAATCTGGCAAGAATTGTACCCGTGAGAGCACTAACGAGGCCATTTTCCATAAATTTAATATTTCCAAGGGGCATAACTCTTTTTTAAAAAATTGATCAGCCTTCATTATAGAACTTGTCCGAGATATTGCTGATATTAACCTTAGTATAAGTTTTATAAAAGTCTGGCAAGAATTGTACCCTTGAGAGCGCGAACAAGACTGGACAGACGCCTGTTATTTCCATTTTCCCCCGCAACGTGTTACGCGGGGGACAAAAAATGGAAATGGGGAATGTGTCAAAGAGATAACAACCCAACCACAGAGCAGAAAACAGCCCAAGGCCACAATGGGTCTTCAACACAGATAGAAAATCCCGAAACCAGAGGTGGGCTTCAGCTGGCCTCTAAACAATAATGTATACTAGTTCAGCGAAAATGGACGGCACACTTACCTCCGAAACATATAAATGAACCAAAATTAAACAAACATACAAGACTAACAAAGGCTACTGGTTCCTGACTTATGACAGGCACAAAAATGTGGCGGGTTAATCATGTTTTGTGAGATCTCAACCCTCCCCCTATACCTCTAGTCAATGTGGAATAAACAAACACACAGCAATACACACAGTAAAACTCAGTTTAAAAGAAGTCTGATTCCAATGTTAGAATAGGTAACAGAACAATACATAGGAGACTCAAAATTGAGGAACATAAAAAAAAAATATGGCAATGACAAGGAGACAAAACCATGGAACAAAGAAAGAAGATAAAAAGCAAACAGAAGTCCACAAAATAATATACACAGGAAATTGAGAAACATGAACTCCACCAAACACTCAGGTGCTTCAGATGAGCAAGCAGATTCTGCTCAGATAGTTTACATATTTATCGAGTGACTCTTTGCACGTAAATCTGGTGATTAATCACAATCGGTGGCTTCATAAGGGAGGATTGGAGGACCTTCTTGAAACCCACTGATCCTTTGTGTATTTTTACAAATACCTGACAGAAAAACTGTAAAGTCTAAAGGGATTGCTGATTTAAACATGCCTACACCTTGATTTACTGACCTATAGAAAAAAAGTTAGCATTGTTTTTTGAACACTGATGCAATAAACCTACATGAAATCATTCCGTTGGTTTTTCCACATTTTTTTTTTTACAGAAGCCAAAAAAATTATTGTCTGTATGTGTTATGTAATGCGAAGCATCAGTGCTATAAAATAATCAAAGTTGTGAATATACTATCTTTCTGTAGAAAATTATGTAACAGTACTACCCCACTGAGATAACATATGTTACAGTTTTTAAGTTTCTGGAATTCTGTATATTTATCAAGTTTTCTCTAATATTTCTCAGCTTGTGTAGTTCTCAATCATAAGGAAAATTTTCATTACAACTAATTATTAACTCAATGTTCTCCTGCTTTCCTTGATCTATCAATAAATATCTTATTTTAAACAACCAAAATATACAAAATTAATAAATTGATCTTATGTGGTCCTTCATAAATATAAGCTAAAATCACAACTTATATTTAAAGTTGTCTGAGGTGTAAGTTTTTTTTTACAAGTACAATTGAAGTAGATATACATTTTTGTGGTAACCAGAAGCTTATGCATAAACCATTGTAAGTCGACATTTTTAAAGGTTATCGGAAAGTCTGGTCTCAAGTATTTTCAAGAGTTTATACAATGTACCGTAGATACTCGCCTAATAGTCGATCCTACTATAAGTCGGGGGCCCTTTTCAGCTCCAAATTCTAAGGATTTAGTCTTGACTCTCGTATAAGTCGGACAAAATTTGGGCATTTTTTTTTCAGCTGACAGTAACTGAACGCCGGTAAAACCAATGCAAATCCAGGAATAATATTCATTTCTGCATTAATGTTTGTTTGGTTTGAATTTAGTTGATGCTCATCATGATAATTTATATTGCTGTTAATAATAAAGATGTATTCATTTCTCTTGTTTTGTTCACTGTTCAAATGTTAGATTAGCCATGTGTTGTTTACATAATGCATCAATGATTTTGTAGGGTATGACTAATAACCTATTGTTTGAGAAAAGCGAATATAAACCAATATGAACCTGAAAAATTTAAAGTCAATCAACACTTGATGAAAATATTTTTCACAGCATACATAACTTGGTGTTAAATGAGCATGTACACTTCATAATTCTTATTATATTGTGATGATTAAAGGATTAAAAAAATTAAGTGAAGCTAATCAATATATTAAAATAACTAACTCCAACTCATTAGTGTCATCTGTTTACCTATCACTGATAGTTTTCACACCTTTAGTAAATACAACTCTTTGTCTCTTAATTGGGGTTATCAATGGATTATATTGGCTTGTCAATCAATTTTGTAAATTTTGTTTACCTGAGACATTATAATGAATAATATTTTGATTTTGGGAATGAATCTTAAAATTATTTTTTGATTATTATATGATTTATAAGCATTGAATTGATATCATGATATCACAATAATGACACAATAACTCCGCTGAAAACATCCTTTCACATATTTGGTACATTGTTATCTCCTTTTCATTTTTGGTTCTTGGCTCTTCTTTTGGGTTTATAGGAAAACCATGTGACCATGAAAATCAATACACAAACCGGAAACAGTAGAATTTCAACACGAATTTGCAGAAAATGTTTACCAAAGAACAAATAAAACACAAAGACAGTATTGTAGTCATTTATTTTCAACAAAAACTTTTTATTTATTGATTGAGGTAGGTTTGGCAATCAAAAACGTAGTTTTGACCAGGAAATTCACTCCTGACCACTTTTCTCAAGCTTGGATTTTTCCTCTGGTCGCTAGATCTCGTCTATTAGTCGGTCCCCCTCTCTGGATTATGAATTTTACTCCCAATTTTCCGACTAATAAGCGAGTAGGAACGGTAGTTTTAGGCAGACATGTCGACAGTCAAGACAAAGGGGGCTAACTGCAACAAAACAACCTACCACTATTACATCAGATTAAATTTTAATGTAACCAAAAGCAGATTTTTAATATCCAAAATGTATAAATATCTTGCTGTGCATTGAGAAAATGAAACACTCTCATATCAAAGATCCATGGTTATAATTATAACCATCAGCCAGCTATCCAGTCCATGTTAGTTATATTTTTAATAAAATTTGTTTACATTACAATAATTGATTACTTTTATTGAAATCCAGTTGTGTGAATATTATATAAAGCATATTAGATAACAATTTGAAAAAAAATTATAAGTCACCAGTTCCTTGGTGTCAACTTTTCAAACAAACTACAGAGTGACAATTTTTTTTTTCAATTCTTAAGGAACAAACTATTATTTATAATTAAAAAAAAAAAAACAGAGGGAGAAACAAATATTGTTTTCCTTCAAAGGTGGAGATATGACCTCTCTGTTAGCAGACTGGAGATTTCCATTTGGAAAAAAATATACTGAGATAATCCATTCATTCCCTGGAGAATTGACACCTGCCTGTATACCAATACTTCCAAAAGAAACTTTTTTTTTATGGAACTTTAACAAAATTATTATACTATATGTGGACTATAATATGGTTTTAGACCATTTCCCACAATTTCGGTACACCAGTGATAAAGGCTTCTCTGGATTCATTACTATTTGTGGGGTACTTATTTTCTTGGAGTTTGTGGGTATAGATGAACCTCCAAATATAATGTTCGCCTTAATACAAATTTCATATTGGCTTGTATGCAAATTTTGGAAACCACAAGATAAGAGTACATGTGTATTCACAAAAATTTTTTTTTTTATGAATACACGAAAAATTGATATCCACGAAATAGATGTACCACAGTATTAAAGAAAACCTACCTGTCTAATTTGAGACAACTGTGAACTTGTTACTTTCATTTCTGTATGTTCCATTTTCATTCCCTCAAGGGGAGATAATCCATCAACCTCACACTCCTTTTCTACTGGATCTTCTAAAGTCTGTAAGACCATTAATACATTATTACAAACAGACAATGAAAAATCTTCCTAAATTCCTGTGTCTAGATAAAACTGAAATGGAGAAACATTCATTGCAATAAAACTCTGATGGATCTTAAGTAATTACATCATATTATCCCCATTAAACCAGGATGCAGAAAAAGTTCTTTCAGTTCAAAGATACTTAATATTCTAAGTAAAAGTACATAATCTGTATGCCATAGAGTTACATAGAATTGAATAAAGATTTGTCTGCTTTCATTCAATACCCTTAGTACTTTTATGTTGTTACATGAATTAAGCCTGCAGAAATGACAGTTTTCAAAAGTACATTTTAATATCAATATTTATGTCAAAGCCACCATTATTACACAAATGGATATCTTATGTCAGAAAAAATAATCTGAAATTGTCAATTAGTAAAACTGGAGGCTCCTCTGAGCCTGTATAAACTAAATAATCTGTAATGGATGATATGGTTTCAAATTGACCCTTCAAATTAAAAAAAAAGATTTTTCAAATATGCATTTCCAATAACTACATTACATGTAGGTTTCATAAGAATCTGTTCTTCTAATTAGCTGACAACAATCATGGAGCTTTCCAAAATTCATTTCACAATAAAAAAAAATGCAACATTCATGACTACCAGTACACATGCTTTCCATGACAACATCACAACAGTTCATAGGAAAACAAACATAAATCTTGATATAACTCGTTACCTCATTGTTGTAGCATATAATTCTTCATAGTTTTAGCATATACATGTAATTATAAGAATTTAATGCCTCTTTTTTATAATTTTATAGAGTTGTAAAAGTGTTGATCATGCACATTTTTGGAATGAAGAAGTGCTTCATACAAAATGTGCTTCAGTCAACACTTTTACACCCAAATAAAATTACAAAAAAGAAGCATTCAATCCTTAATTAAAGTCCTATGTAAATCTAACCCATGTTACCCACAATCTTCCACATAAAAGGTACCAAAAGGTTTACTAGGGAATATAAATATGGTCACTTTTGGTCTTCTTCCGACCGGCTGTTTATGAGATGATTCTGACAAACAATGACATTATTAACTTACATGGTGGACCAAGGTACAGCTGGGTCAATATCCCTAATGCGCATCAAATTGAGGAACACAAAAGTTGTGAGTAAACAAAAAATCGCAGTGTAGTGATATTGGGCATGTTTCAATTTTTAACAAGTGACTGAGCTTAACTATTTGTGCTGATTTGGAGAGCAGAGGACTATACAATGAAGGTGTAAAAACTATGGTGTTATTAAATGTATGCAAAGAACTTATTGTGTGAAAAAAGGGATTTTTTACCTTGAGAAGCCACATCACAAAAGACTTTTCGGGGTTTGCTAAATTATGGAAAAACGAATCTCACTTCGTACCCCGAAAATTTAACCACATATGTGAAAATGTCTCAGCTTCAAGACGAGCCATCTTACATATCAAAGTTTACGATATGAGCAGAGGAATTTAGGAAAAGGCTACCATTACCGCCTACCTGAAATGAATTGCACATCTGTACCCAGCTGAACTAATAAACTGCTGTGCCAGGAGTAACCCCTAATAATTCAGTCCCTCCCTGTGATTGACTTTCCAAATCCTGAGGGTCTGAACTCTTTATACAATTAAAAGGTGTCACAAATCTATGAATTTGATTGCCGCTCTCTGATCCAGAGTGCCAATCAGCTGATAGCTTTATGTCATCAAAATAGGTAAATCCCAAGCTATTTCTGAACAATCAATTAACGATTTTTCATTGACAGGCCTTCAGGCATTAATGTTACCATAGGAGAGCAGCGGAATATAACAACTGAATAATTCAGGTTATGCAAGGAGCACAATTATGCCTACTGAAAATTTTGAAAGTATAAAATAGAACATTGTAAAAGACAATAAAATCAGAAGTCAGTTACATGGCCCTGAACTAAAACCAAAATGGAGATATTTCCTACTGATTCAAATATTCTATACCGGTTTTATGAAATTTGATCAAAGCATTCACTTGCTTTTGTAAGACGTGTGGATGGATCCATAGAGGTAATACAAGCATTTCAAAATTTGGAGCAACTTTTCAAGCACCCATATTTTTTTAAGTTATTTTGATACATTTCTTTTTTCAATAACCAAATGCTCCATTTTCACACACTGAAGCCATCATTATGCAACCATGTGGGTCTGTATACATTTACTGTCAACTCCCTTTGAATCTAATTTTATACAGTGTGAAGCTATTGTCTCCATTTATTTTTTAATACAGTACTTCAGTCTAATCCTAAATATTAACAGAAAGTTTTATAAAAAATTTATTCCCCCCCTCCGACAGTAAAATTAAAAAATTAAATAATTAAGAACTGGCGACAGGTATATAACATCAGTGGTATCAAGAATCTGATAAACAAAGGCTGATGTTTGTGGTTTAGCATGCTACATTTGCCAGAAATTTGACAAACAGTTTCTACCTGATGTAAACAAGGCATTTAATGTGTAAAGCAGTACTGTCTTACTTGATGATGGTTAATGATATTTTCTCTAGATACATGCAGATGTCTAAATGATGTTTAAATGATACTATTATCATGGAAATAATCTGGAATTCCTAATGATATGCAACATGCATTTACATTTTTGATTAAAGGAAATAGTGGTATTAGTCATTGAGACAGCGTAAAATCAACATTATTTACATTGTTTGGTTTATGGTCTGTGATTCTTCTGGTCAAAGTTTTAACAAATCTAATGATAAAATACAGGTCAGTTTTTACCCCTTCCCCCTTTATATGCACCAAGGATTCTGGATTTTTTTTACAAAATTTCAGTCATTTTAAGATTACGGTACTTAAAAGATGGGGCCCCTTTTTCAAATGTCGAAATTATTCACACTAGATTCATTGCAGTTGACTGTTTCATCGCATTTAATTCATGAATTTTCATACCGTTTCTCTTAAAACATTCAAGAACAGTTAATGGAATGCAACAGTTTAAAATTGAAATGATTTTAATGACTCAAAATGGTAAATTTCTTAGGCATTGCTAACATCTCTATCGATTTTGAAGACTAAAAATATAAACTGGAAGTTTCACGACTATACTGAAGTACGAGTAATTCCTGATTCATTTCCGGGATTGGAAATCACAGGATTTTTAATTTTATTACCTTTAAATGTGTTTGAATATAACAGATAATAGTTGCATTCATTTAATTTAGCATGAAATCATTTTGCATTTTATGAAGAAGTGTTTTATCTGGTGAAGACAATTCCACTCATGTGTATTACATAGTAAATAAAGCACACATTTGACCGTGAAAAATTACTATTTTCTACGTAATTTAAATCAAGTTTTAAGTTTAAATCAGAATAGTCGATTGTCTTTGCTGAAAAGTATTTAAATAATTAAGAAAGTTGTCATAGAATTTTAATTTCTTTATAATATTAGTTCTGAGCTTGTGATCACTGTCAGGTGTGAATTAAAAACACAGGTAAAAAGTGATTAGCAATCATTAGCCTATATTTCCCAGAGGCATTAATATGGTTATTAGGAGGGCCCTCAAGATTATCCTACTATATCAAAGCTGCAGTTTTATTATAGGAAAGGGATTACAAAACAAAAGCAAGTGCAAAATGGTGATAAAGAAACCCGATCTCAATGAAATGACCGAAATTATTTCTGTAAAAAAAAATTAATTTGTCCTAAATCCCAATCTGCCGTTTAGGACAAATAGCTTTCAGTTTAGGACATGACTGGCAAATATGACCGTTTCTGAACCCTTGATCTGCAACTATTGGACCATTTCGCAATAGACTTATAGAGTTGTCTGAGAGAACCAATGCTCATTTTGTAACATAACTGTAAAATATACTGAGAAAAAAAAGTTTAACAACACATATTTTTAACATCATAATAAACAAACTATACTTCTAAACATAACAATAAATAAATTATTATTGCAAAGAAAATAAACCATAAGGTGCAATTTTTACTCCACTAAAATATATTGAAATCCATTTCAGCAGATGGAAATTTTTAATTTAAATATAAATGTTGCTAAACTTTAATAACTCAGTATACAAGTACAATGTATGAACTGTATCTACTCACCAGCTTTTCAAGTTTGTTGGTAAGAGCTGAGGTCAGTGACAAACCAGAGTCATTACTACTGGTATCTACAAAATAAATCACAGGAGAAATTTAAATTAGAAACAATCGATTCATATACTGCCTTTATTGCAAACGTCCCAGCATGCCAGGCAAAACATCAAAAGCATTAGGACATTTCTTTCATTTACTGATTCCAAAAGAGAAAATCAAGTTATCAATGCCTTCTGCACACTTACAATATCATGAATATATATCCATACAAAGCAGTATCTTAAATATGAAAGAATGTGGTAAGTCTTTCAAAGTATCCAGTAATTATTAAATAAAGGGAGAGATGCTTATAACTTATAATTTTCGTATGAATTTGTATATAAAGTATGACCAATATTATCTTGTAAATACTATAATGTGGTTATTTTTCAGATGCTATTTACCATAAGTCACTAAATATTCTGACAAAGAAAAGAAAATAACACTGTATGAATGTCATGCGTCTAATATTTGATGTCTGACAGTGGATATTTATACCCTGTTCACACGACAACAAAATCGGATTTGAAATCTGATTTGACAATGGACAATACCAGTTTGCAATCAAATATAATACTAAATTAAACGCTCATCTGTGAATCCTGAGCCACAACACTTGAGGTAGTTGGTTTGACATCTGATTTCAACTAGCATCGGATTTAAGTCTAGAAAACATATACCTGTGAACACAAATGCCTATTCTAATCCAAAATATATCAGTGTGCATGCTTCTTGTTTATTAGTTTTTGCACAAGAAAATCATGTACATGCATGAATATTCATTTCACTTGTATGCAGAATTTATTCTTGAATCACAATTACACATTACAGAACCACTTTTAAACGCAAACTGGATTCAATTCCGATATAAATCCAGATAAACATCAGATTTCATAAATCCTCTTTGAATCTAGCATAGGCATAACAGTGTATCAGATCAAAATTTTGAAAAGAAGCCACATTCAAACTTTTGAATCTCAAAAAACATGTTTAACCCCGCCGCATTTTTGCGCCTGTCCCAAGTCAGGAGCCTCTGGCCTTTGTTAGTCTTGTATCATTTTTAATTTTAGTTTCTTGTGTATAATTTAGAGTTTAGTATGACGTCCATTATCACTGAACTAGTATACATATTTGTTTAGGGGCCAGCTGTAGGACGCCTCTGGGTGCGGGAGTTTCTCGCTGCATTGAAGACCCATTGGTGGCCTTCGGCTGTTGTCTGCTCTATGGTCGGGTTGTTGTCTCTTTGACACATTCCCCATTTCCATTCTCAATTTTATTTTTGTTTATTTTGTGTATCTGAATCTATCACATATTTAATAATACATAAAAAAAAAATCTGTTTATAGAAATGGTATTCATCTTGGTTGGTTGGCATGAATCAGCCAACATAATTCAGAAAGAAGACCACCACATAAACATTTAAATAGCATGCTACATTAACAGATTGAAAGACCATTATAGTAACAACAGCCATTTTGGTTGACAGATGGGGCTTATGGACAAATCTTTGAAAGCAATGCAGGCCACTTTAAGATCAAATTAGCCAAGTAACTAAAAAGGGAAAGAATATAAAAATGCTGCTTTAGATCATATTTGTTTTTCATTTATTGCTTTGTACAAAAAACAGGCTGTTAGTTTTTCTTGTTTGAATTGTTTTACATTTGTCATTTCGAGGCTTTTTTTTTATCTTGCTATACAGTATGTGTCTTGCTTATTGTTGAAGGCTGTATGGTGACCTACAGTTGCTAACCTCTACATCATTTGGTCTCTGGTGGAGAGTTGTCTCATTGTGAATTGATCTACATCCTCTTATTCTTATATTTACCAAAGACAGAATACAAAATGATGGCCATAGGCAACACTGGCCCTTTAATGCAGGTGAGCAAAAAATGCAATTTGAATTTTTTTCTGTGACAAAAAACTTTATCCCTCAACCTTGTAGATTGTAATGAACTACATTCTTATGCATAATAAAAATCCTTCACTTGTTTTTCTTATCTGCTGTAATTATGATAATGCTTCTGAGTACACCTCTTATAAATCATTAGAATGCATGCTGTGAGGGACAAGAAATTAGGAGATAGATCAAAGAATACTTTTCCTTCCAATATATTTTCAAGGTCAAGAATGTCATGTTGTAAATCTTTAACCTTTAATGACATTAAATCTAAGAAAGATGTATTTCTAAATTATGCTAGCTTCAATTAAGGGTTATAATTGTTTGCCAGAAAAAACAAATTGTTTAATTTCATATGATTATGAATTCAATGTTCCTGTGTATCTGCCATGATAAAATATTTTGTCTTAAAAATATGCTGAAATGCAGAAAATATTTTAGTCATTATTTCAAACATAAATGCTGTATCTATTATTTGTTTATATATATTATCCAATCAAACTCAAATACATTTTTTTCTATAATAAGTTTTAACAAATGTAATAATACATTAATAGCGGGAAAACATAGATGTTTTTGTATAAATAGCCATTCACTGTATTGTGGACAAAATTCAATTCAGTCATGAATACAATACCAGATAATGTATGATACGAAACTGTCTAGATACCAAAGCACCCCTAAGATCTGACATAGGCATTTTTGTAACCCCTAAGATGTAATTATTTTCACCTTGCAAACTATTTACTGCTGCAAGACCCTTAGAATTTTTTTGCGTATAAATGTACGTGTCAGATGAAAAAAAAAAAAAAAATTACACCCCCTAAGATGTATAAATTTTACACCCCTCAGAAAGGACCATCCATCCCCCTTTAGCAGACATTAACTGGAATGGCCCATTCTGAGTTCATGCACTTGGGGTCTTTTAATGCTATAGGAAATAAATCAAAATGTAATATAGGTATCATTATCATTACACATCTGCAAGATGTATGGAACATTTATTTGATATCTAATTGGTACATCTGTGCTTCAATTATCAGGGTAATGTTAGAAATGTGGTCTCTCTCTGATTTATTTTTATAAACTATTCAAAATGTATTGATAACATAGTAATTATTACAAGATTTAGTTTCTGCTGGCTATTATGATACTAGAGGCTCTCAAGAGCCTGTGTCACTCACATAGATCTTCAACAATGGACACTCTCCAACTTTGTGGACTAGAATATATTTCATGACTAATATCTCTTTTTTGTTGATCTTATATCGCTGATAATTTTTTCAACCTTATAAAGTACCAGTACAGATAGCAAATCATTCTTGCATACAGAAGCTGATTCAGATTGTAACAAAAAATGTCATTCTAAGTTGGCATAATAAACTTCAATGTTTAGTCGATCAGGAAATGACTACCTTGCTATTTGGAAATCACTTACACAGTACAACTCAATATCATAAAGTTCAAGACCAAATATCAAATCATTCCTAATACTGTAGCTGAAAAATATGTATTTTGTTGCTCAGTTGGTATAATAAAGATTCAGAGTACATGTATTGTTAAACAGGAAGTGCCAGCAATGCAGGACTGAAAATCTCTTGTGTATGGTACATCTCAACATCATAAAGTTTCACAATAAACATAAAATCATTCCTCAATAGACCAATTTCAAACTTCTTTCTAAGAATGAGTTCAGCTGGTTGACCCAAGGTAAATAGGCATATATTGTTTCTTATATAGATTAGACCGTTGGTTTTCCTGTTTGAATTGTTTTACACTAGTCATTTTGGGGCCCTTTATAGCTTGCTGTTCGGTGTGAGCCATTAGGCTCCGTGTTGAAGGCCGTACTTTAACCTATAATTGTTTAATACTTTTTACACACTGTGACTTGGACGGAGAGTTGTCTCATTAGCACTCATACCACATCTTCGTATTTATATATATGACTCCATTGAAACATCAACTCTTACTGTGACTATAATAACATAAGCATTGTGATATTGGACATGTACAGGAAGATGCACAAATGTGCAAGACATCTATACAGTAACAGTACAAAAATAACCAAAATTATTGACAGACTAGCGGATGAAAGTTCTTTGCAGTATACTACCTGCACTGTCAGATGGAATCTAAGAAATATTCAATTTATTCACCATGTCGAGTAATCAGGTCAAATTTTACATAGAAATAGATACTGATTTTTATAGTTCATTCTTATGTTGTACTGTTACACCACTGTCCCAGGTTAGGGGGAGGGTTGGGATCCCGCTAACATGTTTAACCCCGCCACATTCTGTATGTATGTGCCTGTCCCAAGTCAGGAGCCTGTAATTCAGTGGTTGTCGTTTGTTTATGTGTGACATATTTGTTTTTCGTTCATTTTTTGTACATAAATTAGGCCGTTAGTTTTCTAGTTTGAATTGTTTTACATTGTCATTTCGGGGCCTTTTATAGCTGACTGTGCGGTATGGGCTTTGCTCATTGTTGAAGGCCGTACGGTGACCTATAGTTGTTAATTTCTGTGTCATTTGGTCACTTGTGGAGAGTTGTCTCATTGGCAATCATACCACATCTTCTTTTTTATACTAAATAATTATTTTGGCAGATCACATTATAAATTAAGAAGCAATGGCCCTTCATTATTTGTGTTATAAAGTCAGATTTGGTCAAGTTTTTATAAGTTTTGTACAGTTTTTAGCATAATTTACTTTGTCCCCAACCCCAGATTCAGATTTTTTTTTTGTGTCCAGGGCTTCCATATAATCATTGGCACCTTTTGGTGACAACATTTTGGATCGTAGGCTATGGCCAAGATTTTCCTAAAGCTTGCAGGTCAGAAAAATATATAAAACATAGGATTTTGACAGTATATCCAAAACTTGTCTATTATGTACTCTTATGAAGAAATTTGGTTTACCTAAAAAAAATAAGGCTTTTGAAATAGATTGATTTAAGAACCAAAGAATGTCATCTTTATCATATTTATGATAAAGATGAAATTCAAGGCCGTTTTTGGGGCTAAAGGTGAACCTTGTCCTTTTGATGTATAATCCTGTATTAAAAAAAGTTGATAATGAATCAATTTGGGCATATACCACATACTCAGTTATACAAAACATTTTTTTCTTATTGTGTCAAAGCATATGTTTAACACTTATAAGTGATAAGTATAAAAAACGTTCACAACCTCAAGCAATAAAAAGAATCATTTTTACACCATGATGTCATCAATCGTATCATGTATTTATCCTAGAACTAGGTACATGAGGTAAATCTTCAGCTTTGTAAGCTCTTCTGCATGCACCAATTGGTTTATAAAATTTAAGGCTATAATTTTGGGGAAAAAAACTTAGGGAAAAAAGCTGGATCATTATAGAAGTAAAATGGAAATTTGGCTATTTTATAGTTGTTTTTCCTAATAAGACTGGTCTTTGGAAAAGTTGAGATTACATGTCTCAAATTCAATATTGCTTTTAATAAACCATCTCGTTTAACATGTTTGTAATTGTTGGAATTTTCTTTTTGTTCACAAAAACCGTTTAAACCTAATCAACATGTTTTACGATAAGGATCAATGCATAGTTAAACTTTAATCTTGAATTTAAATCTCATTATCTTCTAGACGAGCCTACCTGCTGTAGAGAAATACTTTTAATTCAAGTATGAAATTTGTATCTGTAATACTTTCTTCTTGAACACTAAGCCCTCACAAATAACTGCCTGGTTTTTGATAAAATTTAAAAATTATTCCATGTAGCTGATAAGTATAATTCTAAAAGAATGCAATTTACATTTTAAATTCCAAACTTTTGTTTGCTTTGGATCAAGATATATATACAAAAGCCTACATCTTGATTTATACATACAATCAATGTATATATACATTCAGTTTTCTTACTACTTACAGTTTAAATCTTTCAACTACATGTGATTAAAATAATTAGATTTTTAAATGGAGTTATTTCTCTGGTCATTGGGCGGCATCTTGGTACGGGGTATTCTATACAAAATTTATAACAATTTTTGTGAAAGAAAGAAATCTTTTTCTTTAGTCTATCAACAGTGATCACTATCACTGAGGATGTGAGATCTAACACTAATATGGCAAGGTGTGCTCTTCTTCGATCCTAACTGCATAGAATTGCCAGTTTCCTGATGAAAGTCTGTTGTTAATAAATTAAAACTCTCTGCCTTGATATTGCCTATTGTGGCTGAAAAGGGTGTTAAACAATCAATCAATCAGTCTTAAGTCTAAAATCATTGAAAATTCACAAGAAATAATACCTTACAACTGGTTATCAGTAAACAGTGCCTTTTCTGGAGAACTCCTAGTTAGAGCTCAGGCCTTGCTGTCATAAAAATTTGGAGTACTATCATCGTACTCAGACTTCGAGCAATCAAAATGCTGAATTTGGTGTTTCTAGCACATATTTTGTACTCAGGGTATTGAGTATAGTTTTACGACTGAAAGGCCTGATCTCACAATCAAATGTTGCTTAAAACAAACATAACTGTAAGAATTATTGTATTTACCTAAATATTCTCCTGGTCAAAGCCTTCTAGATTAGTCCCTCAAAATTAAGATTATAATGAATTTTCTGCTTACAATAAAGCACATGCAATATCCCTTCCTGATATCAAAATACAAATGTAATTGCTTTCCCTAATTAACTGCATGTGTTTTTACAAATAAAGACTTGGCATACATGTAAATAAAGCTGAACCCCAGTTCAAGCCAAGGTGAGAAGCACAAAATATCCCAGTATGATATACTTTATACATAAGTTATTCTATTATTGTCAGTGTTACTTATTGAATGTATGTACTATGACTGGGACGCCCCCTTTCTGAACAATAGTTATCCAGGCGCTGATCAGCCATTTTGAAAAGGGGGGAAAGGGGATTCAACCCCCAGAACATCATGAAACGGTCATATATTTAAAAAATCGAGAAAAAAAATGGGGGGGGGCTACCACCAGAACAGCCCCCTGGATCTGCCAATGGTTATCTTACTTGTGTTAATAAAAGAAGCTCAATGAGGATTTAACTGTTTACAAAATAAATCATCTACTTTTACAAGACTTCAGATGTAATTGAGGGTGGAGGTGCATTTTATTTTTTTATTTTCTATCAAATGTTAGTGGTAAAATGAAATCTGAAATCTTTGCCTTCAATAGAGGAATGCAAGTATTTAAGACTTTGTAAAACTAGAACGGTCAGTGAATCTTTCAAAAAGATACCACCTGTAAATTCTATTATCTCTAATTTGTGCATTTTTCCTTAAGGTTAGCCTGTCAGGAAGACTTTTGCAAACAAAGAAAAGACAGAAAGACAGACGGACAGATACACAGGATGATTCTTGTATTCCCTTGACCAAATGATCCATAGAGAAACTGCCTGAGAAAGTTAAACATTGTTATTTTAAAGCCTCATTGATATGAAACATTAAATTATGATTTAATTACTTAAATTTTAATTATGAAATATTGATAGTTATGACAAATGATTTTGACAAGATGACTATAAATAATTAATAGATTAATCATATTTATTAATTAATATAAACATCCTTGTATCACACTGAATTTAGTATGGGGGGTACTGTGGATTCATTTTTATTCCTGGGATATCAATTTTCGTGGATTTCGTGGGTATAGGCGAACTACAAACGAAATACAAATGTTCTATAGGCTTGTTTGTAGACTTTGGCAAAACCACGAAATTAAATATCCACGAAAATGCAATGTTTCCTGAATCCACGAAAATTGATACCCACGAAAATAAATGAATCCACAGTATGTTAAGATGGTTAGCTAAACCAGAGACATATATACTACACATGTCTCTGGCTAAACCCATACTTCTTATGATAATAATGGCTACTCTAGGGTCATTTCAGGTTTTGCACTTGAGTATTTCAATCAAATAATACCCTAAATTCAGAAATTGTTGCGAGCATTTAATATTGCAATTTTGACATGACAAACCAAAATTCAAGATGAACTACTGCGCTCTTAGGAAAACTTAAAACTGCATACAGATATATGTACAAGATACCAGAATGTGAGTTCTTATAATTGCCATACTCATCAAGTCACATTATTCACATTAATAAAAACCTTGCAATAATTTCTGAATTTACAGGAATAGATGAGCTGCGTCGGACAGAAATCAACCTTATACAAATGAATATCAATACATCTGTTAACTTGATTCGGGTTGAAAAATCTTAATGCAAAGTCTTTAACTGTTTGAAAAATGAGTTGTTATAAAAACCCGACAATAACAGATCGAAATTCATCTTTTATTTCGTATCTAGAATGTTCCAAAATCAATCATGTACATGTATACATGCACTTGTACAAGGTCAATTTCTATACGAGGTAGCTCAGATATCATGGTCCACAAACCTGGAAGAGGTTATACACAGTTATATGCCTAAGGCCAAGATTATAAATACGGTTTTTCAGTATGTTTAACTTCCTCTTACATAATCGAACTTAGATTAAGATATGAAATCATTTGTTTTGCATTTTTCAGGACTACAATATTTTTTAATCATTTAAATTTGAAGAGTTGTTTCAACATCTTTAAATGGTGATATATGATATGGTATTAAAAGAAAAAAGGAAAAGGAATGACATTTAAAAAAAAGGTGATTGAGTAACAAAAAAGAAAACAAATATTTCTGGACTCCTAGCACTTCCTACTTTTACAATTTAACCCCCTTCCTTATTCAGTAATGCATCTGTAGCAGTACAAGAATTTAAAAAGTCTTTCTAGAATTGCAGTCATTCTCACTACATCAGAAAAACTATGCCTGATGGTGTGCAGGACCTTTCACTACCAAACTCTTTCTCTGACGTTTTGTACAACTATAACATCATAGCACTTTCCCTTTTCACAATTTATTTTTCCTCAATCAGCACTGCATCTGTAGTACAAGAGTTCAAAATGTCACTCATTCTCACTTTATCGGTGTGCAAGGCTTTCAATACTAACCTCTTCCTCTGGCATTTTGTACCTCTATATCAACAATTCAATCAAGCTAATAAAATCATATCAATTTCATTAGTAGAAAATATTATGCTAACTTACCTTGATTTTCAATACACAGATCAGGTTCTCTTATCACAGCATCTAGTACCTTAACTTCTTCCTCCTCCTCCTCCTCCTCCTTACTATAGGAAATACTATCACCTGTCTGCTACAAGAAAAGATCACTCATAAATTTATCACACAATAAATATATTCCCAATAAACAACTTGAACTTCTAAAGTATCTAACATCAAAGGGTGCAGATGAAATAAGAGGCACTTCATTTATCCTTAACAATTTTTGTGGCTGATTCACTTTTCAAAATAGATCGACAAGAGAAATTACCTACACTATTGAATAAATTACATGTATTTTATCCACACTTTTGCTCAGAGCAGATTTTATAAGTTTAAGTCTGACATATAATTTGCTTTACAATTCTTGCTATAGGCAAGAGTTTTATACACTTCACAACTTCAAATTGCAAATTTAATTTTGATTTCTAAAGATAACAAATGTGACCATCTCTTTAAAGTCTATGGTGCTTTATAATATGAGGAAATTTACAACAGTTAGGTAATATACATGTATTTACAAAATGTCATAGTGTAATTTGAATGAGTTAATATAACTGTTATTATTGGCAACTATACAAACTGGTTTGTGTCAATTAAATCATAGGAAATCACAATTGTTGTTGTTTTCCTTTTCATCACATTAACAAATCCACAAACAAGAGGCCATTATATATTTTTGGCTGCTTATTTCCTCCACAAAAAAAGTTTATTTATAACAGATTTGTTTCCAATCACAAAATATTCTCTTTTAGTTAATAGAAAAATTGCATTATCTTGTTTTTCTTAAAATCAACATAACTGTTGCATAACATTTACAGTACCAATTTTAGTACCCAGATGTGCATTTCAACAACCAATGTCTCTTGCATATTAACAAACAATATATACAATTTAAAAACAAAAAATAAAAACCCCAATAAATCTATTATAATAATATTAAACCTTTAAAAAAATAATTTAAGACCATTTTTTCTTTAATTTTCATTTTATCAATACAAGAACAAACATTTTGCATTTATTAATGTTTGCATAATTTTGAATGCAGTTTAAATCAAATGCATTTTGACATGATTCTTCCTTATGAGGTCAATGTCTTACTTTAATAAATACGACCTTTAAGTAAGAAAATGTTTTTCTTCCTCCTATGATATAAAATTCCCATTAGAAGTAACATCAACATTTTTCCCATGACACAAGAACATAAATAAAGACTTTTAGCAAATTATAGCTTAATAACTAAGGCCATTAAAACATAGAGAACTTTGATGTTATGTCCATTACTGGAATTATTTTTCTTTAAGGAATCTGTGTCTTTCTTTTCATTTGTTTTGCATCAAGTCAAATTTTTTAAACCTACCAAGTGAGCCAGGAGGAAAAATACACTAGAGGCTCCAAGAAGCCTGTATTGCTCAACTGGCAATTTTTTTGCTTGCATAAAATTGATACAATGCATAAATATTATTTCTGTTTAATGGAAACTGTGTGGGTCAACATATTGTCTTACCAATCATTTTTGCTGTTCAAAGTTTCAGTCAATCTATTATGGTTTTCAAGATATTAGGGAAAACACTAAAAATGGTAAAAAAAACAAATCATCTTTCAAGGGCAATAACTCCTTCAAGGAGTGACTGAATGTTTTAGTTATTAGGCTTTTTTTATACATCTTTTCTTGCTTATCATTTTTGAAAGTTCCCTCCACTGTGAATTCATCATTATTCATGGGATACTATATTTCGTAGATTTCACGGGTAAAGTGTTAACCACAAATCTAAATGTTCAACAAAGTACAAATTTTCTACAGGCTTTGTATGCAGAAATTTTACAAAACCAAGAAATCAAATATTCACAAAAATACAATTTTTCTCAATCCACAAAAATTGGTACCAACAGTATGTACTTTAATTTTTACCAAAAACTCAAAAAGTGGTAAATATCGTCCTCGTAGGGCTTTAACTCCAATAAGTGGTGGACTTATGATTTTGGCAATGTTGACCTTTTTTTGGATCTTGTCTTGCTAATTAAAATTTCTCTCTAATCATAAAAGTTATCAAGATACACAATAACTTTGTTAAAATTGTCATTGAAGGACAATAACTCCTATAAAGAATGGACTGCCCATTTCAGCCATTTTGAAAGATTTGTAGATTTAACTTGCTTATTATCGTCTTTCTATCTGCTGTAGTTACTGCCAAAAATGAAAAAAATCATTATCAAAGGGCAACTACTCCTACAAGGTTATGACTAATGACTCCAATAATGCTGACTTATTTGTGCTCTTGTCTTGCTGATAATGTTTACTGTTTAAAGTTTCCCTCTATCTAATGTACACACAGAAAAATTATGTTAGCTAGCCATCAGCAACTATTTATGCACTTTAAAATTGTAAAATGTTTGTTGTGAATAAAGTTTTTGCTTTATCATCATATTTGTCAATAGATATCTACAAATATACTTTTGAGGCCGTACAGTGATCTATAATCCATGTACTAAGGTCTCTGGTAGAAAGTTACATTGGCAATTATACAGCATCTCTTAATTTTCATAGAGAGCTTGGCTTGAAATAATTTTTTCTTTAAGTTTTACTGGTAATTGGATAAGCTTTTTTGTATGTAGCTCAATGACTACAAATGGACACTATTTTAATGCAGTGCTAAGTACAATAAAGAGCTGCGCCATGAGCTCATGATACACCCATCGCATTTTTAATGAATAAAGTTCCATCACTTCTCAATGTCATATCAGAAATTAATAAAAAAAAAAAAAAAAACTAAACAGAGCTTATTTTAATAGATATAAACCAGTCATCAAAGCTTCATGAAAACTGCTCAAAGCATTTTTGAGTTATTGTCTGATACTGGAAAATCCCCCCTTTTTTATTGCAAATAAAATCCCATTACTCGAAAACGCAAAATCTCAAAATCATAAAAGTCAAAAGGGAGCTTTTGTCAATAGATATAAACAATTCACCAAAGTTTCAGGAAAATTGGTTAAAGTATTTTTAATTTATTGTCTGACAACTGATGGACAGACAATGGTATACCACCAGGGATGGGGTAATCGTTATCTGTAATCGTAATCGATTGTAATTGATTACATTTTTTCCAGTAATCGACAACATTTTCGATTATATGTAATCATAATTTAATCAATTACAGCAAAAATGATGATGTAATCATCGATTACTTTTCGATTACTTTAGTAACATAGTTTGATGAAATATAACCTATTTTAAATGAAAATTTTTATGTTTTCATCACTTTATAGTACAGATAAAATAGAATGTATTAACATGACAAGAGTTTATCAACTGCCTTATTTCTATCTATTGTCTCAAGCTGCATTATGATCAACCAGATCCCCTACCAAATTTTACTGTATATCTAGCTTTTGAAACAAATGAATTTTAATTTACGTGCTTGTCAATAATTCAAGACCTTTTATATTAAGATAAGAAAATAGATTTGAAATAAGAAAATGGATTCAAAATAAGAAATGAGTCTTAATTTAAGTTCTGTACTACATTAAAGTAGTAAGCTTATTTGTATTAAAATTCCTTAAAGCATAAATTTCAATAAGAGTTGGAATTTTAGCTTAGAATAGATAAACAGTTGATTCCTTATAATGTTATGATATAAAAATTAAGACAGTACACAAAATGCATTTAACAATGAACCAATGGCTATGCATTGAAATTCTTTTTCAAAAATAGATACATGTATCCCATTTTGACACTAAAAATATATATTGTTTATAATTTGATAAGAGAATAAAAAATTCTAAACAAACTTCTTGTCTCTACTAATCAGATGATCAAAGACTTCTAATCAATAAGATGCAGACTTTGTTTTCACTACAATTATGTCTAATTAAGGTGGTACCCAACACCTTGACTAATATTAATTTGGCTCGTTTAATTTTCATAAAATTTTGACAAAATGTTTACTTTGACCCTTTGACAAAAATATAAAAATTTCAAAAAATTTGAACCAACCACTTTATCAGAAAAATTTCGTTGGTTATATAGCTGTTTGACAAACACTAATTTTGATCATTGAGAAGCTTAATATTTCCTTAACAATACAACGTGATTAAAACGTTAAGTTGATTTTTACAGAGTTATCTCCCTGTAGTGTTAGGTACCACCTTAAGAAGGAGATTAACATTATTTTGCCCCAGGTTTTAAATTGCACTTCATAGGCAGTTTTATAACCTGTAATTAGGGTGGTTATGAAAACAAAAGGATTAATTCATGCATGTCATTATTATTATAAATTTTGATCTTTAAAATTAGCTGAACTAATTAATTATTCTACTTCTTTAAAAAAAAATTCCAACATTGTAATGAACTATGTTAAAATATACCTGAATATATAAATGAATTTTGAATGTCAACTGTCAGTCTATTAGAAACAAACAACACCAAGTTGAAAACATCATAGATAGTATCAAACCTGATGTTATAATAGCAACAGAAACATGGCTAGATCAATCAATTACGAGCAGCCAAATATTTCCACAAGAATATAATATATATCGCAAAGACAGGAAAGGAAATAAAACCGTAGGAGGCGTCCTAATAACCATAAACAACAAATATTTAAGCTCTGAGGTACCAGAACTGGACACAGATTGTGAGATAATTTGGGCATGGATACAGCAGAAAGGCACAAAAGATCTATACATATGCGCCTACTATAACCCAAAAACATTGGATGTTGAAAGTCTTCAAGCATTTGAAACATCAGTCAGAAGAACCAACGCAATAAATGCATGCCAATTGATCGGAGGGGACTTCAACTTGCCAGGATGGAACTGAGCAAACAAATGTTTATACCATGGAACACAGCACACAGAACAACATTACCATTTTGCAGAAATCCTTGACGACAACGGACTAACACAGCTAGTGTAAGAGCCTACAAGAAGCAAGAACACTCTGGACCTCTTGATCACTAAACGTCCTAGCAAAATAATGAGAATAGATATCATACCAGGAATATCAGACCATGACATCGTATATGCTGACATGAACATCAACCCAGTAACAAACAAACAGAAACATCCAAAAATCCCCCTCTACAAGAGGGCGAAATGGGACAGCATGAAGGAAGATATGAAACAATTACACAACGCTATTCAACAAGAAAGCAATACGGATAGACCAGACATAAATATGCTATGGAAAATGTTTAAAGACGGACTTGAAACAAGTACAAACAAACATATACCAGCAAAAACCTGTAAGACCAAAGATGGACCCATGGATAAGACGGGAAATAAAATCACTCATAAGGCGTAAAGACCGAGCATATAAAAAGAAAAAGAAATCAAACCATCCTGACGACTGTGCAAGATTTAAAGAACTGAAAAAGACAGCACAGAAAAGCCTAAGACAAGCATATTGGAAGTATATTGAAAGTATCATCACCCCAGAGAATCCTGAAGAAACACATGCCCCTTCTAAAAGATTTTGGACATACATCAAGCACAGAAAAAGTGATAAAAGTGGAGTGGCACCTCTAAGAAAAAATGGTAGCTTAGAAACAGATCCAATCAACAAAGCAAACATATTAAATGAACAATTTCAATCTGTATTTTCCACAGCAAACAACATCAGCAACAGTGAATTCTACAATCAAAATCATATGTCCGACTCACCAGAAAATTACCCTGACTGTAGAGACATCTTTATCACAATCAACGGAGTAGAAAAACAATTGAGAAACCTTAACCCACACAAAGCCGCTGGACCGGATAACATCAGACCAATGATACTCAAAGAACTTGCCAGCGAAATCGCTCCCATACTTACCATCATATTTAATGTTTCAATGGAGACAGGCAAAGTTCCAGATGACAGCAACAGTCACACCAGCATACAAAAAGGGTCAAAGTACATCCCAGCAAATTACAGACCAATATCTCTTACATGTATTTGCTGCAAGATCATCGAACATATTGTTACCAGCCACATTATGAAACATGCAGAGGCAAACAACATCCTTTATCCACTACAACATGGATTTCGAAGTAAACGATCCTGAGAGACGCAACTCTTAGAATGCATTGATGACCTAACAAAGTACCTTGAATTGGGAAAACAGTCTGACCTACTGATACTAGACTTCTCAAAAGCATTCGACAAGGTATCCCATAGCCTACTCCTACATAAACTCAATCACTATGGAATCAGGGGAAAGACAAAAAGCTGGATAGAAGTGTTCCTGACAAATAGAACCCAAGTAGTAGTAGTTGAGGGTGAACAGTCAGACAGAGCGAAGGTAGAATCTGGAGTTCCACAAGGGTCAGTCCTAGGCCCTAGTCTATTTTTGTTTTACATAAATGACCTAGCGAATGACCTAAAATCAACAGTTCCTCTCTTTGCTGATGACACAGTAGTCTACTTAACCATCGCCTCAGATACTGATTGCCGACACCTACAGTCAGACCTTGATAAACTGGCACTATGGGAGGAAAAGTGGAAGATGGAGTTTCACCCAGAAAAGTGTAGCGTACTGACTGTCTCCAGAAAGAAAAAGCCAATCAAATGGGACTATGTATTACATGATCATGTACTAAAACATGAAACATCAATTAAGTACCTGGGCTGCACCATCACAAGCGAACTAGACTGGGGAGAACAAATCAACAACATTACCAGCAAAGCCAGCAGAAGCCTTGGTTTCCTCCACAGAAATCTACACATCGGCTCTAAAAGCATCAAAGGGCAAGCTTACAAAACTCTAGTAAGGCCCCAACTAGAATATGCCACAACAGTATGGAACCCATATCATCAGAAACATATTGACCAAATTGAAAAAGTTCAAAGGAGGGCTGCACGATACGTCACCAAGTGCCACAGAAACAGATCAAGTGTCACGGACATGATTAATAAATTGGGTTGGAAAAGTCTCCAAGAACGACGCAGAGAGGCCAGGCTCAAGATCGTCAACGACAAAGTAGCCATCAACAAAGACATGTACCTCCAAAGACCAACCAGAGTATCCAGACATACACAACAGCATGGATACATGGTACAAACAGCAACCAAAGACTGCAGGAAATGGTCCTTCTTTGTGAACACCACCAAAGACTGGAACAAGCTTCCCCCTGAGATCGCCACAGCACAGTCATTTGAGACATTCAAATCTCAAATGACCAACCTTACAAAATAAGATGAACATTTGTTTTTTTATCCTGTTTTTAACCATGATCCTTCATGTAATCGATTATTAATCGATTACATTTGTCAGTTATCTTGCCCATCCCTGTATACCACAATAAATTCCGTAAACGGTCATATAAAAACATGTGAAATTGTCATAACAATAATTACAATGTATACCTTTTACTTTGATAATTTACCAGGGTTACCAATTTTCCTTGAAAGATCAGCATTCCAATTTATTTTGCCTTTATCATTTTTGATAATTTGTGTACTATTGGTTTTTGTGGTCAACAAAATGGACAGGTCAAATACTGGAAAAGTCTCAGATGCAAATGCTTTTTTAACCTCGCCACATTGTGTATGTGCCTGTCCCAAGCCAGAAGCCTGTAATTCAGTGGATGTTGTTTGTTATATCATAATTGGTTTTAGTTTATTATTTGTCATGTCAGGACCTTTTATAGCTTGCTATGCAGTATGGGTTTTGCTCCCTGTTGAAGACCATATCCTGTACCCGGTAGTTGCTTACTTTTTTTGTCATTTGGTCTTTGGCGGAATGCAGTCTCATTGGCAATCATGCCACAACTTTTTATTTTATATTACTTGTTAGGGATTGAATGATAGTCAATTTTTAATACAGATTTTATTAATCAGCATTATTGATTACCAGCATTTTTCTACAATTGTAACTCATACTCAATGTCCCTGTACACAGGACATCTTGCACTTTCAGACCATTATCAAATTGCAAATCTGGTAAGGAAAAGTCCAAGATAAAAACACCAAAAAAATATGACACATTTGGTATCAACTAGAAAATTGGTATCTAAATTAATTCTGTTAGCTAACAAAATGATATATTTACCAAAGTTTTAGTATGGCTTAAGTGAGTCCATGAGTAAGCAAGGAATGAGCTGTCAAACTGACAGCAAACTGGATTTCTGTATTTGGAAAGGCACTTTCAGGATTATTTGACCTGCCACATTCTTTGCCTATATTCCAATCTATTAAGGACCATAACTCATGAACAGCAAAAAAAGAAAATCGTCAATATCAAACTTGACCACCATTTGTCATCAGTAACAGCATATTAAAATTTTAAGAGCATTGATTAAACAGCTCTTAAGTAATTGCACGTAAACAACATAAAGTGCCATTTTTCAATCTATCAAAACTTGACCTCCATTTTGTCATCAGTAACAACATATTATAATTTGAAAACCATTGGTAGAACAGTACATAAGTTTTTAAACAGAAACTGTTGGCAGCCGCCCCCGTATTTTACCAACTTAACATTGGAAAACATATTTTAAAAGGCTAAAACAATTGAAGCAGAAAAAAAAAGAACATACCTTTGAAGAAAGTTCTTCTTCACAGTGGGAATCTTCATCTCTGAAAGAAAAAAAAAAGTTCTTCTTCACCATTCCAGAATATGAAGTATCTTTGATAATATTTTCAAAAGTGAACAGTCAAATATTATGATAAATTAAAGAACCTTTGTGAGCACACTCACATAACCCACGCCCCCACATTGTCACTGGGCAAACAAAATATCACCAGATTCCTAAGTTCAAAAACTCATAACTGCTACAAAAGTCAACTGATAAAAATTACTTATGGATATGCACATCTACATAGTATGTCCTTATTATCTACACAGTTTCATGAAATTCTGTTGTGTGGTTTGAGAGGAGTTGCGATGACAAAAAGTTGCAGTAGTATATTGGGCAAATAAGTTCAAAGGGGCGTAACTCCTGGGAAAAAAATTGAATCGTAATTTCCTTTCGATATGCACATCTACATAGTATGTCCTTATTATCTGAAAAGGTTTCATGAAATTCTGTTGTGTGGTTTGAGAGGAGTTGCAATGACAAAAGGTTGCAGTAGTATATTGGGCAAATAAGTTCAAAGGGGCGTAACTCCGGGGAAAAAAATTGAATCGTAATTTCCTGTCGATATGCACATCTACGTAGTATGTCCTTATTATTTGAAAAGGTTTGATGAAATTCTGTTGTGTGGTTTGCGAGGAGTTGCGATGACAAACTGTTGCAGTAGTACATTAAAGTAAATAAGTTCAAAGGGGCCTAACTCCTAAAAAAAGAATTGAATCGTAATTTCTGTCAATATGCACAACTACATAGTATGTCCTTCTTATCTAAAAAGGTTTCGTGAAATTCTGTTGTGTGGTTTGAGAGGAGTTGCGATGACAAGAAAACAGACGGACGGGTCAAAAACATTATACCCTCTGCAACTCGTTGCGTGGGGTATAAAAATGAACCATCTTACAGGATGCCATGACAATGTCGGATCTGCAAAAAAACTAAAATAGGCAAGTCTCTAGGAAAATTCAATGGACAGGAGCATCATAACCATATGTTAATTTGGATCGAACAATATACCATTATTTTGTATATACCATTAAATATATAGGAGAGGTAACGCTGACAGGTCAGACCTAGACAGTGTAAAAAAATTTAAGTTAAAAGGGGCATAACTCTAAAAAAATAAACCTCAATCAACAGAGTTGAAACATTCTACCCACATACACATCTGCATATTAGGATCTAAAGTTTCATGTCAATATGATAAACCATGAAGGAAGACTTGAGATGATGAGGTTGGTTCTAAAAATGATAAAAATTTCTTTGGTGAAGTGGCCTAATTCTGGATAAACTTAACTATAAAAAAATCCTTTACATGGGGATGTTTGCATATCATGATCAATTATTCTACAAAGTTTGAAGTTACTGTAAAATCTGAAATTATTGAGATGTTTTCATTAATGCAAAAAATATGACAGCATCAGGTTTGCAAAAATGAAAAATTGCATTCATAATATTAGAAGTGATTTTCCTTCATAAAATTTTTGCAATTGCATTAATTAGATTTCACATTTTTGCCAGATGTTAAAGACTTACAATAATACATTGTAAATACACACATTAATTTCTAGACTACAGTAATCAAACAACGGATGAAGAACTTAAAAGTGTTCCCACTAGTCAGTTAAGATGGACTGAAAATTTTGGCTTTGATAAAAATCATTGGAAAAGAATTTATAAACTGCCATTTGTTGTCACAAAAAATACCAAGCTACAGTGGCTGCAGTATAGATTAAATCATCAAATCTTGGCTACAAACAAATTTCTTTGTGAAATTAAGATTTATGATAATCCAAATTGTACATTTTGTACTAGAGAAATGAAACATTAGAACATTTATTTTGGGATTGTGAACATACACAGATATTATTAGAACAGATTAAAAATTGGTTTCTGACCAATGGAATTAATGTATTTTTTACAAAAGAAGTTTTTTTGGTTGTTAACATTGCAAAAATATCAAAAGGCAATGCAGAAAATAGTCTTTTTCTGATCATAAAACAAGTAAAACTGTGAGCTACTGCTCACTGATGATACCCCTGCCGAAATATTTCGGTAAACAGGAAGTTGTTGAGTGATGAATCTGAAAACGCATCACACAGTATAGCTGACTTATATAAACCCTGAAACCAAATTTCAGAAATCCTTGTCAAGTAGTTCCTGAGAAAAATGTGACAAAAATTTTCAACTTGGCTATCATGTGTAAAATAATACAAGTGTTCAGTGAACAGGAAGTTGTTGAGTAATGAATCTGAAAACACATCACATGGTGTAACATACTTATATAAACCCTGAAACCAAATTTCAGAAATCCTTGTCAAGTAGTTCCTGAGAAAAATGCGACGAAAATATTCATGGGACAGACAGAGGTAAAACAGTATACCCCCACTTTTTTAAAGCGGGGGTATAAAAAATATATTTATAAAAAATACCACATCTTTTAAAAAAAAACTGTCAATATACTCAGTAAAAGAGAAGATGAAATATTTGTATAAAATTGATAAAAATATCGCTATGAAAAACAAAAGTGAATATCAGTTTCACAGAGAATGGAATATTTTTGATAAATTACTTAGTTAAAGTATATATTTCTACTGCAATGAATGAAAATGCAGGATTTACTATACTGAATTATAAATTCAACGTCAAGATGATTTTGTATTGTAAACTCACCACACTTTTCTCTCTCTCTCTCTCTCACCTCTCTCTGGTGTTCAGACTGTCTTACTCTCTATCTTATATACGTATATTTAGAAGAAAAAAAGCTTCCTAAGAAAGATTTATTGATTAGATAATATTAATAGATTTATATATTATATATTGCTATTATATTTGTGTATATCATGCTGTAAACTGGAAATTATAATATAAATTAAAAAAAAAGGTTCGCAAAAATAAAAAAATGCATTCATAATCTTAGAAGTGATTTCCCTTCATAAAATTTTTGCAATTGCATTAATTAGATTTCATTTTTTTGCCAGAGGTCAAGGACTTACAATAATAAATACACACATTAATTTCTAGACTACAGTAATCAAACAACTGATGAAGAAATTTGTCTTGACCGACGAACAGACAGGCTTATATTGGAAAGGTGTTATATGTATCAACATAAAGTGTATAACACATTAACATAAAGTGACTTGTATATATATATATATACATATATCCATTACCTGAAAACATCCTGTCTGAGTGGCTGGAATGGATAGGACAAGTGTGAAAAGCTGTAACTTGAGTACGAAACATCTTCATCAAAAACCACCATGTTATCTTTCCAACAATAGTCCTCTACTCCGTTACTGTTTGTGTTGATATTATCACCAAGAAAAAAATCATGGTCTATTAAACTACATTCACTACTTAGCCGACGTTGTGTCTGTGTCACATCGCAATTAGATTTACTTTCAATCAAATCAAGAGCCCATTTTTCATCTTTTGATCCAAATAAAACATCAGTTTGATCCGATTCCTTAGAATCATCAATTGCTGCTTGGTAACTGAGCCTTCTCAAGCTACTGGTCATGGAATCTTCCAACGAAACAAAACTGTCTTCGTTTTCATTGATATCAACGTTTGCATCACTTTCTGATCGACAATCAAACTCTAGAACGCCATCAGTACTGGAGTTGACTGAGTTTTGAGAAAGAAGTCGATTCCACACAACTGTATTTTCTGTGCTAACTGAGCTACAATCATTCATGTCATTCAAGTTCTCTCTAGATTGTCCGTTGTTTAAACTAGCACTTTTAGTTAATATTTGAGGTAATGGTCTGTTTCCGTTGAAGAAATCTATTGTCAGTGCCTCTGAAAAACAGGTTATATACAGGTAATCATGCTTAAAATTATCTCCAGTACACTGAGTATATCAAATTCACAATTAAAGTTAAAAATATCATGCAGCTAGGCATACAATTGTTAACCATGTCCAAATTCTTTCAATATATAGGGAGTTGTCCTAGAATACTGAATCACTCACAATGTAATAGTGGCTCCCCTATTGATGGATGAGCTTGCATTATGTTGGGTTTTTTTTTTAGTTATCTAGTTTGTTTTAGAGAACAAGGCATAAAAACTTGCATCTGAATGCCATTCATTTATAAAGGATCCAATACAGTTAAATATACATTAGGGCTGTTCAAGAATTTATTGTTTAGGAGGGAATTCTATAAAATTTGATGGGTGGTGGTTACCCGGTATTTTAATCAAGATAGACGAAACGATTATAGGAAATTATCAATTAAATTTTTATACGGGGTGGGGTAAAATAAAAAGTGCCTCCCATCCTCCCTACACCCCCCCAATATGTTATTCATTGGAATTTGAGTTGGATAAGTTGAGGAATTTTGTCAGTCCCACTAAAATTCTGCATTCAATGCATTTTTAACATTGATAACTTGAACTTGGTTGATTTGAAATCTTGTCTAACACAAGTCAATTTTAAAGTCTAATTTATAGAAAATTTGGGACAAAAATTAACTTTTCTTTTTTTGGAAACTTATTAAATCCTTAAAATCGAGTTTGAAAAACTATCAATAAGATTTACCGGTATAGACTAGGGATGATTTAGATTTTGACATATTGTATAGGCACCAATGTAAACATTCAGTAATGTATTGAGGACTTTTAACTTAATAATAACGATTGCTGGAACATAGATGTATATGTAAAGTTATTAAATGTATTTCTTACCTACAAGTGCAGAACTTGCAGAACTCCCTGTCCCAAAACAGCTACATTTATGTAAAGATGATTCTTTTTTCTTGGACTTGTTCTGAAAATAAATATTCCAATCAAATACGATGGTTTTTTGACATACTCATTTATTTTTGTATCTTGAAGAGTATTGTAGAGTGGTTCAAATCAGATGGAAATTAAACTTAAAAAAAAAGACTAACAGGAAATTGTTAATTTCAATATATAGTAAGCCACAGTATGACAGCAATAATAGGACACATTATTGCTTATTACCGCTGAAATTAGTCTTTATTATGATGTCAGATATGCCCTTCACTAAAAACAGACAAAACAAAACAGCAGTTTGTTTCTTTTATTTGGTGCATTGAGGATTCAAATGATTGAAAGCTACAGTAATTACAATGACAACAGTTGTATTTCCAAGGAAGACCAGTCACCTGCTGTCTCCAAATAATGTAAAATGATAGAGAAATTACTTGTAAAAAAAAGATCACAATAAAAGGTGCACAACTTTATAGCCTGTAGAAGTATCTATGCAAAGTAGGTGTAATTGGTTCAAATTGTTTTCAAGTAATTGCTAATTTACAAGCTGATCTACTGTAAACCAACTTATTTCCCTGGATACTTTATTTCCTGTTCAGCCCTTTTTAACTATTTCCCAGTCATTTAATTTTGATATTGTCCCAAAATTGGTCATTAGGTGCAAAAAAGGTCAATTTTGACAATTTTTCATCCTATTTCTAGACCTGCAAGACTGTGGGATGCTGATTGATGTATCCCACTGTAGTCTGCTTGTAGAGTGGACCCCAGTAAACACATTAAACACAACAAAGCTTAGGTCAGAGTGAAACTTATCTGGTTACAGCAGTCTAAAGAAGGTCATTTGCACAAAAAAAACCTGGAATTTCCAGATTTTTGTCTTTAACTGGACCTGCAACCGGAAGTAGTTGATCCCTAAGTGTATTTCAATAATAAACACAATCAGCAATTATATTTCCGTGGGTTTACACTATTTTCGCAAATTTTAGGCCTCTGAACTGCTTATATCAGACATTGAAGGAAAGCCAAACCTTCCAGAAAAGCCAGTTTTATTCGATTCCAATTTTCCAAGTTCGTATTTGTGCTCAAAATGCACCTTAAACCTGAGAATCATGACAATAAATGCATGAACTTCGAAATTAATGTCATACAGTTGACCTCTAAAAGTATGGAGAGCCATTGGAACCAAAAAACAGTATTTTGGGTAGAGGCCTTAATATTACGGCCCCCTAATGGTAAGGGTTAAATAAGTTTAAACATATTTTATTGTTCAAAATGAAACATGGATCAGACACAAGTTTTACAACTTAGCAATGTCTTCTCCAGGTTAAATGCCCTGAGGGAAATATTTTAACCATATTATACATGAAGATCGGACACATTGTTTCAGACTATATATGTAGTGTGATAAGTAGAGAGGCAGAGAAAACCAAAAACAGAGTCTGGTGTATAATCTCACAACCTCTCTCATTGAAGACAAGCAGGCTATCATGACCACCTCAAGTTGGTAACCCAATTAAATAATTTAAGGGTTTCTTCCTTTATGATTCAAAAAAAATTTCTGCATAATATGTTCCAAATGTGATCTTGACTCTATATGCTTGCCCAAACATTACTAAATAGAAAAATTCCATTACCAGTTCTATAGTGTTTGTTTTATTTTTTATTACCAGCTCAAATGTTGACTTTGTCAGATGAAGGTCAGATTTCAGTGCCAGAATTTCATTAAATATCCTCCTCTTAATTGAATCTGTTGAATCGTTCAACTCATTCTCAAACTGAAAAAAAAAAATGCAAATCAAAATTTTTACAAAAAACTTTAATTGTTACTTTTGTTATACTTCAACAATACAGAATATTTTCATCACTCATTAATGGAATATCTATACAGATTTTATTAAAATCAAACCAATTTATAAGTCCTTTAGTCACCAATAGTTTCTACAAATTTTTAGCATTTGTAAACATAATCTATCTGTAATTCAATATAAACCACCTTTTGCACAAATGATATTGAAAAATAACTTTCTTTGAATATTTGATGTTTAAATATTTTTGGAACAAAGTCCTTCATTAGCCTATGGAGGCTGTCTGATATTTCAAACTGTATAATTATGTATTGATTCATGCTGCACTATAATAAACAAATCTAAAAATAGAATGTGGATTGAACTTTCTTTTAATAATCAACAATTTTTTTTTCATTTCAAACTTTTAATTTGTTTTGGAGTTATTTCCCATTTCTTATGATTTGGAATTATTGGGGTATTTATTTTAAATATATTATTAATCAAAATAAAATTAACTCTGCCGTTGCATCATAGGGGAGTATTGATCAATAATTATCTTTACATGCCAGACTGGTGTTGGATTGCCGCTGTGCTCGTCTGCCCTCAGACCACAGTCCTTATTTGGGCAAGAGACTGGCATTACCAATGGGAAAGGGGCTTCCAGTGATGACCAGTCACATGACTAATTAGCTGATTGGTTTGTGATTGTAGTGCGCTCACTTCAATTAGAAAATTTAGCGTGGTTGAACGCAGCAAAGTTTCATGCAGAAACTAATTTTTTATTATATAAACGCTTGGATTATTTATTGAGTGCTTTATCAACATACATATGTAAGTCACGTTCTTGCTTATTATGGCTTCAGTTTTTGAACAATTTAAAGCTATACTGGGATTTCCCGAGTGGTTCCAACTGTCGGACGAAGAAATTTCTACTTTGAACTCTTACTTGTCTGAAACCGAGAACGATGTCAATCGGGCTTTGTGGTCACTAAAATTGGATTGTGCCGCATGTTGCAGTGGGTGTATCTTTTGTATCAAAAGTACACGCACAGATTAGAATTGATTATCGCTGTAAACTTGTGCTTGACATTCACGATTCAGACTATTCAATTGATAAAATTTCGAACAAAATCGACAAAAGACGCATTTTTGTCATTAGCAATTAGCAATGGAAGATATCGAGAAGGTGCAAGCGTGGGCAACCGCCAAAAAACTGGACGAAAATACCGTTGACGAATTGCTGAAGAATGGATTCAACAGCATTGAATCTTTGTCCTTGTTGACATTAGAGGACATCAAAACTTTCCATAAGAAATATTGTACAACATTTCCACAAATAAATTACTAGAAGTAATATCAATTAGTGCCTCTAACTTAAAAACTAATTACAAATAATAGGTAATATAAAGCCACCTACACTGATTTCATCCTGACATTCGTTCTCTATATCTTTTTGTACAATTCTCCATATCTCCTTTAAATCCATTTGTCTGGAAAGTTTATTGGAATAAAGATTCTCCTGTAAGATAATAGAGTAGGCACAGTGACTTTGAGATGAAGAACAGCAATAAAAGCACTGTTCCTTTGCTTTTTGTGTGTTTTTTTGCTGTGCATGTACTGATTTTGTGTCATGGATGGACCCTATATCTTTCGTTTTTCTATTATGATATTGTTATACTAGATGACTGATTAATATTTGCTTTATGTCTGGTTGCAAATATCGCATGCTTGTTTAGGATGATCGTTATAATAGAGGGATAACAATTCACTAAAATTTCCCTTAAATTAATTAAGCGCTTGAATTTAATATCTCTTTCAGCTCTCTTGGCTATATTATAGAGGCCAGTTTTTATTGGTGGCAAAAGCTGGAGTACCAGGAAAGAATTACTGACCTTCCACATGAAAACTGGTCCCTATATCTTTCGTTTTTCTATTATGATATTGTTATACTAGATGACTGATTAATAATTGCTTTATGTCTGGTTGCAAATATCGCATGCTTGTTTAGGATGATCGTTATAATAGAGGGATAACAATTCACTAAAATTTCCCTTAAATTAATTAAGCGCTTGAATTTAATATCTCTTTCAGCTCTCTTGGCTATATCATAGAGGCCAGTTTTTATTGGTGGCAAAAGCCGGAGTACCAGGAAAGAACTACTGACCTTCCACATGAAAACTGGTCAATTAAGATAGTAGTCGAACACACCTACCACATATGGGGTTCAAACTACTTAGACCACTCGGCTACCAATGCCTCCTCTTAAACAAAGAATTGTTACAGACTGATTAACATTTATAGAAAGGAGTCTATTTACAGAACGAACAAACACAGAAAAAAAATCAAGTTCAAAAGAAGAAAAAAATCAATTTCCACTGTGTTTTTGTCATATTTTGAAAGAATTAATGTGAGCATAAAATTTTAGACGTATTATTCATACAACTATAATATCCTTACACTAACCTCTAATTCATAGGATCGTAGCTTCTCTATTTCCACATCTTTTTCACTCTTCCTCATATCATCCTGAAGGCAGCTTATCTGACCTATCAGAAAACATGATGACAATTAGTGATAAAATTAAACTAATTAAAATCAATTATTTAATTAATTAATAAAAAGACAAAAGTTCTACCCCAGCAAAAATATTTCCAATCAAGGTTTTGATATTAGTGAGTATTCTTTCAGATTTGAAGGGTTCCAAAAGTAATAAAACATACAAATATGAAACAATATATCCTATAAAAAGCCTTCATTTAAACAGATCATGGACACAGAACTAGAGTTGCTAACATCTACGTCATTTGGTCTCCGGTGGATAGTTAGTTGTATCAATGGCAATTGTATCACATCTTCTTATTCTATTGTAACTCAGTAATTTATAAAATGCTGGACATATATAGTGATATACTGGTAAAAGCAATTTTCTGGACGTACTACACTTTGGGATAATCCATGAAAAAGTTAATTTTTTTTCACAATAAAAAAATTCTCTATACCATGTAAAAATGACCAAAGAAACAAGGCTTATATAGTAGTTTTATCTGCACAAGATTCATCAGTGGAATTTGAATCAGTACAGCACTGAAAACCCCCCCCCCAAAAAATGAGCAATTGCTGTGGTCTTTATCATTTCTCAACAAGTATGAGTCAAACAGTCCAGATTTTGTGTTTTCTCTCCATTACACAGTCAGCTCTTGACCGTATAACTCACAAAAAAACCAAAAAGTTTAAATTAAAATTATGCAAATTTCTTTTCAAATCTTAACTTCTCATTTATCATTCAAAAGATATTACAGGAGACGTCTACCCCTCAAACTAGAGGCTCTCAAGATCCTGTGTCGCTCACCTGATTCTACTTTGGTTTTGGAAATCATGTAAAAATAGATTAAAATCAAAACAGATACCCTAATAATGATTGAGGCAAAATTTGGTTTAATATTGGCCTTGTAATTTAATAAAAAATCTTGAGGTTATGTATTTCCCATAAGATCTTATGTTAAACTACGTCCCCTGCTGGCGGCCATCTTGGATGATGGTTCAGCTACAAAGTAACAACACTTAGTCAGCAACTCATTAGGAACATTCATGCCCTGTATGGTTTCATTCTATTCAGTGGTTCTCTAGAAGAAAACATTTGTATGTATTTCCCATAGGGTCCTATGTTAAACTTACTCCCCCTGCTGGTAGCCATCTTGGATGACAAATCAGCTACAAAGTAACAACACTTGGTCAGCACCTCTAAAGAAACATTCATGCCATGTTTGGTTTCATTCCATTCAGTGGTTCTTCAAAAGAAGACATTTGTATGTATTTCCCATAGGGTCCTATGATAAACTAAGTCGTTCTCTGGCGGCCATTTTGGTTGATGGATGGGCTTCAAAGTAGCAACACTTGTTCAGCACCTCATAAGGAACATTCATGCCATGTTTAGTTTCATTCCATTCAGTGGTTCTCTAACAGAAGACATTTGTATGTATTGTCCATAGGGTCCTATGTTAAACTAAGTCCCCCGCTGGCGGCCATCTTGGAAGATGGATCGGCTTCAAAGTAACAACACTTGGTCAGCACCTCATAAGGAACATTCATGCCATGTTTGTTTTCATTCCATTCAGTGGTTCCCTAAAAGAAGACATTTGTATGTATTGTCCATAGGGTCCTATGTTAAACTAAGTCCACAGCTTGCGGCCATCTTGGATGGTGGATCGCTTACAAAGTAACAACACTTGTTCAGCACATCATAAGGAACATTCATGCCATGTTTGGTTTCATTCCATTCAGTGGTTCTCTAAAAGAAGACATTTGTATGTATTGTCCATAGCGTCCTATGTTAAACTAAGTCCCACGCTGGCTGCCATCTTGGAAGATGGATCAGTTTCAAAGTAACAACACTTGGTCAGCACCTCATAGGGAACATTCATGCCATGTTTTATTTCATTCCGTTTAGTGGTTTTCTAAAAGAAGACATTTGCATGGATTTCCCATAGGGTCCTATGTTAAACTAAGTCCCTCTCTGGCGGCCATCTTGGATGACTGATCGGCTTCAAAGTAACAACACTTGGTCAACACCTCATAAGGAACATTCATGCCATGTTTGTTTTCATTCCATTCAGTGGTTCTCTAAAAGAAGACATTTGTATGTATTGTCCATAGGGTCCTATGTTAAACTAAGTCCCACGCTGGCCGCCATCTTGGAAGATGGATCGGTTTCAAAGTAACAACACTTGGTCAGCACCTCATAGGGAACATTCATGCCATGTTTTATTTCATTCCGTTTAGTGGTTTTCAAAAAGAAGACATTTGCATGGATTTCCCATAGGGTCCTATGTTAAACTAAGTCCCTCTCTGGCGGCGATCTTGGATGACTGATCGGCTTCAAAGTAACAACACTTGGTCAACACCTCATAAGGAACATTCCTGCCATGTTTGTTTTCATTCCATTCAGTGGTTCACTAAAAGAAGACATTTGTATGTATTGTCTATACGGTCCAATGTTAAACGAAGTCCCCTGCTGGCGGCCATCTTGGAAGATGGATTGGCTTCAAAGTAACAACACTTGGTCAGCACCTCATAAGGAACATTCATGCCATGTTTGGTTTCATTCCATTCAGTGGTTCCCTAAAAGAAGACATTTGTATGTATTGTCCATAGGGTCCTATGTTAAACTAAGTCCACAGCTTGCGGCCATCTTGGATGGTGGATCGGTTACAAAGTAACAACACTTGTTCAGCACATCATAAGGAACATTCATGCCATGTTTGGTTTCATTCCATTCAGTGGTTCTCTAAAAGAAGACATTTGTATGTATTGTCCATAGGGTCCTATGTTAAACTAAGTCCCACGCTGGCTGCCATCTTGGAAGATGGATCAGTTTCAAAGTAACAACACTTGGTCAGCACCTCATAGGGAACATTCATGCCATGTTTTATTTCATTCCGTTTAGTGGTTTTCTAAAAGAAGACATTTGCATGGATTTCCCATAGGGTCCTATGTTAAACTATGTCCACAACTTGCGGCCATCTTGGATGGTGGATCAGTTACAAAGTAACAACACTTGTTCAGCACATCATAAGGAACATTCATGCCATGTTTGGTTTCATTCCATTCAGTGGTTCTCTAACAGAAGACATTTGTATGTATTGTCCATAGGGTCCTATGTTAAACTAAGCACCCACGCTGGCTGCCATCTTGGAAGATGGATCAGTTTCAAAGTAACAACACTTGGTCAGCACCTCATAGGGAACATTCATGCCATGTTTTATTTCATTCCGTTTAGTGGTTTTCTAAAAGAAGACATTTGCATGGATTTCCCATAGGGTCCTATGTTAAACTAAGTCCCTGTCTGGTGGCCATCTTGGATGACTGATCGGCTTCAAAGTAACAACACTTGGTCAACACCTCATAAGGAACATTCCTTCCATGTTTGTTTTCATTCCATTCAGTGGTTCTCTAAAAGAAGACATTTGTATGTATTGTCCATAGGGTCCTATGTTAAACTAAGTCCCACGCTGGCCGTCATCTTGGAAGATGGATCGGTTTCAAAGTAACAACACTTGGTCAGCACCTCATAGGGAACATTCATGCCATGTTTTATTTCATTCTGTTTAGGGATCATAGATTTATTCTTATGAGGAAGCTCCGAGCATGCTCGGAGGATGCTCAGAGCTTTTTCAGTAGGCTCTTCTCTGCAGTTTATGTGAAAATAATTATCATGATCCATTAAGATGTCAATCAAATCTACACCACTTCTATAATAAGGAAAGTAGAGCATTATAGAGGAAGCTCAATTAACACCTGTGTAAACATCTAATCTATTCAAATACATTTTGCCTGAAATTTTACAAAACTATAGAATAGATTAGAAATTCTTCAACAGTACTGTGTAATGCTTGGAAAGAAATCTCATGTCTCCACAAAAAGTGAAAGTCTTTAACAAAAAATATACAATTATTATATTTTTAAAATAATCATTTCTTTTTTTATAATAAAAAAAATTCTCAAATTTTATAATTAGATGATATGATTTAAATATAGTTTATATTATATAATATGCTACATAAAAGTTATCAAGACACAAACAACAGTCAGGGGGCGATACTAAACAAGTTATTTTTTTTAGTTATTTATATTAATAGGTATTTTTTGTTTTTTTAAATTGTTTGATATAATCTCAATTGTTATTTTAAATGTCAAAAGTGGACTAAATGTAGTTTTTAAGAATTTTTATATCATTTCATTAAGTAAAATTAAATATTTATCCAACTTGAGATGAGTATAGAGAGATTACTTTAAAAATAACGACAAAAATATTACTTTTATAAATTATTTTATACATCTTCGAAAAACTAAGCGAAAAACTAAGCACAATTATCTAAGGAACATATGTAATTGTTTTTGATAAATATTTCAAATTATAAATAACTTCAAGTCTTAATTAAATCACAAGGTTCCATCCATTTATATTTGTTCATCTCTAAGATTTTGAAGGAAAATGTTATTTTAATAGCCCCAAGAGACCAATCTATGACCAAGAAGTGTGGCATCAGAAAGGCAATTAGTGTTTCAGGAGGATTTAAATAGTTTTATACTGCATGGGGAAAATAACCAGATGTGAAAATTTGTTAAAGCTTGTAAAACCTGTATGAATGGACACCTATAGAAATAATATTAACAGAAGTTACTTATTCATGATATATAAGTAATATTTGAAACAACCTTGTTTTCAATACAACTTGTATAGGTTATTTTGAAAATTACTAGTTTAAGTAATGCCCTTAACTAAACAATGGTATTTTTTTTTATAAAATAGCAAAGTTAGTTTTTTATATAAAATATTTTTGCAATTTTAGGGGACATGGCTACTAAAGCTTGTAAACAGAGAAAAAAAAGGGGGATAGAATTTGGTTGGTTAATTCTGGTGATGTCTTCTTTCTAATATGCACTGAAAAATTATGTTGTTTTATTACTATAGTACAGGACAAGAAAAAACTTTACTCATTTCAAGTATTTCTTTATTTAAAACATAGATAAATTCTGCACATATTTTTGGAAAAATACCAATTAAACAAAGACTGATAGGGGGAAACAATTTTATATTACGGTAGATTTTCATTCAAGTACAGGTCAGGATAAAACTTCACTTCTTTATTTAAAATAAAACCAAATCTGCACAATTATAAAAAAAATGACAATTAAAGTGAGACGTACTAGAGGGAAAACAATGGTGGTATTACCTCCTCAACCTTTCTTAGAGTAGCCATAATTTTTTTTATAAAAAACTAACTTTGCTATTTTATAAAAAAAAAAAAATTATCATTGTTTTAATAGTTAGGGGCATTACTTAAACAAGTAATTTTCAAAATTACTTATACAAGTTATATTGAAAACAAGGTTGTTTCAAATATTACTTATATATCATGAATAAGTAACTTCTGTTAATATTATTTCTATAGGTGTCCATTCATACAGGTTTTACAAGCTTTAACAAATTTTCACATCTGGTTATTTTCCCCATGCAGTATAAAACTATTTAAATCCTCCTGAAACACTAATTGCCTTTCTGATGCCACACTTCTTGGTCATAGATTGGTCTCTTGGGGCTATTAAAATAACATTTTCCTTTAAAATCTTATAGTTGAACAAATATAAATGGATGGAACTTTGTGATTTAATTAAGACTTGAAGTTATTTATAATTTGAAATCTTTATCAAAAACAATTACATATGTTCCTTAAATACATGTAATTGTAAGTATGCTTAGTTTTTCGAAGATGTATAAAATAATTTATAAAAGTAATATTTTTGTCGTTATTTTTAAAGTAATCTCTCTATACTCATCTCAAGTTGGATAAATACTTAATTTTACTTAATGAAATGATGAAAAAATTCTTAAAAACTACATTTAGTCCACTTTTGACATTTAAAATAACTATTGAGTTTATATCAAATAATTTAAAAAAACAAAAAATACCTATTAATATAAGTAACTAAAAAAAAATAACTTGTTTAGTATCGCCCCCTGACTGTTGTTTGTGTCTTGATAACTTTTATGTAGCATATTATATAATATAAACTATATTTAAATCATATCATCTAATTATAAAATTTGAGATTTTTTTTTATTATAAAAAAAGAGATATGATTAATAAATATAATAATTGTATATTTTTTGTTAAATGACTTTCACTTTTTTGTGGAGACTTGAGATTTCTTTCCAAGCATTACACAGTACTGTTGAAGAATTTTTTATCTTTTCTATAATTTGTAAAATGTCATGCAAAATGTATTTGAATAGATCAGTTGTTTACACAGGTGTTAATTGAGCTTCCTCTATAATGCTCAACTTTCCTTATTATAGAAGTGGTGTAGATTTGATTGACATCTTAATGGATCATGATAATTATTTTCACATAAACTGCAGAGAAGAGCCTACTGAAAAAGCTCCGAGCATCCTCCGAGCATGCTCGGAGCTTCCTCGTAAGAATAAATCTATGATCCCTTAGTGGTTTTCTAAAAGAAGACATTTGCATGGATTTCCCATAGGGTCCTATGTTAAACTAAGTCCCTCTCTGGCGGCCATCTTGGATGACTGATCGGCTTCAAAGTAACAACACTTGGTCAACACCTCATAAGGAACATTCCTGCCATGTTTGTTTTCATTCCATTCAGTGGTTCTCTAAAAGAAGACATTTGTATGTATTGTCAATAGGGTCCTATGTTAAACTAAGTCTCCCGCTGGTGGCCATATTGGATGATGGATCGGCTACAAAGTAACAACACTTGGTCAGCACCTCATAAGGAACATTCATGCCATGTTTGGTTTCATTCCATTTAGTGGTTCTCTAGAAGAAGTTCAAAATGTAAAAAGTTAACGACGACAACGAGGGACTTGGCCCTTTGGGCCAGGTGAGCTAAAAATGAAAAACAGTAACTTATATGCTGCCTTATTATTCATGTAAAATTTAAGTCACAGAGGATTTGGTCTATCAGTAAAAGAATGCTTATAACTTACATGCTAAGGCTGCAACATACAACATATCTATAGTCTATCATAAAGACCTATTCTGAAATGGATCTCATCAGAAAAAGTGTTGAAAATGATGTGATTGCTGGATAAATAACAACCATTAAAAAATTAGGAGATCCCAAATGATTGCCATTGAGACAACTATCCACAAAAGACCAAATGACGTAGATGTTAGCAACTATAGGTCGCCTTAAAGCCTTCAACAATGAGCAAAAAGGACCTGACAATAACAAAATGTGAAACAATTCAATTGAGTGAACTAACAGCCACACTACAGTAACAGTAATGTTTTGTTTTGAAGAATTATCATTTTCTAAAACATGTTCCTTAATAATAGCAATTTTGCATTCTAGATCATAAATTCAGAAAACATTTATGCATAACTTGATCTGAATTTGAGTATAAGGCTAACCAATTTTATTAACACAAATGTCAGAAAAAGATACAAACCTTCAGATTTGGCACATTTATCAAACAACTCCATATTAGTTCTGAAAGACAAAAAAAACATAATGAATTCATATACTGATAACATATCTCAAGCTTTAGTGCTCTTAAAACTCATAGATTTCTTTTCAAGCTTAAGATTGTGAACTTTCCATTTCTATGTTGCAACATTCCAGCAGCATCTGCATATAGAGTATATATCTCCCAGTTGATATGATATTCCAGAGCTTGAACTTCCTATCATGATTTCCTTGATAGAGGGTTGCTGCTCACAAGGAAGCTATTAAACCAAGAGTTCCAAGTGGAAGTTGAAAATCATCACTTCGAAAACTTTACGGAAGCCATCCCCAGTCGGTTGACTGCTATGGAATATCTTACAGATGACGACGATATGTTTCAATTGTCGTAACCACAATCCCGTCCTCATTTCCTTGAATGTGACCTAGCGAATTAGACTTATCACCTGGTTTGTACTAACAGGAGCAACACGAAAGGTGCCACATATGGATCAGGATCTGCATATCCTTCCAGGGCACCTGAGATCACCCCCAGTTTTTGGTGAGGTTGGTGTTGCTCAGTCTTTAGTTTTCTATGTTGTGTTTTGTATACTGTTGTTTGTCTTTCGGTCTTATTTTGTTTTTTGCCATGGCTTTGTCAGTTTGTTTTCGACTTATGAGTTTGAATGTCCCTTTGGCATTTTAACTCTCTTTTAAGAGCATTATCAATTCATTGTGTATACTGGTAAACCATCTTAATTTTAAATCATTACATCTCATAGATATTTTCTCAAGCTTTAATCCATTATAAACATATTCGAAGGCATTTACAGTAGGGGCAATTTTACTTGCTAGTGAATTTTTATTTTTCGACTAAAAACGATTGGATTAAGAGAAATTAGTTTAACAATACTATCAGAGTACAAATGCATTGCAAGAAAAACAAGAGTGCACAGGCTGAAATGTCTCGCCTTCTTTACTAACCATTGATTTTATGTTGATAGTCCTAAATATAAAGCTTTACTACAAGTAACACATAAACTTAACATGATCCAAGAAAATAAGGTCAAGGTCAGATAAACCAAACGAGAAATACATGTACACCTTACATTCATTCAATAAACCAAACATAGTTGACCTATTGCTTAGTTTCTAAGAAACAGTCTTAACCAAGAAAACTTAACATTGACCAATGAACCATGAAAATGAGGTCAAGGTCAGATGAACCTTGCCAGACAGACATGTACACCTTACGATCAATTTATGCATTAAATATAGTTGACCTATTGCTTATAGTATCTAAGAAACAAACTTAACCATGAAAACTTAACATTGACCAATGAACCATGAAAATGAGGTCAAGGTCAGATGATACTTGCTAGACAGACATATACACCTTACAATCCTTCCATACAACAAATATAGTTGATCTATTGCTTATAGTTGAAGAAAAACAGACCAAAACACAAAAACTTGACACTGAGAAATTAATTGTGAAAATGAGGTCAAGGTCAAATAAAACCTACGAGACTGACATGTACATCATAAAATATTTCCATACACCAAATATAGTTGACCTATTGCATATAGTATTAGAAAAAAAGACCAAACTCAAAAACTTAACTTTGACCACTGAACCATGAAAATGAGGTCAAGGTCAGATGACACCTACCAGTTGGACATGTACACCTTACAATCATTCCATATACCAAATATAGTAGACCTACTGCTTATAGTATCTGATATATGAACTTGACCACGAAAACTTAACCTTGTTCACCGATCCATGAAATGAGGTCGAGGTCAAATGAAATATGTCTGATGGGCATGAGGACCTTGCAAGGTACGCACATACTAAATATAGTTATCTTATTACTCATAATAAGAAAGAAATTAACATTACAAAAAAAGTTGACTTTTTTTTCAAGTAGTCACTGAACCATGAAAATGAGGTCAAGGACAATGGAAATATGACAGACCGAAACTTCGTACCATAAGGCATCTATATACAAAGTATGAAGCATCCAGGTCTTCCAGCTTCTAAAATATAAAGCTTTTAAGAAGTTAGCTAACGCCGCCGCCGTAGCCACCGGATCACTATCCCTATGTCAAGCTTTCTGCGACAAGTGTCGCAGGCTCGACAAAAAATCTTTTTAAACATCATCAAATATACTTTTTCAAATGTTTTCATGGTTTTAGTGCTTAACAAAATCCATTAAAAATCAACTTTAAGAGTAATAGTTCTTTTACAATTTACCAAAACAAAATAACAATGGTTGACTAGATGATTTTTGTAACAATGAATTAAAGGCAACAGTAGATTACCAATGTTCAAATCTCATAAATCCATAAAGAAGTTCTCTCCAGTTTCAAATAACCACACTCAAACCAAAACATGGACATAAAATCTATTACTTTTAATCACAATCTGTTTATACAAAAACTTAAATTGTTATTAAATTATCATGAATTTTATAAATTTTCGTCAATCACACATGTGCAATAACATGTATTCTTCAGTACTGAAGCCTTGTTGTGAAAGTAAAAAGCAAAAACTGGGGTAATTGCAAGGAGTTATAAAGGAGAGAGATCATATGCAAGAAACTGGAATATGACTAAAGTGTGAAAAAACTTGTAATTTTTTTCAAAGAAAATTTAAATATAATTATATACTCTTATAAAAAATATAAACACTTACTGATGTTTTTGCTTTACCAAGCTTAAACTTTGTTTCGAGGCACATCTACCCATTATGATTTAAAATCCCAAAAAGGTATAAGTTCTAAATACAGAAAACACAGTCCATATTTGTCACAAAAAAATACAACAATGTCCCTTCAATACTTTAAAGGATGTTAATGATAATGATCTAACTGCTCATATCACAATTTGACAAAAGGAATGATAAGTAATGTTAAAAAATAGTGATAAATCAATCCCAGCCTTCTTCTAATTGTCTAAGGAATAAAATTTTGCTGTAAGAATAGGATTATTGATATAGATTTGATCTATGTTAAGCAATTTTCTATGAAAAAAAAAGACGAATTCTCCATGGACAAATTCTGTCTGAAATTGTGAGATGAAATTCAATAGAACGTTTGCTGATCATGACAGGGTATGACACATTTGTTCCAGTTAACCATATTAATGTTGCTCCCCAGAATTGTGCTAATATTCATAACACTTATAAAGAGAATACTTCTTAAGAACTGTTCAATCACGATAGTTATAAAAATGACAGAAGCACCAAGTAGGATTACCTGTTAGCCAAGTTTCTATCTTCATGACTTTGTAGTAGATATAAAAAGATTTAAGTGATGACTACAATGAAGACTGTTAAGTCTACTGACAATTCATATCAAATGCTGGGAAACAGAAAAGTTATAAAATTTTCTGCTGTTGTAACCTTGACCTTTGACCAATTGACTTAAAATCAATAGGGATTGTTCACCTTAAGGCCCATTATCCAACAAAGAAAGAAAAAAATACTTGATTTATGCCTCAAAAGATATTGTGTTGAAACCAAACTTTTCTCAAATTTCAGTCTATTTAAAGGTACTGTGACCTTGACCTTTGACCTACTGAAAAAAAAAAAATTAGGGTCTTGTTTTTACCAAGAAGCATTCTCCAGTAAAGTTTGGTGAAGGTTGGGCATACGCTTCAAAAGATGTAATCTAGAATCTATATTTTTGCCTCAATTTCAGTCTATCAATGACAGCTGTAACCTTGACATTTGACCATGTGATCTTGAAATCAATAGAGATCTTCATCAACTCATGGGGCATTATCAAATAAAATTTTGTAAAATGGAACATATATGGTTTAAAAGATTTCATCTGGAAACCAAAACTTTGCCTAAATTACAGTCCACTTATAGCTACTGTTACCTTGACCTTTGACCTATTGGTCCTGAATCAATAGTGATAGTCTCAGTCCAGTCCTAAGGTGCTCTCCCAAAGCAATTTTGGGGGAAGTTGGACACATGATTGAAAAGATAACATCCAGAAAAAACAAAATTTTGACAAAATTTCAATCCATCAATAGCTACTGACCTTGACCTTTAACCCCTAAATCAAAGGAATAACCTCCATTCCATGGTGCTCCTCATAAAAGTATGGCGGAAGATGGACATATGGATCAAAAGATAACATTCAAATCCCGAAGTTCCCTCAAATTTCAGTCTACCAATAGCTGCTGACATTGACGTTTCACTTATTGACGTGCAAATCTTTAGAGGTCTTCCATTACCTATGGGGCATTAACAAACCCATTTTTTGTAATTCTATCATATTTTGCCGAACAATCTGGTGCATACTAAAGCTCCATGGGATGAGGAATACTCTTATTTATATTAGGGTCCACAGGTCAAAGGTCAAGGTTACATCAGCTATTGATAGACTGATATTTTGGCAAATTTTGGTCTCCAGATGATATCTTTTGAACCATATGTCAGTCTTCCAAGAAATAATGACTAATCCCAAATTGATGAAAATGGTAAATTTGGTAAGTAACCTATCTTAACTATATGCAAATCCTAATCAGCTTTAAACACCTAATAAGAATCAAGTAAGTAAAAAAATATGTTTGTTTACCTGATTTCCATAATTATTTCACACATCAGCCATGATTTTATGATATAATATACAGAGGCAGAAAACAAGTCTACCACAGAGCTCTATATACAGCTACGATCAATAAGTATTGACTCATTCTCTACAGTCCCACCAACATAAAAAGATTCAATTTACTTTCAATTAGAGATTATCGGTAAGGACAAATTGTTAGTTATAATTTACTAGCCTTATATTCTGTCATTCTATATTTTGTTTTCATCTAGTAGAGGTTTTTGTACAGTTTTACAAAAGAAAATAAACAAGACAACCGGAATAAAATAAACTAATTAACAGATTAAGTGGAGGATTAAGAATTTTTATTCTTAAACCTTTTATCTTATGGTTGTCTGTTACATGTGACGATTATTTAAGTCTAGGAATATCCCATAGAAAATTACTGAATCTTGAGAAAATCTTACTATTTTTTAAGACAAAAAGATAATCCCTTATTTCTGTCATTTAAATCATTAATACCAATCACTGTGGTTATCAAGACACCACAGGCACAAAAAAAAAAATATCATCACTGAAGGTTTGAAATACACACTGCAGCACCAGTTCATACATAAAACTACGTACAGCTTAGTACTTACTATTTTTATTTTTGAAAAAAGCATGTATTGTCTTGACAAAAGCACTTACCTCTTTAAAGCATTGATTTCTTCTTTCAGTTTCTCTGTTTTATCCTGAATCTGCACACTTTCAAGCTTTAAAATTGTCTTACTCTTCTCTTCAAGCTTTAATTAATGTATTTAATATTAGGATAGGAATTATCCCATTTAAAGATCAAGATAAGTTAATTTATGGTTTCTTATTCTTAAAATTACTTTAGATGAAAGAGTCTGGTTGAAATTGCTCAGAAAAAAGACAAATAGAGTTAACAACATAGGACCAAAGTCAAGTGAAAATTTTGAATTATTTACAAAATCTTGTAAATAACTCTTTTTAGATATTCCAAGACCAAAGGGTTCAAATTATCCCCTGCCAACTCAGTTGGGCCTGTATATATTTTAGTGACAATTTACTTTAAGAGTTTAAAAAAAATCTTTTTACAAAATATCTTATGATTAAAAATATTTAATAGTGACATGGTTTTAACTATGATACATTTGATAAAATCTTTACCTCTTTCTTCAAGTGTTTAACAAGGTTTTTCTCTTCCTCCAAGTTGTCCTTCAGTATAAGTAATCTTCTATCAACAACATTCTGCAGGTCTCGATCACATTCAACCAACATGCTTCTAGAATCATGCTGCACTCTTCTCAACATAGCATTCTCATCTAAATAAATAGCATGCACTACTGTAAATTCCGAAATTATTGCATGCATTTATTATTGTGATTATTAAGAATGGACAAATTATTGCCATTTCTGAAAAATATGCATACAGATATATGTGTCAGATTTCAGAATGAGAGTTCTTATTATTGCATTACTGACCAGGTCGCATTATTCGCATTTATAAAAACCTCACAATAATTTCTGCATTTACAGTATATCTTATATCTATATCATACTCCAGTGTTAGTTTTTAACTGAAATACTGTGGCTTTTTTCAAAAAAAAAAAAAAAATTAAAATTGATTGCAAGTTAAACTGAAATATGTTCAAACAAGGAATTATTTGAATCTGGAATAATTTTGAATTCTGGAAAATTGATAAGAAATACATGATGAAACCTAACCCAATTAAAGAGGTTTAGCCATGCATGCATGCATGGCTATGGGGGTTAGTTAGTTCATACTGAAATATAAGTGAAAGTAACCTAAACCTATTTTAGTTAGTTCATACTGAAATATAAGTGAAAGTAACCTAAACCTATTTAAGCTGGGTCAGTTTTCATCATATATTTCTTATCAATTTACAAGAATTCAAAATTCAAATAATTCCTTGCTATTCATGACTTGCAAACATTGTTACTAGTAACATGTTTATGTGAAAAGAGCCACCGATTAGCTTATTAGCTTTATAAATATAGTGTTAGTTCATATATCTATATATCAACAAAATGCTCAAAATAAAAAAAAAGTAAAAAGAAGGTATTAAAAGAAATTATATTAGTACGTTGGTTAAAAAAGTTTGAAAAAAGTGTTTAGTACAAACAATCTAATGGTTTTGCTGACTGTAAGATAGATAATTTGAATTGATGCTTTTATCACCTGTAAAAATCAGCTTATATAATTTAATGCTGTTATCATATTTATCATATAAAAAAATCAGCTAATATATATTTAATGCTTTTATCACATGTAAAAATCAGCTAATATATATTTAATGCTGTTATCATATGTAGAAATCACACTATCCCTATGTATAATCAGACAGTGATACAAAACAGAAATCACTAAACTGTTCAACAGCAATAACTTAGTTGCTTTTGGAGAAGGGGGAAAAAAGGGGGGGGGGGGGGGGGTGTCATCCCAAATTCCTGAACAAAACAAATTTGTTTCCCAGATCCCATAAATTAATCATTAATTCCCAAGTCCCAATAAGTGTAAATCCCTAATTCCTGCAAAAATAAACGCCCTTTCACCCTTCTTTGCAAAATAGTTTCAATAAATTGAACTGTTAAGACAAACCCTCCAGTTAGATGTTTTTTCCATGATGTAGCCCTCACAATTTCAAGTTATTTTCTTTGTCTAAACATCAATACTTTTATTTACAGTCTTGATCAAAGGCTGAGGTCCAATATTATTTTCAACAGACCAACATTTGTATAAATGAAATTGATATGGTCCTATAAAATGTTTCAAGCATAGCAATCAAATAGATCTACAGTCAACTTAATGAACAGTATGAAAAAATAAAAACTTTTTTAGCAGGAAATTATTCTTATCAACATAGCCTGGCATCCTGACCCAATCTAATACTTCGTCGATATGGCCAGGCATAATACAATCCACGTGACCAACTATCAGCGCTGAACAGGACTGAATTACTACGCATGTGCGTATTTTTAAAATCAAGGAATATATCGATTGGATTGTTAATTAACTGTTGATTCACGATGTTAATCAACAACGCTTGGATTATATTTGTTTAAGTTTTCGAAATTTGCATTTCATATGAAAATAAAAATAGTTTTAAATAAATTTGTGGAAATATAAATATTTCCAGCCATGTGTCAAGAAATGACGCTATCCCAAGATGCATCATTCTAACATTCAATTGACGGAACCGTGTTGTTGTATTCCGCCTAGTTCTACCGTCAAGCAGTTGGCCAGGATCCCAGGCTATTATCAACAGTATAACTTTATGAAACAGTAAATTTGCATAGGGTTATCTGAGAATTATGTAAGCTTTTTATTACAGGTAGTTAAGGTCAATATGGTCATCTCATGTCATTGGTTTATGATGTCTTATTGACCAATGAGGATTAAGTGCCTGATATTTTTTCACATGCATTTAGATGCGCCAACATTCTTGCAATTGCACTGAATGCTAGCGAATGCCATTTTTGTTTTGTCAAGAAAAGCGAGGATTTTAAATTTCCTACCCATCTACTCCCTTGATTCTTTAATATATATATATGTATTATCTTAAAAATTTTCAATTTCAATTTTATTATAATGATTTCTATATTTGATTGTACAATATTTGTTTGTTTATCGACTTTTTGTAATTTGTTTATTGATGGTTGCTGTATTTATTCCTTCCTTTGCAAATTATTCAGTTTTGGTTTATTGCATAATTGTTCTTAACAGTCGGTTGTATTATGTTTTTGTGGTAGTCTGAATAAATGACCTTTATTGCAAATCTTGCTATAGATATTCTGCAAATGAACTCGAATCATAGATTCTACCACTGCATCGATTGTGATAAGATATTTCTCAACTCAAGAGAATTTTCAAATCTAAAAAGTGAGGCTGCCAATAGTGGAGAAATATCTTATTGCACGAGATTTGTTGGTAGAATTTGTTTCTCTAATGATTTTTAGGCGATATGCAGACAAACTTAATCCTTCTTTCCCAAGATCTGAAAAAAGATGTGTTATTTCAATGTAACATCATCAGGCATGGTTACCTTTTTTCATGACATCACAATAGGAAATTCAAAGGAAAGCAAGAAAATTTTACGTAATAATTGAATTTTGACCAATGAAGAATTGAGATCAAACGAACTACATGCTGATTAAACAAAAATAATCAACAGGTCAGATTTCATATTGACCAATGAACCATTAAAATGAGGTCAAGGTCATATGACCCCTTCCAGACAGACATGTACACCCCACAATTGTTTCAATACACTTAATATAATTGACCTATTGCTTAATAATATCTGAGAAATGGACCAAACCACAAAAACGAAAAATTGTCCAATGAACCATAAAAATGAGGTCAAGGTCAGATGAAACCTACCAGATGGATATGTACACCTGACAATCATTCCATACACCAAATGTAGTAGCCCTATCTGTCATAGTATCAGAGAAATAGACCAAACCACAAAAACTAAGAATTGTCCAATGAACCATGAAATTGAGGCTAAGGTAAGATGAAACCTGTTAGTCGGACATGTACACCTTACAATCATTCCATACACCAAATATAGTTGACCTATTGCTTAAAGCATCTGCAATACGGACTTGACCACGTAACTTTATCCTTGATCCCTGATCCATGGAATAAGGTCCAGGTCAGGTGAACCCTACCTGACAGTCATGAAGGTGTTGCAAGGAACCCATATACCAAATATAGTTATCCTATTACTCATATTAAGTGAGTATTTCACTTAACAAAAAAAACGTAATTTTTTTTTAAGCAGTCACTGATTCATGAAAATGAGGGCAAGGACAACGGTCATATGATAGATGGAAACTTCGTAATATAAGGTATTTGCACACAAGGTATGAAGCATCCAGGTCTCCTTCCTTCTGAAATATAAAGCTATTAACAAATAGTTAATGCCTTTGCCACTGCTAGTGTTATATCTATGTCTAGCATACAAAATTATGTTAATCACCATTTTACCTGTAACCTGTATAAGAATGATTTTTTGTAGGTTTAATCAGTGTAATTGGACTTCCCAATGAATCCCTTGTTTTTTTAATATTGAAGGTGACATTCCTTTCAATTAATGAACAGGCTAAGCACATGTAGAATCATCTTCACCTGAGAGTGAAGAGGGAAATAAAAGGTGGCATGCAAATGGATTTAATGATGTCAAATTATCATCTTGCAGTCTATAATTTATCAGAAAAGATTGGGGGTAATTTAACAAAATTGAACCAAACTAACACCTCATAAGATAATGGTTTCACTACAAATCTCATAAAACTGAACATTATCAATAATCTATGTAAATGAGGTCAAGGTCATATTGACATGTCCACCCTGCAATCATTCCATACACAAAATAATGCTCATAATATCCAAGATATAGACTTGACCATGAAACCATAACCATAATCTAAATCACAGATCCATAAATAAGGTCAAGGTCAGGTGAACCCTGTCTGACAGACATGTAGACCTTGCAAGGTTCCATATACTAAATAAAATTATCTTTAACTCGTTTAAGTCAGAAATTGACATGATAAAAAAAAAGCTACATATTTTTTTAAGCAGCTGAAGTATGAAAAATGGGAATTTTGGGCCACCAAATCAAGTTTGTATAGGGTCTTCTAATCATTAATCTCCTAAATTTTCACAACATTTTTCTATTTAATTTAAGAGGTTAGGAAGGGGTTTTGAGCACTCTCAAACATGTTTAACCCCACCAAATATTTTGTGCATGTCCTAAGACACGGGCCTGTAATTCTGTGGTTTGTCCTTAGTTGTTGTATGTCAAGTATTGTTTATGTTAATTGTTTAAGCATAAATCAGGCTGTTTGGTTTTCTCGTATGAATTGTTTTAAATGTTATCATGTTGTGGCAATTAATAGCTTACATTATGGTATGGGTTTTGCTCATTGAAAGCTGTACAGTGACTTATAGTTGCTTACATCTACATTATTTGGATTCTGGTGGATGATTGATTATTGGTGTTTAACACCACTTCCAGCAGCACTCTTAGCTACCGTATATCATAACAGCCAGTTTTCACTGGTGAAGGCAGCCCAGGAAGAACACCAATCTTTGGTAGAAAAATAGACAATCCATTCAAAGTTAATTAAGACTGGAATCAAACACGCATTGCCAAGAACAGGGTCTGAACCAACAACCTCAGTGTTTACAGGTTGAAGAGAAGGCTTCCAAAAGTCGTTTTTGCCGGACAAATGTCAGTTTACCGGACATTGTCCAACTGGGCCAAGCATCAAACGGACATTCTTCTTGGGTTTGCCATTTTAACATTCATGCAATTAAGAAAAATCAACCAATTAAACTTGACCTTGTGCCTTAAACAGCCACACTTTTCCGGTCATAAAAGTGACAGTAATCTATAAAGAAGCCCTACTGTAATTACCTCTCATTCCAATCAATATTAATTAAGTGTTAAACAGGTGAGATTTACCTGTTATCACCAGTGTCTGGTAAAATATTTGTACCGGACATCACTCGATCTTTTTGGAAGATATTTTTTTTATTATTGCGAACCCAATGAAAGTTTTCCACAGTGCCATCTCTATCTTGACCAGGTATTTAAACTTTTGTAAGTTCACCTGTCCTATTGAATAAATACAATAGCTATTGTTCTCTGTGTAGTTTATTCTCTGGGACCTTTAAATTTCTTCTAAGAGAAATCTATCACTCATTGATTAATTTACTGGAGTAAAAAAAATTCTTCTAAAGAGAGGAAAATACATGTTTTATACTCAAAACTGCATGTGCTGTTATATTTATTCAATATTGATAATATATTTTCAATCTGTTGAATGTAAACAGTGATGCAAACATATAATAAAAGTTGATTTCTGACAAAACTTTCAACATCGTTTCTTTACAAAAAAAAAAAACATTTTGTGTGTTTGACATGAAAAAAACTTGAAAATTATGATGCATTCTATAACTAAACAAAAAATTTCAATAGGAACATTGATAAAACTTTTGTTAGAAATCAGCTTTTTATAATTGAATCAATGTTTATATTGAACTGATTGAAAATATATTATTAATATTGAATAAATGTATCATCACATGCAGCTAATGAGTATAAAAACAGTATTTTTGTCTATCATATCTAAGATAATTTTTTTACTCAGGTTATTTAATCAATGAGTGATTGATTTCTCTTAGAAGAAATTTAAAGGTCCCTGGGTAAATAAACTACACCGAGAACAATAGCTATTGTATTCATTCAATAGGACAGGTGAACTTACAAAAGTTTAAATACCTGGTCAAGCTAGAGATGGCACTGTGGAAAACTTTCATTGGGTTCGCAATAAAATCAAAAACAATCCTGGTTTAAATCTAACTACTTTCAAGCAAAATAAATTAAGACTATTGAAAAACCGACAGGTAAACTATTTTTTAATGGACGTTGATCGTTCTATTTATTTAAAAGTTTTTTGTTTTTTTTTAATTTCAACGGTTTGCATCTTATCAATTTCGTCACAAAAAAATTTATTTTTACATGAACATAATTTGATGAAAATTATAAAAGGTAGCAGTAAAGGTTGTAAATGAAAAATAGTCAGAACCACGTTGTTTGAAACTTGCACAGCTGTGAGGTTTAATTATGCATCCGATTTAAAAAAATGCTAAATTCATCATTGATACCTTAATCTAACATGTCTAACGTTCAATTCCATATTTTCCTGAAGAAATAAAGTGAAAAGAGCTACTTTAACTCAATTGTGCTTTGTAAACATATACAGGGTTTACATATCCGTCTCCAGTCCATGTTTTACCATTGTAATGTCAACATCCCTTTTTAGAAAAATATGTTTTTTAAAATCGAAAGCACAGTTGTTGACAGCGTAATTTGCCACAAATAAAGAGTATAAGGCAGATATTAGTACGCAGATGATGCACACTTCAAATGATCCACTGTCAATTGAACAGTTTACGTCAGAACATCGAATCTTTATCAAAAGTCAAGTTTAAATTAAAATCTTTTAAGTGTCAATCATTATTCATATGATAACCAACTGATTAAACTGCTTGCCTTTTGTTACTTAGTCTTCTGGGATTGAAATCGGGATGAGACAAAAATGTCCGGCTGGCTCAAATATATTTTGGAAGCCCTGGTTGAAGATGAACAACTTCGACAACTCTACCAATGATGCCCCTTTTCTGGTGGACAGCTGTCTCATTGGCAATCATACCCTTTTTTTTTTATATACAAGGATGTTTGAGGTGATGAAAATACAAATTGTCTAAAAATAAATGCAGTGGTAACCAAAGCTCATAAGGCCTTATAGGTGAGGTAAAATTTTGGCTTTTTAATAAACGTTCCCCCCCCCCCCCCCCCCCAAAAAAAAAGAAATCCCATTAAACATTTAACTATTCAGAAAAAATAGGTCAAACTAAGCTTAGGGCCATTAATGAAATGAAAAGGCATCATATGGGCCATTATGAAATGAAAGGGAATCATATAACCCATGGCAAAAAAATTTGATGCAGCGCAATGCTTTAATTTTTATAGTAAAAATCTTTGATGCAGGAATATATGGATAAATAGTTGTGGGCATCAATAACAATAAGTATCATTTATATACTTCAAGTTATTCAAAAGTTTGAATTGATTGATTGGTGTTTAACGCAACTGTCAGCACTATTGGCTATTTTGTGATAGTCATTTTTAATTGGTGGAGGAAACCAGAGTGCCAGGAGAGAACCAACAAACTTTGGCAGAAAAATTGACATTCCTTGTCAATTAAGATTGGAAATGGGCACACCTGCCAAGTGTGGGGTTTGAAATCACAACCTCAGTGTTCACAGGCTATTGAACTTCTTAGACCACTCAACAACAGAGGCCCCTTCAAAAGATTTGAGTCGGACACAAATTGAATATATTAAAATATGGTGATGTAAAGTTAAGTTTGTGACCTTGATCTCTTGAAGCAGAAATTCCAATCTTTTACACGAAACATCCTTTGTTGTTGGGCAATAATAGTATCAAGTATCAATTATATCCTTCAAAAAAGCGTCCAAAAGTTCTGAACAAGACACAACTTTCACCAACAGACAGACAGATTTCTATATAATCACTTAACTTAGTTTGGGTGGGAGTATAATTATTCTTCTGTGACTCAGAGCAGTCCAGGCTTAACTCTTACTTTTAAATGCTGTGTGCTAAGAGGAATAGCAGGTAATACCAATTATATGGTCTTTGGTTGAACTCCTGCAACCTACAAACCAGCTATATGAAACCACTAAGGGATGTCTAATTGAATTCCTAGCTATTGATCTGTATCTATAACTATCTAAAAACATCAAGGTTATGCAGGTTTCAATCAAACACTTCCCTAACAGGGACACACTGATTTTAGTATTAACCCAGATTTTTGGGGATTGAAATGTTTCCTTAATTTTGAATTGCAATGTAAATGCGTATTTCCAATCAGAAATCTGTGTAAATTATGGACAATACGTACAAGTTAACAGCTCTGCTATTCATCAATACTGAAGAGGCAGAACTCTATAATTTGTCAACAGAATAAAATGCCCTGCTGATATACCCTATATTTTATATTAGGATCTTACAATGCACAAAGAATCTTTGAAAGATTCATAAATATCTGATGAACCACATAAGTGAAATTGCGTCCACAGATTGCATACTGCATAGCAAAAATAATTTATAGGTGTAAAGAGACATAACTCTGGGATTTGTCAAGTGGACCAGGATGCTTTAATAAGATAGACATTTTCATGTTAGAATCATATTACATGTACAAAGTTTAGTGAACATCTGATGAGGCATGTTGGAGTAACTGTGTCCACAAAGTGTATAATGAAGTGTATAAAATATTATAAAGGGGCATAACCTGGATTAATTAAAGGACCAGGATGCCCTATTAATATGGGCATCAAAAGTTAGTTTAGACAAACAGAGAAGTACATTTCTATATACCCCTCCCTAACTAAGTTTGCAAGGTGTATACCCACTCAAAGATCATATTCTTGTCTAAGAAAAACAATGAAAATGCCACACAAGATACAAAATTTATGCAACTTGTATTTCTTTATATGCCTAAAAAGAAGAGAGAAAAAAAAGCATTTGACAATTAAACATCTATGAAAATAAGCAATACACAGTGCACATAAATTTAAAAGTACAACAGTCTAGTTCACAGATATGTTTTGAATTTCAGTACCTCTTATTTTCTTCATGCTTTTACTTAAATGGCTCACTCTGAAAAAAGAAGAAAATTTTACAAAGGAATAAAAATATGTACTTAATTCATAAGGATAGAAAATGTTTAAATACATAACGACATAAAATCATATCTCTGCTTTTCTTCATATTAGATATCACTCCCAGGATTACATGTGAATGACACTCACGCCCATATTTAAACATGGTGGTGACATATATAAGATAGTTTTTGCATTTACACATAACACTTTTCAGACAGCAGTCATGTGGTGTTAACAAGTTATGTACCAATAAAACAAAACATCCATGACTGTACATGCTCTACAATGTAGTGTACAACAATGCCTAGGTTAATTTAAAACAAAACAAACAAAAAGTCTGATTAAACTTGTTACTTACTGGTTTAACCATATATATATAAGTGATCTATAATAAAGACTTGTTACAAAATGGACTTTAATAGCGAAATTGATAATTAAGCATTTGTCAAAATGTAAAAATAATCAAAAATTTGTATGGGGGTTCTGCGGAACCCTGTGTCTCGCCTGCAATTGCTGCTGTTGGTGTAAAAGTGTAATGTTGACTTAAAAAGTGAGTCCATTTATCAGTAAAATACAGAATTTTAAAAAATAAAACTTTTTCTTTAGATGCTATTTCTTGGTCTTGAAGATTAGCTTCTGTCCAAGTTTCATAACAACTCATGAAGGTTTACAAATTTATCATGTCAAAAATATTAAATCCCAGACTGTCTGTAAATGTCAACTGAAAAAAAAAAACTTAGTCTATCAATGAGAAAAATGAAAAAAAAAAACTTAGTCTATCAATGAGAAAAATACTGAAAATGAAAAAATATATTTTCAAAAGTTTGCTTCAAACATCATCTCTTAATCATTAAAAAGCTTCTGCCAAAGTTTCACAAAATTATATAAAGGTAATTGGTGTGTAACAAACTTTAACCCCAGAATGTATTTACTTGTTAACTGTAAAACAAACTAAGTCCACTTATCAGTAAAATACGAAAAAAAAATGAAAATAAACATTTTCTAAATTTTGCTTTGGATACTGCATTTTGGTCATAAACAAGCTTCTGTCCAAATTTCATAAAATTCCATGAAGGTTTGACAAAGTTATTGATATCTATAAAACTTTAACCCCAGACTGAACCTAAATGTTGACACCTCTGAAGCCAACGACAGAATCTAAGCTATGTCTTGCTTTTGGACATATATGTTGCAGGCTCGACAAAAATATGGTAAGAAAAACACCCATTATCAAATTTACCTTTTATCTACAGTATCTTTAGCAATTGCTAATGATGCCATTTGTTCTGTCATTTCAGTGAGTTCTTTCTGTAAACTGGAATGTAAGCTTTCCTTTGATGTTTGTTTTTCTTCACAATCTTGTCTAAAGTAACTGTCTATCTCTGCCAAAAGTTCTGACTGTTTATGTTTAAATTTCTCAGTCTGCAAATATGAAGACAGAAAGATCAGCAAATTCAAATTAAATAAAAACTTAAAAAATCTGTAAGCAGAGCTGAAAAAATTCACAAACCCACCCACCAAATTCTACAGAGATGACAGTCAGAGCATTGACTTGGGAAAACCTTAAAATCATTAAGGTCAAAACATAAAATAGCAAGTGAACATTGGCATTATAAATGCTAAAAAATTACAACTTAATCCTGTCTATGGTTCTTGAGTTGTGAATCATGAAACTTTTAATTTTTGAGGATATGGTGAGGTTCATGTTTTTTTTTACTAGAGGCTCTAAAAAGCCTGTGTTGCTCACCTATTTCTTTGTGTATCTTCAACAATGGACACTCTCTAACATTGTAGACTACAATAGAATTTATAAAAAAAATTCTTTTTTGTTGATCTTGTATTGCTGATCATTTTTACTGTTTACAGTTTCTCTCTATCTTCTTTAGTTTTTGCCCTAAACACAAAAAGGGTAAAAAAAATCGTCATGTAAGGGCAATCACTCCTAACTAACTGCTCACGATTTAGACAAAATTTAACTTATTTGTAGAGCTTGTATGGCTGATCACTTTTGCAATAACTCCAATAAAGAGTCATCAGACGATTTCAGCCATGTTGACATATTTTTTTATGATAATAGACAAAATTTGCATTTTACCTCCTATGCTCTATTTTTAGCCATGTTGGTTGGCAGGTAGGGTCATCAGACACAATTCTTAAACCAGATACTTCAATAATGATTGTGGACAACTTTGGTTAAATTTGGCCCAGTAGTTTTGTAAAAGTTGACACGAAGTGAAGAGAAAAGCTCACTTGGTCCATGTGGGCTAAAAAATGAATATAGTTATTAATAAATATTTATATTCTAAATTTTGAACATTTAAGTTGAATTCAGAAGACAAAAGAAAACGAAAACTTCCATCCTAAATATACAACACTTACAAAGCTGGATATATCTGCCACTAACTGATCATCTGTGTCACCTTCAGGATTACAATCTTCATCTTCTTCATTAAATACAGGAAGTAAATCCATTCTATACTCCTTGTGATATTCCTTGGGACATAATGGTGATGGCAAATGTTTATCTGATCCTATCTGCAACAATTCATGCAAATAATTTGCTAATATATAGAACACGGTAGACCGTGAGCTATTGCTTACAAATGATACCCTACTGTAAGTATTCAGTAAACAGGAAGTTGACGAGTGATAGATGTGAAAAAGCATCACAAATTTAGGCATGCTTGTGTGAACCTTTCTAAAATTTTGACTTTTCCTGAGAAATTTGTGATGTAAATTTTTAAATATAGCCATTATGTGTAAGAATATATAAGCATTTGGTAAATGGTAAACAGGAAGGTGAATGCGGGATGAATCTCAAAATGCAACACATGGTAAAGCATGTTGACTTGAAGCTTGATACCAAATTTCAAGAAGCTTTGATATATAGGTCCTGAGTAATTTTATAAGATGAAAAAAGAAGAACCAGTATAGCCCCCCCCCCCCCCCCCCCCCTCCTTTCAAATTTAGAGTATAATTAAAATACATATCTGACTTTTCACTTCTTAAATTAATAAATTTTAAAACTGGCTGTTGAACTAGCCTAGTCTTGCCCGTATCCATTTTTTCGTGAGAATGTTTCAGATTTACCAATAGCTTATATTTAAAACTAGATGTGCAGCGAGAAAAGCTAACAAAACGAAAGCCAGAAGACTACATGGAAACAAAGAATAAAATTATTGATTCTCCATGTGTCTTTTCTGCAAATAAGGGAACATACTTTTTAGTTTAATTATGTGGTTTACTCCTTGTCACATAATAAAACTTACCATTCCTTTAAGTTCCATGCACAGTGATTGACTATGTCTCATGGGGGTACTGCATACAAAGCTGCCAGGCCAAACAATAAAACTTACCATTCCTTTAAGTTCCATGCACAGTGACTGACTATGTCTCATGGGGGTACTGCATACAAAGCTGCCAGGCCAAACAATAAAACTTACCATTCCTTTAAGTTCCATGCACAGTGACTGACTATGTCTCATGGGGGTACTGAATGCAAAGCTGCCAGGCCAAACAATAAAACTTACCATTCCTTTAAGTTCCATGCACAGTGACTGACTATGTCTCATGGGGGTACTGCATACAAAGCTGCCAGGCCAAACAATAAAACTTACCATTCCTTTAAGTTCTATGCACAGTGACTGACTATGTCTCATAGGTGTACTGCATACAAAGCTGCCAGGCCAAACAATAAAACTTACCATTCCTTTAAGTTCCATGCACAGTGACTGACTATGTCTCATGGGGGTGCTGCATACAAAGCTGCCAGCAGCTTTGGAAATTATTTCATCAACACCATCTCCAGATTCTGATGGCATATGACTGAAACTTGAAAACAAATATTCAACATCAAGTTCTTTTTCATGATAGAATCATCAGGGTTTTTAATTGAATGCTATGAATACCTTACAGTGTAGGGGTCCAAAAAGAGTGGCACCATTGTCCCAGTTTAGGGAGAGGGTTGGGCGCCATCTAACATGTTCAACCCTGCCACATTCGGTATGTCCCAAGACAGGAGCCTCTAATTCAGTGGTTGTCGTTTGTTGCTATATATCATATTTGATTTTCGTTCATTGATTTATATAAATCAGGCCGATTGTTTTCTCTTTTGAATTTTTTTACATTTTTCATTACAGGGCCTTTTATAGCTTGATATGTGGTATGAGTTTTGCTCATGGTTGAAGGTCATACAGTGAACTATAGTTGCAACTTTTAGGTCTGGTCTCTGGTGGAGAGTTGTCTCATTTGCAATCATACCACATCTTCTTATTTTTTACTGATTGTTAAAATTTCTCCGTCCTGCCTATGGTGTACTACATACCTCGTAATGTCCTGTTTGGACTGCATCAGTTCAAACTTCACTTCATCATTTTCTTTTTTATACTCCTGAAAAAAGGCACATAAATTGATTTCCTGGTTAAAGACAGAAAATTTTAGTTTTCTAGTATCATTGCTTAGTTGAAAGCCTTTCTCAAAGTATAGAAAAATGAATGGCACCTCATATTCTCTTAACAGAAATGCACGGATGTTTTAACAACAAACTAAACTAGGTGGAACTGTTTTGGTGGACTTAATCATATGTGTCCCCTTTTTCTAATGTATAACATAACAAACACTTTCAAGATATATATCTATTAATGATATGAAGGTGAAGGGGGTAGGACTGTTTACTACAGGTCTAAATAAATGAAGAATGTGTCCATGGGACACAGATGATGACCCCCCTTGCATAAATTTCATAACATTTGAATGAGGCAAACTGTTTCATAACATTTGATTGAGGCAAACTTAAGTAAGAAAACAGACACAAAAATTTCAACATTTTTTTCATTTATAAAGGGGCATAACTCAAGAACAGTAATAAGCATTGTGTATAAGTTTCATAACATTTTGTGGAGGCAAACTAAAGTTAGAAAACAGAAACTAATTTTGGAACATACATAACCCACTACAGGGGGGGGGGGGGGGGGATAAAAATATTGCAGGTTATTTGACATAGAACTGTAACATATGAAAGAGATGGATAAAAAATATACAAGGGAAAAACTTTATATAGATATAAGAAGATGTGGTATGAGTGCCAATGAGACAACTCTCCATCCAAGTCAAAATTTATAAAAGTAAACCATTATAGGTCAAAGTACGGTATCAACACGGAGCCTTGGCTCACAACGAACAGCAAGCTATAAAGGACCCCAAAAATTACTAGTGTAAAACCATTCAAACCGGAAAACCAACAGTCTAATCTATATAAAAAAGAGAAAAGAGAAACACTTATGAACCACACCAACAAACGACAACTACTGAACATCAGATTCCTGACTCCTAAAGCATTGGCATAAAAAAAATGCTTTAAATCTAAAATGACAAAACATTTGTTCAATATTTTCCATCAGACTTAACTTTGATTGTAGCGAGCCTTAATTTAATTGTACATAAAATCTGTTGGTTTGGTTGATTTATTTCTATACTGCAATGAATGCATTTTTTCTTTTATTCTACAAACCTTTAGCTGTACACAGAGATCTTCAAGCTGTTTCTTGAGAGAATTGACTTCTAAATATCTCTGAAATTGATAATTATTTAAAGATATGAAAGAACAGAAACAAGTAAAAATCAAATCAATGCATGATGTACAGTAGCAATTTCTTTTGTTAAACCCATTCTTTAGAAATGCTGCACCTAATATGGAGACATTTTAATCTTTATTGCAGTGTTTATTGATAGTAATAAAGTCTTCCAATCAAGATGCTTTTTAGTCATCTATAAAAAGTGGCCAACAGTTTTTTTTTTTTATTTTCATTTTGCTTCAGTCAAATTAAACAAAAGTTGTTCCTACTCTTTAGTCTTTATAAAACTAACTAGATCTTTGAAGTTTTTATTTCATGGTGTGTCAAGTTCTTTTGAATTTTGAGATGATTTATAATTTTCCTGTTGGGTTGTTTATATAATTTTGTGATAATCAATGTATGGTTTTATTGTTCTCAGCTCTTCATGGGTCAAATTTCAATTGTGACATCAAAATCCCCTGTCATTCTCTGGATTTGCCAGTGTGATGTCATCTGATAGTCAAAAAAACAGATATTGTATTTGGTTGATATTTAGAGCTTCCCATATTGTTTAAACACCTAGACCCCGGTCTATTGTTGGATCCTTTAGATGTGAATTGATTATTTTTATTGTTGGGTTCATTGACATATATGATTTTTTTTCTCTCACTTTTAACCATGACTTTTGAAAGAAAATCCCCCCAACAAACCTTTGCACTGACAAAATATCCAAACAAATTTCCTGTATATAATATATATATATACAATTCCCAAAAGAATCTGTAAGCTATAGTATATATGTTTTGATCTATCTAAATAATCTAAAAATATGTAACTTACTTCATTCAGTTGAATTTCTTGTAAACTTTTCAGATCTCTAGCATGGACCAGCTCATGCTAATAAAACAAATGATAAAGAAATGGATTAGTCGTAAATAATACTTTTTTAAACATCAATCAACTCTTAATATAAACCAAACTTTAAACATAAATTAACCGAAAAACATGAATGCATAAAATATTTGGAAAGAAACAGAAATAACAAATATGTAAACATCAAAGTATATTCTAAAAAAAAAGAAAAAAAGATTAAACTGTGAGCTATTGCTCACTAATTATACCCTTGCTAAAGTATTCGGTTAAGGAAAAAGTTGATGAGTGATGGATGTGACAATGCTACTCAAGGTCAAGCATGCCAAGATGAAGCTTGCTTCCAAATTTCAGAAAGCCTTGATTTGCTGCTTCTGAGAAAAATGTGAAAAAATTCTTACAAAAAAATGTGTCGTAAATTTCATTTTTGGCCATTATGTGTATTAAGAATATATAAGTATTCAGTAAAGAGGAAGCTGATGAGCGATGAATCTGAAAATGCATCACACAGTATAGCATGCTAACATAAAGCTTGAATAACAAAATCTGTAAATTCAGAAATTATTGTGGTGTTTTTTTAATGCAAAAGTATCAGGTTTGATTTTCCTCCCCAAATTTTTGCACTTGTATTAATTAGATTTCAAAATTTTACCAGTAATCAGTAATTTTCAATAATAAATGCACACATTAATTTCTGCATTTACTGTTTCAGGAAGCTCTGATTTGTAGTTCCTGAGTAAAATTTAAAAAAAAAAATTATGAGAAGGACAGATGTTAACCAGTATACCCCCTACGAGTGAAGGTATAAAACAATGCTCCAATATCCAGGGTACTTTTCAGTTAACTATTTTAATACAGTCATAATGAGAACAATAGATGATTGATTTTAGTCTTGAGTCTTTTTCAGGGCACCAAACCTCCCATTTGATTAATTTCTTTTAAAGATATATACAATCATCCAACATTTTATAATTTTATGCCCTAACACATTGTTATGACATCTTTGATCTTACTGATTGGCTGAGAAGCAGCAAATACACATTTTCAATTCTTTGGGTTGACCTGACCAAGGATCAAACCCACAACTTCTACAATCAAGGTGAGCATGCTACCATGAGACCAGCGAGACAGTCATACCAGAAATAGCGCATCCCTTCAAATTAGACAAAATTATATTCTTTTAAAGCCTTTGGACATTGAATTTTAATGAAAGAATAGTATCTTGTTATTTGGCAGGCACCTTTGTCATCAATTTTTTTAACTAATAAGAGAAAAATAAACAGAATCCATAAATTCTTCTTTTCTTTCCCATTTCACAACTCACTAACTTAATCAATGAAAGTTTTTTTGTGAACAGCTTTTTTTTTTAAAATTAATGTAAGAAATTAATTACTTTTCTTTTAATGATCAAATCTTAAAAGTTCTATTGATTTATATTACCTTATACTCTGCTGCTTCTTTATTCAATAATTCTTTCTGGGATGTAAGACTTTCCAACTGTGATGTTAATTCAATTAACTGGAAAAAAAATTGAATTTTAAAGAGCAGTTACAAGACATTTAGAAATTGATATAAACTCTTCAAAGAAATAATTATAGTTCATTATCATTTGTTTCAAAGGGAAAGAAGTAGGTGTGCGTAGGAATTGAATTAATAACTACTCTAAGTAAGTGATATTGGTTTAAAGTTATCAACCCATTGGCATCATCTGGATAATCTTATATGAGGGTCGTAATGGGGGTACCTTCATGACGAATAACGGTAAAAAATCTTGCCAAATGACGTTAACGGTAATTTTTTGGTGCATGACGATAAAATGTACATTATCTTTACGATGATAAAAAAAATTTGACTAGTTTTGATGGTAATGGATAATTATTGAGACCTCTGAGGTAACACGATAAGGATATTTTGATGAATCACAATAAAATTTAAACCCATTTGACGCTAATGGTAGCCGAAAATGACGTTTGACGCCCGACGGTAAAGGGCATTCCTACCCTCTTATACTATGGCCTGAAAATGTCAAGGGATTTATTTTTTTACCATTTTTCTGTGATACACTTTATTCTTTTTCTATTGTTGTATATAGGCAGGGGGGGTTCTAATATATTTTTCAGTAAGTTGTTTTGGAGAACTCTTCTACTTCTATAAGCATAAAAAATGTTTTTCTATGATTCGGTATTAGGTATGTACAAAAATAAAGGTATTTCCCATCCAAGATATATTTAAATGGAATAGGCCTGAAAGAATTGAAACAACATTAAACAAGAATGTGTCCATAGTACACTGATGCCCCACTCGCACTATCATTTTCTATGTTCAGTGGACCATGAAATTGGGGTCAAAACTTTAATTTTGCAATAAAATTAGAAAGATCATATCATATGGAACATGTGTACTAAGTTTCAAGTTGATTTGACTTCAACTTCATCAAAAACTACCTTGAATAAAAACTTCAACCTGAAGCGGGACAGACAGACAGACGGACAAACGGACGCACAGACCGAAAAACATAATGCCCCTAGTTGGGGCATAAAAAAAAATTACAAAACACAAAAGTTTCAACATCAAAATGCTTGACTTTACTCTGAACACTAATTATCATAATTCTTCACCTTTAGCTGAAGGTTAGAACATTGATTTTCATAACTGAGTTTCTCCTTATCTATATGTGTTATCTTAGTTGATAAATCTTTCTTCTTTTCCTGTAATTTTGAGATCGTTGACTTTAATTCTTCATTCTCTGCTATTGTTTCGTGTCTAGAGTCAGCAGTCTGTTGTAAACTGTAAACAGATAGAAGCTTAATAACAATGAAGTTGTACAGGGAAATTTCCTATATGTATTGGTGGTTAAAACTGTAAGAATACTCATTTCAATAGTGTAAATTCTAAAACTGTTGGTCTTTTTTTTTTTGGTCTTGATATTGTCATTCTTCTTTGACTTGTGATGACATTATGATGCCGTCAACATGATGAAATTAAAATATGTGACCAATTTTTCAAAATAGACAAAATAGAAATGAGCAACAGCTTTACCCCAAAAAATATGTTACACTTATTGAAATGTTTATAAAATACATTTTGTAGCATGAACCCATCTTTTTGGGGTAAGCCATTGCTAATATTTAAATAATAATGACAAGGTCTCAAAATGAGGCTATTTCCACAATTATGAACTAAAATCAAGAAATTTGAAGCCATAATGCAAATATGTGAGACAACTTTCAAACTTTGAATGCTGATTTCTGTCACACTGAAGTTTTATGAATACTGGAAGAATGATCATTGGTAGATTTATATTCAATTTTGAATTCAAGGGGCCAAAAAAGTGCCCTTATCATTACAGGTAGCTTTCAATTTTAATCTTAAGATACATACATTTTTGTAAACATGCAAATACATATTTATGTACAGTCGACTCTCGTTATCTCAAAGTCAGCCAGTCCAGAGAAAATATTTCGATATACCCGTAGTTCGACTCAAACAAATACCGGAAGTTTGATAGACCAAGGGACACAACTCCTGCTTAGCTCGGAAAGGCTAAAATAAATCCAGAAGAATATGGGTAGGGGATCGATATTCTGGTCTGAGATTGATGTATCTGTCTGTAATGTGTAATGGTCTTTTATAATTATAATAAAATTATATGATTTTTCGTCTCTTGTTTATTTCTTTGTACAGATACAATTTATTCCGGTGGTTTTCAGCAGAGAGAGTAATTTCCTATCGACCTTAACGTGATTCAAAGGGGACAAAAAATGTTCATTCTCCTATACAAGAGATTTTAGAATATTTAGATCTTTTTATTTTCTTTTATTTCAATCTTTTTCTACAAGAGATTAAAGACACCGATTGAGTAGTTTTGAGTTGATCACTTACTCTTAATCCCTACTTTATGCACAACCTAGCCCATTAATGCATGATTACTTTTAATTGCTTTAAAAAAAAATTTCATAAACTATAACAATGTATCACTAATAGTTTATTGTGGTGATCAAAGATAATCCTGAGTAAACACTCGAGGAAAAGAATGCCATAAATCAATACAGAGGTCAGTGACTGGATATTTAATTACACATGTATTGTCAGATGAACAGTTCAATCCATTTAAACCCCAGAGGTCATGTTTGACATATGTCATTAGTTCGAGATTATAATGCAATGTGAATGCTTTTGTTAACCTTGGGACCGTAAATTTGGTTCGAGTAAACAGAAATTTCAACTCATCAGGAGTCAAAATACATATATTTATATGGAAGAAAGTTAGGGACCAAAGGAAACTTCGACTCATCCGAAATTTCGAGTTAACGAGAGTAACTGTATTTTTAAGAAAGGTATAAGTTTATGAATATATGTTGACAATTAATTTTTTTTTATAAACTCCACCTTAGAATTTTCATTGTTGTGGAAAGGATTTCCCTGTCTGCCCTTCTTCTCATGCCTCAAAATGCCTACCCCATAAGTTTTTTACTCGCTATTTTGCAATGAATCATATACTAAAGGCAAAAATACAAATTCTACCTACCTACCCTAATATTCTAAGAGGAAACCCTAAACACAAATTATTTGTTTGGCCATATTTCAGTGATCTGGCCAATAAAAAAGTCAATAACTCTAAAATAAAATTTTGAATCATCACCAAAAAGTGTACAGATCTTTAGATTAATATAATTAAGAAGTGTGTAAAGTTTTAAGCAATTATCATAAATCGTTTTTTTAAAATACAGCGCGACATGTGAAAACACTCTCCCCCCCTTTTTTTTTTACAAAAAACTCAATAACTCTAAAATAAAATTTTGAATCATCACCAAAAAGTATACAGATCTTTAAATTAATATAACTGAGAAGTGTGTAAAGTTTTAAGCAATAATCATAAATCGTTTTTGAGATACCGTGCGACATGTGAAAAAAACACCCCCCAGTTTTAATTACAAAGTCCTGTAACTCAAAAAGTTTTAATCTTATTCTCACCAAAAAGTATACAGATTGTTTGACCATCATAAGAAACAATTATGTTAAGTTTCATGAAATTTGGATAAGTCGTTCTCAAGTTACGGTGCGACATGTGAATGCCGGACAGACAGATAGACGGACAGACAGACAGACGGAGGCCGGACATTTGTATACCATAATACGTGGCGTCAAAATTTTGACGGGCGTATAAAAATAGGTAAGTTGCATGGTCCAAAAAAATTGAGGCCAGTAGGTTGAAATGTTTTTGTTTGCCTACTTGCATTGTGTTCTTTGAACAATTGTTTGAATATTTTTAAGTGTGAAACTGTCATGAACATTTCAAATCAGGTTTATGGTTACATTTCATCATATGAACTACTAGCACACAAGTTGCAATTTTTATATAAGCCAGCCATTTGTTTGTTATCCTTCACAGTTGCAAATAGCCAAAAGTGCTTTTACAAATAGCGCTAATTCCATCCCTGACAATTTTGGGATATGCTAAAGGAAGAGCTTTTTCTCTGATCAAAGCAAAAATTGCAGATTTTTTTTTGTATAAAAAATTAGGAATGGAGCCTATAGATTAGGGACTGTCATGCAATCAGGATCACACCTATTTTGTTTTGGTCTTATCTTAAACAAAGCAGCATTTCACAGACAAAAAAACAATGCTCAATTTCACTTTAATATGTTACACACACCTTTTAACCTTTTTGTGTAATTTATCGATTTCAACTTGATTTGTGGTAACAATATCCTCTTGCACATCAATCTGTTGTCTTAGCTTTGTGTTTTCCTCTGTTAGTTTTCTGTTCTGATGTTGAAGGTCTTCTATAGTATTCTGTTGATCAACAGGGTCACTGAAAAATATTAAACAATCTTTAATTTTCATTTATTCTTTACTGCCACACTAATCAGACAAACTCACAATGCCTGCAAACACTAAGATTTTGTATGTGTCTGTCCTAAGTCAGCAGCCTGTAATTTAGTGGTTGTCACTTGTTGATGTATATCATATTTATTTTTTTTGTTTATTATTTTGTACATAAATCAGGACATGAGTTTTCATGTTTTAATTGTTATATGTTTGTCATTTTGGGGTCTTTATAGATTACTATGCGGTATGGGTTTTGCTCATTATTGAAGACTGTACATCGACCTATTGTTGTTAATTTCTACATCATTGGCTTTTTGGTGGAGATTTGTCTCATTTGGCAATCATACCACATCCTCTATTTCTATATAAAAGCCTACATGTCATCTCTGTGAAGTAATAATCCATGAATATGTCAACATTTTCTACGTTTGAAACAAAGTAGCTGTAGGAAATCTTTATCAACAATTAGCAAAGACTACATCAGTAATCACATTATGTTAAATGAAAGATGAAACCTTTTGATAAATCATTTATTTCTTCTATTTGAAAATGTTGCAAATATAAGGTGTAATTATGCATCTAAAATGCTTCCTTCATAGTTATCACTCTTATTGGTCTGGTGGTACCAATCTTGTTTTGAGTATGGGAAATCATGGGTTTAAACCCCAGCTTGGTCAAAGCAAAGACTTAAAAAATTAGTATCTTCTGCTTCTTTATCAAGCACATGGATTTTAGGAGTAGGGGCAAAAACTGATCTTATCTGTAGTTTCGGAGAAAAAATGTGACCAAAATTTCATGGGAGGAACAGGCAGTCATGTAGCGGTAAATCAGTACAATGCATATCTGCCTCCTTTGGTACAAATGTATTAAAAATATCAGTATCAAAATTAAATTCTCAATTTATAATCATCTTTAAATGCTTTTTATGATAATTTTGAACATACTACAATATTACAACTGAGGTCTAAATTAAAACATATTTTCAATTTGCTGAATAGGCACAACCTTCACAAGAAAAACAAGTGAAACTGTGAGCTACTGCTCACTGATGATACCCCCGCCCAAATACTTGACGGTAAACTGGAAGTTGTTAAGTGATGAAACTGAAAACACATCACACGGTATAGCTGACTAATATAAACCCTGAAACCAAATTTCAGAAATCCTTGTAATGTAGTTCCTGAGGAAGATACAACGAAAAATATACATGGGACGGACGGACGGATGGACGGACGGATGGACGGAGGTAAAACAGTATTCCCCCACTTTTTTAAAGTGAGGGTATAATAATAAAGTGGGGGTATAATAAAAAGCAGATATCAGTCTGATCATATTTTTACAGCATGATCACTATAAAACTTAGCAACAAGAAATTTTCTGCAGATGATAATATATTCCAGGGAATAACATAGATAGGTCAAGGCAAATCAACTGGTTCCAGTTATTCATAAACAGGACTGGTTCACTGTAAAAGTACTGGTATGTTACAACTTTTACATCATGCCTTCAAATTTTCCATTCATGCCTTCAACTTTTCCTTTATTTGAAACTAACATTTCACAAGTACAATGAGGTTTTAAAAGGTCTCTGTGGAAAAGGATTATTGTATGGTTAGCATTGTTTGCCTCAGGGCCTTTTAGCATCATGGTAATGTGATGCTATCTGAAATGATTTTCTTGTAGATTGTGCTATGAATATGATGCTATAAAGTCCAGGAACAAGATAGTTTTTCAAGCTTAACTGTTAACCAGGAGGCTATACGAAAGGAGAAGGTCCGATAAGGGCTAGTTTTGGCATTATTTTCGAAGAACATCTAATGAAAGATTTTTGACATTTTTTAAACACTTAGTGTCTACTTCAGTCGATTTAATTAGTTTGTGTAAAAGATTTGAACTGATTAGGTCATTTAAGGCGCCAAAATTCAAGCTTAAACGTTAAAAATCTATCAAATATGCCATAAAACATCACTTTTCAGATGGTTTTTGTCTCAAATGGAAGTGGCCACATTCGTGTTCAGTCTCAACCTTTATATATGTTATGTATTATCATCAAATACAACATATATTTAAATATTAAGTCTGAACACAACTGCCACTTCCATTTTAGACAAAAACCATCTTAAAATTAGCGCAAATGCTAAAATTGTGAAGATTTAAGTAATTTTGCATGAATTTATGATGTTAGATCCTGATGCATGTGCATTGTATTGACAAATTGGCCCATATTTATGGAACAAAAGTATTCTACTTTCCAATAAATAGCTAAAAGTTTACATTTCAACAAATTTGTAAAACTGCTATATTTTGGGGCCAAAAAAGGGGTCTTACCGGGCCTACTCCTTTGAGGAGAGAAAACTGTCAGACTATCAACATACACAATTTACTAATCAGAATCAAAATAAAGAAAATGCTAGTCCCATGTGTCAGGGTAGGGAGAAACCTAATGGACATCTCACTTAAATTGTGACAGATACTTTTAATGGAATTCCCTTTATTTTATTAGAAAGGAGTATTATTGTTGATTCATTATTAATTATTCATGGAATACCAATATTTGTTGATTCATTATTAATTATTCATGGGATACCAATATTTGTTGATTCATTATCAATTATTAATGGGATACCAATATTTGTTGATTCATTATTAATTATTCATGGGATACCAATATTTGTTGATTCATTATTAATTATTCACCAATATTTGTTGATTCATTATTAATTATTCATGGGATACCAATATTTGTTGATTCATCATTAATTATTCGTGGGATAGCAATATTTGTTGATTCATTATTAATTATTCATGGGATACCAATATTTGTTGATTTCATGGGTAAAGGTGAACCAAAAATTTAATTGTTCAATGAAGTAGAAAATTTCTATCAGCTTATAATTATAAGCAGACTTTTATTTGGCCAAACCCTGAAATAAAATATCCCCATAATAAAATTTTCCTCAAACCACAAAAATAAATGAATCCACAGTAATAATCTAAACATGACTGTCAAAAAAAAAACAAAGAAAGAAAATACCCATTTAAATATTTTTTATTCTCTCTATTAGAAAAAAATAAATGGAGAATGTGTCGATGGGCCACAGACGCTTGTAAATATGCATGAGTCATCTTCCACATACAGATGCAGGATTCACGTTATTAAGACCGTTTTTTGTGATTATAAGCATTGTGTATAAGATTCATAAGATTTGGTTGAGGCAAACTAAAGTTAGAGAATGAAAAGGACAGATTTAGCAATTTTTTCATTTATAAAGGGGCATAACTCAAGAACGGTAAAAGTGATGCCACCAAATTTCAAACTTGATCTGTGTTTTGTGGTAATAAGCATTGTGTATAAGTTTTATAACATTTGGTTGAGGCAAACTTAAGTTAGAGAATGGAAACGAAAAATTCAGCAATTTTTATGTTTATATTTGATTTTTAATTTTTGGTGTTTTAACGCCACTTTTAAGCACCGCTTTTGGGCTATTTTGTGGCGGCCAGTTTTTATTGGTGGAGGAAGCCGTAGTGCCCGGAGAAAACCACCGTCCTTTGATAGGAAAACTGACAATCCTAGTCAATTAAGATTGGAGTAGAGTGCACTTGCACGAGGGGGGTTCGAACTCACAATCTCAGTGTTGACCGACTAGTGATTACAGTAGTAACTACTTAGACCACTCAGCCACCGAGGCCCCTTTTATGTTTATAAAATGCATAACTCAAGTTAGAGAACAGAAACCAATTTTGGACTTTCGGGATGGACGGACAAGGGTAACATTTAATGCTCCAAAAGCCTAGCGGTGGGGGCATAAAAAGGTACTGTAAAATGCCAAGCCCCTTCAAAATTCAAAATGATATTTAGCTTTATGCATACTGTAAATTCCTGTACTTATTTTTGTGATTTTTTTAAAAGAGGACAAAAAGTGAGATTAATTACATATTGCCATTTTCTGAAAATCTGCATACAGATATGTGTATCAGATATTAGATTGTGAGGACCTTTTCTTGCGATACTCACCTAGTCACATTATTCGCAATAATAAAAATCTTGCAATCATTTCTGAACTTAAAGTATTTAAAAAGTAATTAACTTACAAATCTGTTCCAAATGTATCAACAATTGACGAATCCATGTTATGTCCTCTTAAAATCAAAATATCTATAAAAAGAAACAAAACTAAGATTAATTTAGGATAATTAGATGGCAATTTGCATGGTTTTATATATAATTAGTTCATTGACCTGATGCCAAATTCAATACACAACATCTAAGTATAGGCATGTAGAGAATTTGTACTGTAAATGGATTTTATGTTTGTTTAAAATTGTATACTTGACCAAGTATGATTATAAGGTGATGTTGGGTATATATCAATGAGAATGAAACCAAACAATACAATTAACTAGAAAAAAACATCTAGAGATCAAGAGACTTTAACAACAGATAAAGTGTCTATCATCATGATCATGTCTATAATTTGTATACTCGATTTAGTATGTAATATAAGGTGATGTTGGGTACATGTAGATATCAATGAGAATGAAACCAAACAATTAACTAGAAAAAAAAAACATTTAGAGATCAACAGTCTTTAACAACAGATAAGGTTCTGTCATTTCTGAACCATATATGTAAAGAGTCTAGAAAATTTGTGAATAAGTTTACCACAATAACAAAGATCTGACATCGCAATTAAATTCTTTCAGAGAATGTACTACTTAAGTTTAAGATAAGATACTGTAAATTCAGAAATTATTGTGTGCATTTATTATCCCAATTTCGACATGACACAACAAAATGTGAGCTTAATTAGTGAGATTTCAGGAAAATCTGCATACAGATATATGTATCAGATATAAGAATGTGAGTTTTGATTTTTGCGATACTCATTCCGTCAGATTATCCACCTTAATAAAATCCTCACAATAATTTCTGAATTTACAGTACGTAAAGAGTAAATTTTGGGACTGTTTACCAACATACCAAAGATCTGACATCACAAATAAATTCTTAAAGAGAATGTACTACTTAAGCTTAAGACTATATAGTTTTAATTAAAATTTCGGAAAAAGTAGATAGCTCTGTTTTCCAAAGTAATAGGCAATTTTGTAATATTCAACTAAAATGTCTAAAGAGGCCAAATTATAAATCACTGGGAAGGTTTAGGGATTCCTGTTTACAATTGCCGATTACCCAAGAAGAGTTTAGGCGTAATTCCTACATATCCAGTTAAATCTGACCTGAAAAGATTTTAAACATTTATCTGGTCTTTATATATATATGCAGCCCACTATTAAAAATAATTTCTGTTTGATTTCAATTACAAGGGTCATAAATAATGTAAATGTTGGGTTTCTGAAACAATTCTGAAAATTGTCCATTTCACTAGAAAGAAAATGAAAAAAAAAAAACTTATGTTGACAAAATACAATTGAAAAGGACACTGGAAAGAATAGTCTGTATTCCATGTATTCTATGTATAAGATATGGATATCAAAATGAAATAAAACATAGATAAAATGGATTGCTGCATGACAATGCTGAGGCTGAATTTATCGTGCTGAATGAAGAACTATGACAAAAATTCTCATGAAACAATGCCAAAAGTGAGAAAATATTGAAACGTCATCTATACATACAAATAATGAAAACACTCATGCAGGAAATATTAATTTCATTCTAATTCTCTTTGTTCAACCAAATGAGATTACAATTATACTTGTCTGCACAGCAAAAAGGCTTTCATTTAGCTTTCTTGGGAGCATTGCATTTCAGATTTTTTTTTGTACAGCACAGATATCATAACTATGACCCACATAATTCTGACAGTCCAAATACCATAATATTAAAGCACAATCAAAATTTTCTATAAAAAAGCAAATTTTAGCTTTTGTACAAGCTGATGCTAGCTAGCTACACTCACATTACCAACAATTGCCTTTTACAATGTCACCTTGAGAAGTGAAAATTAATACATATAAAATAAAATACCCTATGAAACTACATTGTACTTAAACAGAAAATTTTAAATTGTCACATTATTAGTTCTTATTTGCTATAAAAACACAAAACTTTCAGTATTCTTAATTCAAGACGACGACTCAGTTATACAGCATGAATAAATCTTGACAATCCAAATTGTGTCCTATCATGCCTAATATAAATATACTAATTTGAAAGAAAATGAAAACAATAAACTGAATATTTATAAACCCCTCCCCTCAAAAAACCCAGTTGTAGTGTAAATGAAAACTCTTACCAGCTTTTCAAAATGCCATTTACATTGGATAAACTTCAACAAACTTTTTTTATTAAAGTTTATTTAATCGCCCAGGTACTGTACAGAACAATACCTTATTAACATTGTTAGCACTTGATGAAGTATTGGTAAATAAAACTTTATCATTATCAAATGCCATTAATAAATCAATACAGAGACAGATGCTGCAACTAAAAATATCTTTCTCACCTTTTGATAAACACATAGGACCATTTGACCTTCTTTCCAAAGCATCTTCTTGGTTAGATTCATTCCCACTTAAAAAAGACAAAAACAACTTGACATGGAATTATTGGAATGAAAAGGCTATTTTAACATTCTGTTATTAAATATTGAATGTCAAAACTCATATGTATAATTACTTGATACTGTTCTAGATGAACAAACCCTGAAATCAATCTCAATACTTTTTTTTAACTTGGACAATCATATCTTAAACTTCACATAGATTTGCTATCTACCATAACAGTTATACAAAGAAACCATGGCATCTACAGGAGGATGAAGATAACACATCAGTATAATAATATGTGTATAAAATTGATTGATTGTGATTTAAAGTCAGCAGTCTCATAGCTAATGACAAAGGGAGAATGCTTTTTATTTTTTCAAATAACAAGAAAAAAATATATAATACAAGTAGAGTTAATTGCTATTTTTCAAGTAGATTTTTAAACATGCTACCAAATGTTTCAAATAGAAGATTTTCCATGATTTTCATCTTTTTGAAATTTTCAGGTATACCAATGGTCTAAATTAACCGAATTTAACACCAGGCTTTTTCCAGTTTTGGAAGATTGAAATATTACGTTAACATTTTAGGATGAAAGTCTGACAAACATGAACTGAAACATTGAACCTAGCATAATCAGTCACAACATTAAAATTTGAATTCATTTAAGGATACAAAGCAGAGCAAAACTTCTGGTAAAAGGTAGTTCTGGCTTGTTATAATTGACATTTGAAAATTGAGAACAGGCAAAAACTAAAACATATTACAGTATAGTTAACATGGCTAATGATATCGTTTATTCTCTATTATATATAAACATAAACTGTATTTAATGATATAAAGTACACCTGTCTGTATGAATTTGACAGAATTTTATAAAACTAATCCATTAAATATCATAGTATACATATCTACGATCACTTTAACATAGTTAAACTTTATCAAGTAGAAAACGATTTTTTCATATCCATCATAAGATTTAATTTTTGTGAGATAAATTTCACAGGTGCAATAAAAGGTAAAACAAATGTAGGGAAATAGCTGCATTTATTTATGCCCTTGAATCAATAGAATGTTGATAATCAACATGTTTATCAGCTATAGACCAAAAGAGGTAAGTATATAATGTATATAGACTTTTGTATATAGAAATTTAGACATCAATTAAATATGTACATAAAGAAACTGATATCAAAATGGTGTCAAGGTCCTGCATAACTGAAAAAAGCTACAATCACCCAATTAAAAACAAGCTTGAAAGTGGGTCTCATTGGGGTCTAAGGGAAGTCAAATTATTTTGCGTGAAAACAGGAAACGCAGTCGGTGGGATAAGTGAAATTACAAGCGCTATCATTACAATAAGCGGGATACGGGATTCTGACAAACCAATAAGTGGAATCCGAGATCAGACCCCCTTGAAAATGATGAATTTTAAAGCAATGTGGATCCATCAATTTTCATGCATTTAGGAAAAATTGCTTTTCATGCATATTTGATCTCAAGTTTGCATACAGTCCTACGGAAACTTCGTACTTTGCTGAACAATTAAATTTGTAGTTCACATGTAATTATAAAATCCAACAAATATAAATAAATCCACAGTAGGGTATTTCTATAATAAACAAGAGGCTCTCCAGAGCCTGAATTGCTCACCTGGAATTTTTTGCTTAAATCTTTCATCAATGATTATTTTTGCTTTTCAATATATATTAATGAATGGCTTAAAACTTCCATTGAAATGTTCTTTGTATCTGTCACATTTTCTTCAAAATCAAAGAAATGCATTTTACCCCTATGTTTCATTTTAGCCATAGTGGCTATGTTTCTTGACGTACAAGAAAATAAAATATACAATTTATACTACATACTCTGAAACTCATTCAGCCCAAGTTTGGCTGAAATTGATTCAGCAGTTTCAAAGGAGAAGATTTTTTAAAGTAAGCAAACTAAATGAACAAATTGTGAAAAATTGATTTTAAAGGGCAATAACTCCTTAAGGGGACAATTGACAATTTTGGTCATATGAACTTATTTGTAGATCTTACTTTGTTGAACATTTTTGCTGTTTACAGTTTATCTTTATCATCAATAATATTCAAGATAATATCCAAAATCTGCAAAATTTCCTTAAAATTACCAATTAAGTGGCAGCAATCCAACAATGGGTTGTTAGATTCATCTGAAAATTTCAGAACTGACAGAGCCTAATAAACATTTTTACTTCTCATCAGATTAGCTCTAAATTCTTTGGTTTTTGAGATATAAGCCAAAAAATGCATTTTACCCCTACGTTCTATTTTTATGTTTTTTTACGAAACAGAAAATAAAACACAAACTTTTTTCTAGATACCCTTAGAATCATTCAGCTTAAGTTTGGTTGGAATTGGTTCAGTAGTTTCAGAGAAGATTTTTTAAAGTTAGAAAACATGATAAACAAATTGTGTAAAATTGTCCTTAAAGGACAATAACTACTTAAGGGGTCAATTGACAATTTTGATCATCGAACTTATTTGTAGATCTTACCTTGCTGAACATTTTTGCTGTTCACAGTTTATCTTTATCATTAATAATATTCAAGATAATAACCCAAAACTGCAAAATTTCCTTAAAATTACCAATTTAGTGGCAGCAACCCAACAATGGGTTATCAGAATCAACTGAACATTTCAGGGCTGATAGAACTTCACCTAATGAACACTTTAACCCCATGTCAGATTTGCTCTAAATGCTTTGGTTTTTGAGATATAAGCCAAAAATTGCATTTTACCCCTATGTTCTATTTTTAGCCATGGCGGCCATGTTATTTGACGAAACAGTAAATAAAACACAAACTTTATTCTAGATACCCCAAGCATCATTCAGCTTAAGTTTGGTTGGAATTGGTTCAGTATTTTCAGAGGGGAAGATGTTTGAAATAGTTTACACCAGACAGACGACGACAGACGACAACGGATGCCAAGTGATGGCAAAAGCTCATCGTTCCTAATCATCAACTGAATAAACCTATTATGAATGAAGTATACAAGCAAGTAGTTCAGATGTTAAGATGATAAAAGTTTAAAATCTATTCTCCCTTCTACACATATCACATGCAGTTCAACAAATTTCATCAAAATGCAATCAGTTTTTTGCAAAGCAGGACTTAGTTAAATGTAGCATAAACCTGGTCCATTAAATGACCAAAATGAAAGTTCTTGCTAAAGTTTTTCTTTTCAATCTACTCCACTCAGTATTGTGTACTTAATGAAAAAAAAAATTACAATAGAATTTTCAAAATTTTTGATAGTACTTGTTTATCAATCATTCTCTAAAACAAGATATTGTTTTGGAGCATAGTTATCTTATTGGCAATCATACAACATCTCTATCCATATCATCAAATAAATTTGTTTGATATATTAAAAGAAAAAGTTTTACTAACCACCAGTGAAGGTAAACTGCCACCCTGGCCTCCACCAGATTATCTTATTACACACAATATTTGTTTGTCTTTATATATAGAATAGGTGAATATATTAAGTTAAATAAATATAACTTAGCTCTGCCAAGCTTCATCCAATTAAAAATTCAATAAACCAGAAAAATCAAACATGGATTTTAAATTCAAATAAAAGTAGCAACTTCTTTCTTTATTTGTTGTTGGTCTATATTTTTTTATGGTCCTCATTAAAATAAAATTTTTATACATTTGTGTAATTCAATGTGTTTCTTATATTTACTAAAGTCAATATTTTCATAGTAAGATTATGTTGAATAAAACATATTGATCTATTCCTTTGTCCATGTGATCTCTTGTCTTTAAAAAAATAATCCCAGGGTTTAAAAAAGATAAAAGGACAACATTCATTTGAAAAATAACAATCATATCTAGTAACGCCATTTAATAAATTGCAGTAGTATGACCTATTGACTTTCTTTATAAAGAAAAAAATAAAACACTTTTTATGACTTTAAATTAGCCTCCTAAATTACTAAAGTTGGTTACCCTAAAATACATGGTGTAATGAAAACGCCAATATATAAGGTTTTTAGAGAGTAACATTTTTTGATACAAAATCAATCTGTAAGGGTAAATAACTGGTTCAGTTTTCTACTTTGATAGGAAAAATTGGATTCTAAGTACCAGATATATCAGGAAGAAAGCGCTAAGCCTTGTCAAAGCTATAGGTGGAATTCTGATTTCAAATGCTCTTGAGCTTTTCTTTGTTTCCTTAAAAGTTTTCCAGCACTGTTATCTTCTTATTTTATTAATAACTGATTGTTTTCAACTGTGTTTCGTTAATGAAAACCTTTAAAGGACAATTTTAACTATTGTAATTTAGTGTCATCCCCATAAATTTCATATAACATTCTGGTAAACATCAAATCTTGAAATACCAACATTTTTCTAGTAATTTTAGCATTACATCAATAACACAATTTAGCTATAGAAGCATGAGAAGAAAAACAATTTCAGATAACATCACATTCAAGCAATATATCATTACATTACCATTATGCTAAGCCCTAGGGAGAACACTGATTGTATAAATATATTCATACCAAAATCAGTAAAATTTACTATTCTAAAATATTCCACCTATTATTAACAAATATAAAAAAAATAATTTTGATCTAAAATTATTCTTTTTCTTGTTTTCACTTATTCTAATTTTTCTGAAGATGTTTACCTTATGAAGATGTTATTTCATCCCATTTCTTCCGATTCCATTTTACCATATTACATGAAACATTCACACTGTAGGGCCTATTAAATCTAGAGTGCCCTTAATATCACTATAATTGTCAACATAATAAAAAGCCATAAATTTTCCGTTACAGGTAATTTTAGAGCACTTGATCTAGTCGGAATTTTATTTTCAAAAGATTACAGCAAACCAGGTAAAGGGCAGTCATTTGTTTTGATCAAATAATCAGCCTCTTTATAAATGATATAATGTTTTATTAAGAATTCGTAACATGTAAATTTGACATAAATTATTGTTGTGGTAATGTCATTAGTAGAACTCCCACAACTTGAAGTTTTTATTGAGTTGTACATGAGAAAAATAATATTGTAAATAAAAATTTTGAAATTTATAATCGTAATGATTTATGTTTTATGGTAATACTCCCAATTTTTGTTTTCACATGGTCTTTTAACTTGACATTTACCCAAACATACTTTTAAATGTTTACTTATACCAAAATTATCAATAGATGTTTGATGTTTTGTCAGAAGTGATAATAATTACAATCAAGGAAATGGGGTTTTGCATTGGCCAATGTCGGCTGCCAGAGAAAAAAATTATTGGCAAAACAATATAAGCTTTATTCTGACTTTATCAAACTTGAATAAAAGATATTACCCAGATACAAAAGAAAAGAACTTAAAAAATCTAGTGGTTGTAAACCGTTGTATACACACAGCACTAGACAATAACTTCTTATAAATATGAATAAAAGGAGATGTGGGGAATACAAAAATGAAACAGAAACCCAATGACAAAAAAACAAACAAACAAAAAACCCAAAAGATATTCAGAGATATAAATAAGAAAGGCATATGCATTTGAGTCATTATTTAGATTCTTAGACACTTTTTTTTTATATCTATTCATCAGATCTAAATGAAACTTTGATTAACGATGACCCTTGGGAAGAAAACATCCCTGCTGATTTTTAGGTCACTACCAAAGTTTAAGGTTACAGTTGCTAAATGTTAAGACAGAATCTGGAAATTTTGATTCTGGGTGGTTATAGTTTTATCAATACCCCTAGAGAAAAGAAAATACCTCTATTGATTTAGAGGTCACTAAGTCAAACTTCAATGTCATAGCAGTTATAAAAAGACTAAATTTTGACAAAACTATTGGTTTCTGGGATGGGTTTTACTTATAGTCATCAAACAATAACTTATCTTTACCAAACTTCAAAATTTCTCCATGCAAAAATGTATTGTGCTTAAAACCTAATATCAAATGATATTTCACTAGAAGATCCTGCATAATGAAGGTAAACCACAAACCAAGTAATTACACTTGTTGTTGTGCTAAATAAACCCCCACTCAAAGTACAGGAAAACAGGAAGTCTGTTTCTGATAGCTCTTCTCAGATCTCATACATTCATGACATTACAACTCATCTCTGCCAAGGGGTTGACTAAATACAAAGTATCTCTGTATGGTAATACTTAAGAGAAAAGGGTTACAAATTTTTTTTTAAAGTTCATTAAACATACTGAAAATTCAAAGTATCATGATCAACAAACAGGAAGAAGGTGTTTGACAAAACAAGTTACAACTGCTGATCCAGTCTTCATGATAAACTTTTAAATCTACAGGCCCAGCTCTCAATTTTTGGAAAATTTTAGTTAGATTCTGTTGGCCTGTAGAGATTATTTTTACAGGCCCGAAAGCAATTTTACAAGCCTTGGCTGCTGGGCCTGTGGTTAAGAGTGAAGACTGCTGATCAAATATGAATTCATTCTATTCAGTAATACCTGCAGAAAGTGTGATAGATATATTTGTTAGATGAACAGAATGATTAACATAGCCCCTTACTCAATATAACCAAAAACAAAAATAAGACTAGAATTATGTGAACTAGTGAAACTATATACAGTCCAGATTTATTGATTGTTGGTTGCTTAACGTCCATGGCCAGTGGTATACAATCCAGAATGTTGAACCACATTAACAAGATAAATTGTATGTATATAGAAAGGTTGAAAGCATTTGTTTATTCTGCTAGATTCTAGAATAAAATCTATGATGTAAAGGGTATAAAAGATGCATTCAAAGACTGATGAAATGATATGCTCATATTCAATAATTTAACAAACTAAACCCATAAATAAACCATTTAACCAAAATCAATTTCCACTTATAGAACAGGTTGCAGTGTTTATTGAAAATGAAAAAAAAACAAAAAAACTCAGATTACATTTATTTATTATTTATATTAAGAGAGATCCAACTTTAAAATATAGCCAAAAAAGAAGGTATACATGGTATATGACAGATCCTATAAGTGCTCACAATACATGTAATATATCTGACTGTTTAGCTGCTGACCAAATATCAAGTTATTCTGCCACTTAATACAAAATGACCATTATGCACCATGTTATTATAATAAATACTGTAAGATTTTGAGAGTAGAAAATTTAAATGAATATAAGTTGTTGCAAATATTACAAAAAGGATCTTATATCGAAAATAAATTTCTGGAAAGTTGACCAGAAAGGTCTTAGCACCAATAAAAGTATACAAAAATTAAGTTGGTTTACAGTACATAACTAAGGAAAATAACTGAACCTTCTATCAATCAGTAACCAAAAATTGAAACAGATTGTATAAATCACAAACAAATTCAGTAAGAGTATGCAGAATTACGTATGTATTTAAAGGAAAACACTGACAGCTGTCTATAACAAAAAATCCTTACAAATAACAGATTACGCTTCAGACTTCTTACCTCAATATGCAAAGCGACGATAAATTTGTCATGAAGCATTATATTTTGATATTAATCAGTAAATATTTGATTCTCTTTAAAAAAAACATAATTTAAACTGAATAACAACATCCATGTAATTAACGATTAAAATTATTAAAGAATTAAGAAGAGTGCCCTCTACTTTGTCAAGAAAAAATATGATAGAAACTGAATAAAGATTGTGAAATAACTTTTTCTCTTATATATTGTTTGTACTACTGCATATATACATGCCATATTTGGGAGCTCACTACATCCATAGCAAAGTCAATTTTTTTAGGCTAAATATATGTAACTTTTTCATAAGTATCATAAATATATAGCCTTTATAAAACTTCCAATTTACATAATACTCTATATAGTTGTTATACATTTTTTGTTTCTAGAATGATACATGCTTAATCTTTAATTAAACAGCTATCAATCGATCAACCCAATTAAGGAATGTAACCAATGGTTAGTTAGATCAAATATTTTCTGAGTTTGCATCTAGTAAGGCTTTGGTCTTTAAATGTAAATTACACTTTTTTGTTTTTTTTTATTAACAAATATTCAAGTAGGGGAGATAACTCTTAACAATTTTAACTAAAATCAAAAATCACAGATACCCTTTCTAGCAGCAGGCCTAGACCATAGGAGTTTTTAGGAATATGACACAATACATCAAAAGGATAACAGGAGTCCCCAAAAATACTGGACAGTCTTATGTTTAATGGTAAACAAGAAGCAAATTTAGCTGTCTTAAATAAGCCATGACATTTATATTAACAAAAATGTATTAGAACTTAAAAATGTTAAATCAAACCTTACTTTATTATCATTTGGAAACCTAATAAGTCACTTTTTTTCAGATAATAGTGAGTATAACTCTTGAATTTAAATGGCAAATTCCCCAACATTTTAACTAACATGTAGTTTATGATGCATGACAGATTATAATTTTAACAAAAGTTTGGGTATCTATCTTGATGAAACTAAAACATTTTTTTTCATGTGTATAATAAACAAGGGCTTAAATATCTAGTTAAATGTCAAATCAACAAAAATCTTACTTAGCATTTATCTAATATGTTAAAATTATTCCCATTAGTTTCAACCATTCATTATTTTTAATTCTATCAGACAAGAATTTTTTTTTATTTTATGCCTCACTGTTTCTGTAATAAATGAAAAACTTCTTAAAAACTAACATTATGTTTTGTTAATTAAAATTTTTAAAACATTTGGGCTAAGTTCGGATGAAAAACTTGAATTATCTCTACGGAACAGTACCATAATCATTCTAAATGTGTTGTGTGCACAGGAAAACAAATATTATACATGTGTATCATGAAGTGGACAGGACTTTTTTCTTACTATTCTTACATATAAACATTTACTTTCTTAAAATAAATTTTCTCTCCATACTGACTAGAACTGTCAGTTGTCACCCAAACAAAATCCACTTGAGCTATCAAGGTTTCAGTCTTCACAATTTACCAAAAGTCCTACAGTCCTACAGTCCAGGCCAGTAAACATGTTGTCAGGCTAGACATTTTTTTACTTAGGCTTTATAAGCCATGTATAAATTTAAAATAATTTTATTAAAGACTGATTTCTGGGGTATGGGTTTTTTCTCATTTTTGAAGGCTGTACGGTTGCCTATAATTGCTTTCATCCACTTCATTTTAACTTTGGTGGATAGTTGTCTCATTGGCAATCATACCACATCTCCTTATTTTTATATTGTAAGTCAAGAAGTTTGTCATGAGGCCTGGTTTTCAACTAACCTTCGTTTCCGGATAGAATCAATCCAATGGTACATTACTCGTCTGTAGGTTACAATATTGACTTCATCTCCATCTTCATTAAACAGATGTTCTAAATTCTGTAAGTCATCGTCCCTCTAAAAACATATCGTACATAAAAAATCTATTTAATAAGTTTTACAGTTTCATTCCAGTGGCAGATCCAGGGGGTGTTAAGTGGGTTGGGACCCCCTTTTTTTGATGATCAATGCTTTTGAATGGGGACATTTGGTTGGAACCCCCTTTTAAAAATGACTGGATCCGTCCCTGCATTCAATATCACTCACTTACTGTAAACATAAAAATATTATCAATTTTGATACATGATGTATTTTTAAAAATTGCTTGAACACATTTAAAACAAGATCAAGGAGCGCTCCAGAATAGCGATAGATAGAGGGCTGTGTGGTGGACTGAACACTAGGTCCTACTTTTCTGAGAACTGCAAATTAACTTCATATCTTCATTCCTTTCAACTAAACCTGCAGATTAATTCTGGATACACTAATTTTCATTTCAATATTTTCGCTATTTCCATCATATAATAAGCACTTAATTACCATGAACAGGAATAAAACACTTAAATGTATTATCCTTACAAAATATAGAAGAAAAGGTGTATATAATTCATTCAAAAAGATATCTAAATCTTCAAACTCATTAAGATAGATCTACATAATTAATTATCACATCTCCAATATAGTTTATCTACAATGTACAAGTAATACCTCACTTATGGCGCTAGATGTGAATTTAAGATATTCAATCAAGTTAGTAACAGGCACAACTCCTGCTTTCTTTACGTCACATGTTAGAAAAAGGCTGTCTAATAAATCCTCCTCTGTAAAATGCTGACTATGGTTAAAATCTTCTCCCGATGAATTCATTTCATAATCCTCATCAGTGTCCATTTGTAAAACATAATCACCCTCTTTTCTATGTTAATTTTGTTCTGAAACATGAAGAAACTTTTTTGAATTAAAATATTCCTTCCATGAAAAATTACACTGATTTGCTATAAATTCATAGTAACATCACATAAACTAATGGAATAATCTTGAATCATCATTTAAGTTCTTAATTTTTGCCTTGCATTCTAAATTTTCATTAAAAAGATTTTTTCCAAAAACAATTTTTAAAATTTTTAGTTGACTTTTCAATTTCCTAGGTCATAAAACGCCAATTTAATTTTAAAATTCACCACGATTACAGTGCTTATAACAAAACAATTACAGGTGTTTGGTTTCCTGTTATCAAATTGTTGATAATGACATTATTCCAGCACTTTTACCACTCCAGGCAATAAGTATTTAGATTGGCACATAGTATTTCCTAAGTATGGTACGAAAAACTAATAGATCACCTTACAAAGACTGAATAATTGAATACTAAGTCATACATCAATCATTCATAATCATTAATTAATATAATAACATGCAAGAACTATTAAGACAGTATTGATTCTTCAAGTTCGCCATTAAGAGCATTATGATACAATGTACTAAACAAAATAATAAAACTTAATTGAATTTTGTATATAACTATTGGTTTTTAACATTGTATTAGTGAGAAAAAAAAACCATGGGAATCATAATGAATAATAAATAAATTGAAGGTAAATATTGATAGATAAATTGAAAATATGAATTAACAAGATATTTGGTATACATTTCTTGTCAGGAGACAGTAACAGTACCCACAAAATGAATTAAAAAATGACACTTTAAATTGTAGGTATATCACTATAATCCTGGCATTCATAATCGTTTTATGTTGACATTGAGTACAAAAGTTGACACTGAAATGATATGGATGGTTGGACTGATAATGATAGAACTACATTTATACATTGAATGTCTTAAACCTAATGTATTACAAAAATATGAACCATGAAATATTTCAGTCAAGGTCAGGAGAAAACTTATAAATATATATATATATAAATGTTATCACAAAGGTAGAGATTTATTGTGGAAGCATGATTCAACATGAAGAAATTCAATAAGTAATATTGCACATCTAGCTTTTTACAGTAATATTGTTTATAAAGGTAACCAATTTAGGAATTCTCCTTTAAATCTGTCTCTTTGGCTAACAGTAAAGGGTTATACTTATACAAGTGTTTTTTTTTTACTGGTACGGTTAAATTATTTTGGAGGAAGAGTTATATCCCTTAGCGATTTAGATTATTTTTACCTAAATATAAGTAAAAAATTCTTTTTCTTTTTTTGTCTTCTTTGTAAAAAATTTCTATGCTACAATGTTCTAATAGTGTTGTATTGTCTTTCATTAATAGTTGTCTTTACTATTCATAAAAGTATTATTTCATGGACAATGAAAATCTCCTTTTTCTGTTATCTTCAATTCTGTTCATTTACAAGCCGCTGCAATTTTTGCAAGGCCTTGCACAGTTACTTAACATCTGTGCGCAATAGATTTCCTTGTTTAGTTTTTGAGATAAAAGGTTGAACTCAAGTCAGAAAATAATAAACAAACTAGAAAAATTTTTTTTTAGGCATGTTTTTACCGCCCAAATCTTGAGAACTTAAGGGAAAAAACCCAATTGTATAAGTACATTTTGTGGAGAAGATTAAGGGTAGATTATTCAAACCTTGAAAACAACATAAAAATCTTACAAATGTACTTATACAAGTAAAGATTACTTACATCTTCAAGTAAATAAACATGACTTGTACAAGTATTACCCCCGATTGGCTTAATAGACTAATAGATAAAGGTTTAAAAGTATATTGTTGCTCAATGACTGCATCTGGTATTTAGGGGATAAACATCAATTTGCTAATTTTTGGTTTGAAGTAAAACTAAAATGTTTCTTTTATTTTTCTGTATACATGTAGTATGTTTTGGGCATTGCACAAAATCCTGTCTTCATGTACTGTTTAAGACATTGCTGTATGAAATCCTCTATGAAATACAGCAACAAAAACTAGCTGAAGAATTAGTGCACCATATTTTCGTATCAGCATAATGTCATTGTAAATTCTTGGAGTTTCCTTTCAGTAACTACTAGCATTCTTTAATACTGTAACAGTACAATTTGTTCTTTATGTTTTTGTTCGTGTTAAATGAAATGTATCGATCTTACATGTCTTATCATTTATATTTAAGAGTTAAAGTGTTTTCCCTGTAATTGTTTTTATTGAATGTTCTATATAAGTTTGAAATGGGACACCAAATTTGTTTTTTTTAAGTTCAAAGGTTATGTATACAATGTATGTATAAGACCATTTTCTGTATACCCTTAAATAATCTTTGGTGCCATTTAATGCAATTCAATGTATGATAAAAACAGCTGAGTGCAATGGTGATCATAAAAACAGACCTCAATGTTGATGTTTAGATAAGCAAAACGAAACGAAAACGAAACAAAAAAATATTCTGATCCCCATATTGATGCCAATGATGGGAAAAAAATATTGTGGTCAAGCAGATGAATAAAAAAAATATTCTGAATCCAGATTTTCCCCATACCTTATAGTGTTAAATTTTGAAAAAAATAATTTTATTGATATAGTGTCATAAAAAAACAAAAAAAAAATTTTTTTAATTTAGTTTGGAGCTTATTCAACTTATCAACTTTTTTCGCGAAAAAAATTTTCCGACTCAGACGAAAAACCATAACCCCCACACCCTTGAAGTTAAATGGTTGCTCCCTAACCGGTCTTCAATCAATTTGAAAAAAGGGGTTCTCAATTTATATCTGGAAACCAAAACATTTACAATCTTTCCAACAATCAAGTAACATACTTACATAGTTCTGAGATGGTTAATGTGAAATGACAAAAACTTAAGTTAACACTTCTTTAGTGGTGTATATATGTACAAAACATTACATTCAAATCTCAAAAAGAGGTGCTCTATTTATCATCTGAAAACCAAATGTGTGAAGGAGAGATGGACATGATTATTTCTATGTTCTCCCCACTGGGTATAGAGCCCAGGTCTATGCCCGTAGTCTATGGATTCTTCCAGTTCCACATTGCCAGGTTCGAAAAGGGGAAATACACAGTGATGTTTAATAATGACTGAGTTTGCTCTTTTATTTTTGTAGTTAACTTTACTTTATACAATTTCTCTGGCCAATAATCGTTTAATATTCTGGTTATTCGGCTATTTTTTTTTCCTGCTGCAGTCAAACTGTCGCGCGCTGTGATGCTGGATGACATCCGGTCAGCATAAAATTTGGAATTGATCAGACATGGTATCAAGTCCGTATTTGTTCTAAAATTAGAATTTTAGCGCGATTTTCATAAAAAAAAACATTTAGAAGATCCTGTCATATTCGTAAACAAAACATCATATACCCATTTTTCTGCTTTTTGCGGAGCGTAAAACTGGTTCCAAGACCACAGATGACTGTTAGGGCGTGTATTTAGATCCTTATGGACTGATACATCTATTTGTCCCAGGTTTAAGGTGAGATCTCAAAAGAAATATGAAGAAACATTCTAATCTAAATTATCTAACTGTAGTGGTGGTCACTTTGTTTACTTGTTAATTATACTATTTATTTGGGGAAATTGGTTAATGTTAGTATTATTTATAGTTCCGTAACTCTTTCTTCCGATACCGGCCATGTAATAATTCTTGTCAGGACTTCCTGCCTCTTGCATGGCAGCATGTGCCTAACATCCGGCTTGGCCGGGCTCTGTGTCCCTAGGAACTATAAGTATGACGTCACTCACCAGGTTCAGGGCAGTCTACACTTAGGATTTGAAATGAGCAGACGCTCATACCTTTTGGCTTGCAAATATGGAACTTTACAATGACAAGTAGACTAGCCACCACCGTATATTTTATTATTCTTGTATGTAACTTATATTCAACCATAACGTATGTCTCTTAATAAACATCTTGTTTATATTTACGTGGTTTTATAGTTTGTCAAATATCCCAGAACTTGGGTAGACAACAGGGAACTTACGAAGCCAGTGGAAACTTCACTCCCGTTACATAACTTATCTTTAAACCCCATTCAGTTTGTAAAGGAACCATATTTTCATATGTACAAATGGAAGTTTTTAACGACCTTGAACAGCTATACAGCCCTTGCACAGTCGTTTTCATATGTAGAACAGGTGCTCTCTTTATATATAGTGCTGTTACTCCCTACACCATTGGACATGTAACCATATTTTCATGCTCAGCTCAGGTGCTCTATAATATACAGTGCTAATATGATGCAGGTGTTCCTTGTGAAAGAGGACAAAGTCTGTATAAATTATTTTTATGTAGAACAGGTGCTCTCTTTATATATAGTGCTCTTACTCCCTCCACCATTTGACATGTAACCATATTTTCATGCTCAGCTTAGGTGCTCTCTATAATATACAGTGCTAATATGATGCAGGTGTTCCTTGTGAAAGAGGACAAAGTCTGTATAAATTATTTTTTAAATTCAAGCATACATGTATATTGACTTCGGAATCTGTTGAAAAAGAAATGGAAATACGGAAACGTTTCCGATGTTGGTCCTGTTGTTAGGAATTTTAGTTGTGATATATTGTCACTTTATATGTAAACAAAGAAACGCTATCAGGGCTCGACGATAACGCTAATGTCCGATTGTCTGGTACCAGAGGAAAAAAAGGTCGGACAAGTAAAAGCCATACCAAGCTTGTCCAACGGGACAAGTAACATTATATATATATTCTGTAGAAAATAAACAACATCCAACTTTGATGATCAAAGTAATAAACAAAAAACAAAAAAAGAAGATAAAAACAAATTTTGATTTGACATGTTTACTTTCCATCTAACAGATAAAAGGCATACTATTCTCGGAAACCAGTCTTACCAATCAGAATCTGTGGTGGCTTTGTAAATAAGGTAACAAGACAGTTTGGCACCGGCGAGGAAACGAATCGGCTCCATGTTTAATAGACAGTTCGACACTGTTGGAGACATTTGGGACCAAGACAAACCAGTATATTGTTTCCTTGCATTTTTCTGTTGCTTTATAATAAATATATGATAAATTTTATTTAGCAAAAATATTTAAAAAATAAAAACGAAGAAATGAGAAACCAAAGTCAGATTTATCTGTTCATCAATCCAGATGGTGCATAGCTTAATGCAGTCCTTATCAGCTTCCTGCTGATCATCCAAAGTGTTTGTTTACAGTAATTTATATCAAGTCTATATATATATATATTATTTATTTCATAGACAATTACCCACTGTTTGCTGGTGTACACATAGTTATCAACTTATTCTGTAACTAGTTTTTTTTATTTTCATCACAATGTCTAATTATGGATCATGGAGTCTCCCCCAATTAAAAGAAGAATTAAGAAAGAGGAAAGCAAGGATTTCCATTAAATTCAGAAAATCATATTTGATCATATTTAGACAAACAATATTTAATTGTGTTTGAATAAACATTTTAATATATTAAAAACAAAGCTGAAAATAATAATAATCAATATGTTATCAACATAAAAGACCAGAATACAAACCAAATGCGTGTAGACTGACAGGCCTACCAGACTGTGCCTGATGTGCAGAGTCTGATGAGACTTTAATTGGCATTGATGAAAACTAAAACCTAAGTCCTTTGACTAGACATGACTAGATTCAGTTGTTCTCGACTCATATTTTTGAAAAGAATATCAAGAGATATAAATCAAATTCTGTTCTGTTGTTTAAATTCATTTTGTTCATTGAATCAACCTAAAATGCAAAAAAGGTTAATACAAAGGTTTTTTTTTGGAAAAGTTACAATTCCATTCGGACAAGTAAGTTTTGTTATGTACTTGTCCTATTGGGCAAGTTGAAAAAAAAGTTATTGTAGAGGCCTGGCTATCATCAGGTAATGTTTTTTTCATATCAAAGAATTATTAAAATAAAATTTTTATAATTCATATCTTTAAACGACGAAGATACCAAGTCGACTTGTTATTCTTATCAGATACTGAAATTTGACGGATTTAGTGATTGATCAGGTGAGTTTTCCCAAGGAAAACATTTTGTTTGCTTTAAAATCATATGTTGAATAAGCTCCAGACTCATTTTAAAATATAAGGAATTTATTTTAATTGTTTAACTGGCAGTATTCTTTCAGTAATAAAAAACGACAAATTTGTGGGAAACATTATATGATGCTCCTTCCAATATTTTACTCAAAGTCCTGTGACAAACGAGACCGGAAGAAAGAAAAAAGATTTCTGCACAAATATGATAAACTAAAAAAGTTAGAAAAAAAAAGTTAACGATTTTGAGTTCATTAGTATATCGATTTTTTTTCTTCTTATTGATTTTCTTACTGTAATTGGGGACTTTGTCCCCATAATAATTTCTATACATATTTTTTATTGTAATTGTCATGCGAAAGGTGACTTGATTCTGACCATTTGAAACAGTTTGGTTTGATATAACAAATTGCAATTTGGTCAAAATTTTGAATAAACTACAACAGATGGAGAGCAACACTTACAGTCAAGTCTCAGTAACTGCCCTCAAACTCTGCTCATGGCAATGATAAAAATGGTTTACAGTAAAGTCTTCACAGCAAGCAAAACTAGTGTTAACTTAGTATATGATAACTGTTAACACAGTGCAAAGGGGGATAGGGGTTTCACATCCTGTTGATGATTAAATTTTAACTGCTTTTGATATCTTTTATGTATGTATCGTTCTTTTTTTCAGGTTCAAGATGTACATGAAATACAGACAAAGACTTGAGAACGAAGATAAAGAGGTTTTGCCCTTATTCCTATCATTTGATTTTTCTAACTTTCACTTTAGAAACATAATCTAACTAATATGATAGGATTCATTTATTTTTTTGTTGGTACCAGTGCCAATATTCATGGATTGAGGAAAAAATATACCTTTGGGATTTTGCCAAAGTCTCCATACAAACTTTGCATTACATTGAACATTTAAATTTTTGGTTCCCATATACCAATGAAAGCCAAGGTAATTGGTATCCCACCAATGATAATGAATCCACAGTAAATAAAATTTCACATGGCTATTGCATGAAACAATGTGAAACATAAAGGTCATGATCATCAATATTTGAAAAATTTAAATTTATTTGATTGTTGGGTATCAATTTTTGTGTCAATAGAGGAAAATAAGACATTTCGTGAGATAGTCATAGATTTGTGGATCATTTTTTCAAAAATAAAAATATAAAAATTATTCAAATTTGTTCAAAATTGTCAAAATCACAGCTTAAAGAGTTTGAAGGAATTTTCATTATATACTTACCTCATAATTTATACAAAACTTGCAGTGAATTGTAAAAAATAATTGTAATCAGCTGTTAGTAATGTCCATTATCTGTTTTCTCCATTGTTTAAAGATAAAACACCTGTTTACAACTTCTCATAATACCTACAGAGCTGAATCCAGTTAAAAATTTGTCTGTGTGACAGAGGGAAGCCATGCAACCAAGCCTACAACAGGAAAAGATCATTTACCCCTATTTTGTTGATTGTTAATTATTTTAGGTGGCTGTAAAATAATTGTTATTCAACAATGTTTTCTTTAGAATTGTTCATTCAAAGCCGTAATAACCATTGAGGCAAGTGAGGCAATTGCCTCAGTGATTTTCTTTTTGATTTTTTTACATTATTATTATTATTATTATTTCATATGACTGTGTTACATATTCATCATAATTTAGTTATTGCATTTCATTCTTTATGTTCTCCTCCTCTTGGATCCCTAAATAATGTTTTACTGCTTGGGTAACATTAATCCTTCACTGGTACAATGTTCACTAGTAAACGCTTTCTCATCTTTAATGAAATGTTGGTTGAAAACAGGAACGTGTAGAAAGAGAAAATGTCCTTCAGAAAGTTAGCAGTGGATTATGTGTATTATTATAGGCTTAATGTAAAATTAGACTGGTCAGTCTATGCCATAAAAGCTTGTGTTACACATAGCCTTGAATTCAATACTTTCAGCTTCTATAACTTAGTATCATGAGTTAAAACACTTTCAAACTAATTAAAATATAGTACATGTACTTGAGTCTTATTTGTATGCATTTTGCATGAAAATATATCATTTCTTCAATGTACCAATCTTCAGTTCGTGATGAAAAACTTTGACAACCCTGTACATTCACCCCGTTAAAAGGATTAAAAAAACTCTTCCTGTAACAAACGTTTGCTGTGAGAGATCCTTTTCTTCTTTACTGAGATTAAAGACTTGGGGAAAGAGCGTGCATGGGTGAAGACAGACTATGTGGTCTAGCCCTGCTACATTTCCATAGAGACAAAACACTAAACAGGTAAAACATCATTAGGCAGTTTGGTATTACTGGACACAGAAAGTTAGACAGTTACACTTTGAATGAAATGTGGGCATTTTTCTTATTTATCATGTTAATTGTATGATTGGTGTTTAAAGTGTGCTGTCTCCACATACATAGTTGTTTGTTTTTCATTTACCTAAAACTCTGGAGCTTCTTGACCTGTGCGTTTCCCAGACCCCTCGCCTCACTATTATTTGGGGTCTAGTTACGGCCTTGTCATTGTTGAAGGCCTAATCATCAAACTACAATGAATCAAAATAAGGCTGTTCTGTGTTATTTCTTACACAATTTAAACTCTATAGTCTTTTGATTATTGGTCATTGAATTTTGGTTTGCTGTGACCCATGGAATCCATTAAGATTGATATCCTACAAAAAAATATGAATCCACAGTATATTGGTTACATATGAGGAGGATACATGTATGGCCTTGACCTCATTTTCATACTCCCATTAGATAAGTTTTCAGGATTTGGTTGGCCCTTTAGAAAATGACAAAACTGTATTTGATAGGTCAACAGAATTTTTAATGTATTGGGGTGGTTTTGATGAGTATATGTCAATCTCACATAAGTGATATGCCATTCAGCTTTAACCTCATATTTGTGATTCAATAGTTAGGTAAAGTTTTCAGGATGAGGTTAAGATTACATGTGATACAGGATAGGTCAACAATATTTGCTCTATAACTGTAGCATCCTTCAGAGGACACACTGCAATTGTATTCTTCATAAGTGCACACACTAATGACATACACTTTTATACATCATTTTTGACTTGTATACTTTCAGAGTCTTGATAACAGTGTTCAAACTACAGTGAAATCTTGTTGGAATGAAGTAAATAAACAGTGCCAAGCATACAAGCCATCTAAATCCACCAAAACCCCGGTAAAATCAGGATGGAAGATTGTTAGAGTGTTTGTTTCATCCACATTTACCGATTTCTTTAACGAAAGGGAAATCCTGGTTAAAAAGGTAAAGATGAATATATTCTCAATAATATAATTGTTTTTGCCTCTAGTGTGACTCAATGCAAGACATGGGGATACTAATCTGGCAGTGTCTTAAACTATTTGTATAAAGCTTCTGAAGGTAATAAACCTGGATACTATATCCGGAATTTTCTATCTGTCATATATCAATTGCCCTTGACTTCATTTTCATGTCTCAGGGACTGCTTATAAAAACTGCATAGTTATTTATCAATGAATGTCACACTTTGAAATGAATAATAGAATAATTATATTTGGTATATATGGGATTCTTGCAAAGACTAAATATCTATAGACAGGCTCATTTCATGGAACAGTAATCAAGGTAAAGTTTTCAATATCAGTTTCTCAGATACAAAAAGCAATATGTCCACTATACTGTAAACCAACTAATTTTCGCGAGCGATCTATTTTCGCGAGCGATCTATTTTCGCGAGTAGAAAAATAATGCGAATATAAATCGTCGCAAATATGTAAAACTTGGAAGTTTCCTTATTTAACTACATCCAGCAAATTTGAAAATCGCGAAATTAAATCGGAACGAAATGGGCTAATAAGGGCTTAACGTGAAATAAAGTATCCGCGAAAATAAGTTGGTTTACAGTATTTGGTATATGGAATGATGCACATCTATCTGACATGGTTCATCTGACCTTGATCTCATTTACATTGATTATTGATAATGTTAAGTGTATGTAATACTTGTAGTAAAAGATTTAATAGCGTAATATGCTATTCCGAATTGATTCCCTATGTAGAAAATTACATTTTTGAAATATCTTCCATAATAAATAAAAAACAAATATGTCACCTCAGATTTTAAAGAAAATTAATATTTACCTCTAGAAAATATCCTTTAATTTTATCTGGTGTCAAAATTTTTGAAAATTGAAACCCTACTTTTAAAATGTATTACCAAGTTTGTATCAGAATTAATCATTTTTTTCTGTGTCTTACATAAAAATGTGCAAACAGATTCCTTCCTGATGTTTTCAGGTTTCTAATCATTAAGGTAATCATATAAGAGAATGACTACTGTGAAAGGCAGATTTGATTTAGAAATTCATTTTTGAGCATGAAAAATATGTTACTTGTAATACAGCTTTTGTTGAAAATTATTTAATTGTAGATTTTTCCTGAACTAAGAGAATGGTGCCAGTTGAGACATATACATCTAATAGAATGTGATTTACGATGGGGAGTTCCAAAAGAGGCTACAACACAACTCGTCATCGATACGTGTTTAGAAGAGTTGAATCGATGCCATGAGGATACCAATGAACAGCCTTTCTTTTTAGGACTGATTGGTAAAAGGTGAAGTTTAAGCAAAATTAGAAATATAATTATAAGGCCATGTAAAATTAACTTTCTGGTTCTCAGCCCCCCTGTCAAAAAACCTTCCCTGGCTTGTATTTTTCACAAACAAAAATATATATAATGTGTAAAAAAACATGTTGTTAAAATTTTACAGCTTTTAAACTAGTCAAAGAGTAATGACTCTAACTCATTTTGAAAATTTGCTTAAATTGTATAGTAGTTTGTAGCAAGTTTAGACTTCTGGTAAATCCACACATATGCAAAATGTCAAAATGTAAACTGAAGTGAAATGCTCCTATCAAGTTTGATGATCATTAAACTTAGAGATGACACAACATTAACTTATAAAGATATTTGTGGATTGAGGTAAAATTATATTTTCATGTATGGTTGGCAAGTTCTGCATTATGAAGGGGGTGGTAAAGGGTTATTTTCGTGCAACGTGTTATGCCATTTTTTTTTCACGTGCAGCCGTGAAAAAGGTTCTTTATTCACCGTGTTTCGTGAAATCGGTAAAAAGATCAACATGCAAGAAACTTTTAATTGTTCGCTCATCGTGAAATGGCAATTTTATTTCGCGTTCTTCCGTGATGATACCCCCCTTTACGCCCCTCTATGAAGCCTAAAGGAAATCTGTCCTTTGTTAAACACTTAATTTCATGGTTCACCTATACCCACAAAGTTCATGAAAATTAGAACCACCAAATAATAATGAACCACAGTTATTAGAAAATATGCAGAAGATACCAAAGGGATACGCAAACTCATAAGTTGAAGATAAACTAACAAGGCCATGGGAAGAAAATGAAAAACAATGAAAAGACTAGCAAATATGTCTATAAAAACAACATAGACTGAGCAACTTGAACCCCATCCAAAAACCAGAGGTGATCTCAGGTGCTCCGTAAGGGTAGGCAGATCCTGCTCCACATGTGGCACCCATTGTGTTACTTATTTTAGTACAAATTTTGAGATAAGTCTAATTTGGTGATGTCACATTCTATAATGGTACAAAATGTATTATTTAATGTAATGTATATTCACTTCTTTATTAGATATGGATGGATACCAGGCAGAACAGACATTTCTGATGAATTGAAAGAGAAATTTCAGTGGGTTGACAACACATCCATAACATTCATGGAAATACTTCATGGGGCATTCAGGTAAGTGTATACCTCACATTACCTTTTACTCTTAGACTGTGGATTCACTATTATTAGTGGGATACCAATTTTATAGAATTTCATGGGTATAGATGAACCAGAAATTTAAAAGCTCAACGAAATACATATTTTCTGTAGGCTTGTATGCAGACTTTGGCATGAATATAAAATTTTTCCTCAATCCATGAAATTGGTACCCATGAAAATAAATGAATCCTTACAGTAGGTAAAAGCTTGTGAAACCATATAAGGGAATAACTAGAGGATATGTTTAAAAATTGGAGGACTTTTCTACAATTATTGGCCATCACTTTTAATACCCTTTAAGAACTCATCTGACTGTAAACTTGGAAAATTTCGCATAGGGCTATTTACCCTTATTTCACAATCAGGCAAAATAGGAAAAAAAAAGTCCCACACCAATAGTTTACAAATAGATAATACCAATGAGAAAAGTGCAATGATATTTCATTGCCCAAATTTAAACCCTGTGTGAAAGATTTATGGGCTAAAATCATGAAAGTAACATCTCCCGAAAAATTTTACATTTACAGAATTGTAAGCCATTTAAGACAATGCCATGATCTTCAATCAAAACTCAATAGTATTTGGTGTTTTTGTTATTGCTTTATTATGTTATTTATTTTCTGATATCTTAAAAGAATGTGTTATTGCAGATGCAAGAGTCCAAATGCAGCCTTTTTCTTCAGATCAGATGAAGTGATTGATTCTATCCCAGAAAAAGCTTTGAAACGATTTATAGATGAAGAAACCCTGAACAAACAGCACCTGATTGTAAGATTTTTAAAATGAAGAATATGCAGTTCTTAGATAATTTCATCTAAATAAAGGAATAGTTTGTTATGGCAAAGTTGAAATAGTCACTTGTTGCATATTTAAGTTTAAATTTTCCATTTTGTAAGAAATAAAATACAGCTATCCGTAAAAATGTACAATATTGATCATTATTAGTTTTTTTAAGCTGAAGTTCTTTGAGTAATCAAACTCAGAATCTTGGAACAGAAAGTTTAGATATATTTTCGATAATATTTGGACTTTATTTGCTGTACATTGTTTGTAAGTCTTTCGCAAAATAGCTTTTACTTCACTTGATCCCTTGAGGTTTTATTACAACGTTACCTTAAATGGTACTTTGCATTTAATATTTTGATATTTTTCTACTTTTCATTCTTGAGATTTTTTGTAACTTAAATGGTAAAAAAGGGGAAATAAATTTTGAAGTAAGTCATTGAAAGTATAGTGATGGATAAGAGGTACATATAGCTTATTGTTTGTTCTTTTCAAATTAAACAAGTGAACAATACTTCATTGACTTTAAAGTCAAATTAACAGCAGCTCTTATTTGACACCAATTTATTGGGCTACCTGACTTACTGACATTTGTTTGTTAAAAGAATTTTTCTGTGTATATGTCCATAGTATACTTTAACTTATTTCCTACTTGGATGTGATGTTTGAATTTTAGTCTTTATACGAACGCGAAAAATTTGCATTCGGATATTGCTATCACATCGTCGTCGTCCGAAGACATTTGGTTTCCGGACAATAACTTTAGTATAAGTCAATGGAATTCTATGAAATTTAAACACAAGGTTTGATACCACCAAAAGGTAGGTTGGGAATGATTTTGGGGGTTATGGTCCCAACTGTTTAGGAATTAGCTGCCAAAAAGTGGCCCAAAACAAGCATTTTTCTAGTTTCAGGACAATAACTTGTGTATAAGTATTTTGATTGCTCTAAAATTGTAAAAAGGTTCAATACCACAAGTAGAAGGTTGGGATTCATTTTGGGGGTAATTGGCCAAACCGTTCAGAAAAAAGGGGATAAATACAAGCATTTTTAGCTCACCTGGCCCGAAGGGCCAAGTGAGCTTTTCTCATCACTTGGCGTCCGTCGTCTGTCGTCGTCGTTAACTTTTTACATTTTGAACTTCTTCTAGAGAACCACTGAATGGAATGAAACCAAACATGGCATGAATGTTCCTTATGAGGTGCTGACCAAGTGTTGTTACTTTAAAGCCGATCTATCATCCAAGATGGCCGCCAGCGGGGGACTTAGTTTAACATATGACCCTATGGGGAAATACATACAAATGTCTTCTTTTAGAGAAACACTGAATGGAATAAAACCAAACATGGCATGAATGTTCCTTATGAGGTGCTGACCAAGTGTTGTTACTTTGAAGCCGATCCATCATCCAAGATGGCTGCCAGCGGGGGACTTAGTTTAACATAGGACCCTATGGGAAATACATACAAATGTCTTCTTTTAGAGAACCACTGAATGGAATGAAACCAAACATGGCATGAATGTTCCTTATGAGGTGCTGACCAAGTGTTGTTACTTTGAAGCCAATCCATAATCCAAGATGGCCACCTGTGGGGGGCTTAGTTTACATAGGACTCTACGGGAAATATTTACAAATGTCTTCTTTTAGAGAACCACTGAATGGAATGAAACCAAACATGGCATGAATGTTCCTTTTGAGGTTCTGACCAAGTTTTGTTACTTTGAAGCCGATCCATCATCCAAGATGGCCGCCAGCGGGGGACTTAGTTTAACATAGGACCCTATGGGAAATACATACAAATGTCTTCTTTTAAAGAACCACTGAATGGAATGAAACCAAACATGGCATGAATATTCCTTTTGAGTTGCTGACCAAGTGTTGTTACTTTGAAGCCGATCCATCATCGAAGATGGCTGCCAGTGGGGGACTTAGTTTAACATAGGACCCTATGGGAAATACATACGAATGTCTTCTACTAGAGAACCACTGAATGGAATGAAACCAAACATGGCATGAATGTTCCTTATGAAGTGCTGACCAAGTGTTGTTACTTTGAAGTCGATCCATCATCCAAGATGGCCACCAGCTGGGGACAGTGTTTAACATATGACCCTAAGGACAATACATACAAATGTCTTTTTTTAGAGAACCACTGAATGGATTGAAACCAAACATCGCATGAATGTTCCTTATGAGGTGCTGACTAAGTGTTGTTACTTTGAAGCTGATCCTTCATCCACGATGGCCGCCAGCGGGGGGACTTCCTTTAGCATAAGATCCTATTGGAAATACATACAAATGCTTCTTCTAGAGGTGCACTGAATGGAATGAAACCAAACATGGCATAAATGTTTCTTATGAGGTGCTGATGAAGTGTTGCTACTTTGTTGCTGATTTACTGTACAAGATGTCCACCAGGATTTTTTATTAAATTACAGGGCCAATATTAAACCAAATTTGGCCTCACTCATTATTAGGGTATCGGTTATGATTTTAATCTATTTTAACATGATTTCCAAAACAAAAGTAGAATCAGGTGAGCGACACAGGCTCTTGAGAGCCTCTAGTTCTAGTTTTCAGACAATAACTTGTGTTTAAGTGTATGGATGTCTCTTAAATTGTACCACATTTTACAAAAAAAATTTCATCAAATATTATTTTTTTTGGAGGGAGTGGGGTCAATTTTTTTTCCTCAAGATTTAAGAAATTATCAATTTTCCAAAAAAAAATTGGGCGTCACTATTTATTTTGCTAATTCTTTGTATATAGTCTGAAAACAGATTTATTAAGTATTGTGCAACAGCACAGTGTATTGCACAACAGTAAGAAATCTTCAATTGAATATAAATTCAAATCATATAACCAATTTCAAGTTCTTTGACTACATTTATTCTGTGTCAGAAACCTATGATATGTCAAATATTTAATTACAATCCAAATTCAGACCTGTTTCAAGCTTATTGTGTCCATTTTTGCCCCAACTGTTCAGGGTTGGACCTCTGCGGTCGTATCCAGCTGTGCTCGGCGAAGCACATTTTTAAAAAATAATGTGCAAATCTCGAATTACAGATAGATAATTTGTATAAGCAAAAAAAAGTTAAGGGTAAAGATATGATTAAGGAGAGGCAATTGTGTTATTTTTTCTGTATACTTAATTTTCAGTGCTTGAATGATAATTGTATTTTTTTAACATAGTTATTGTTGATTATGAAAAAATAAAATATTTTGTAGGCTCTGAAAAGACAATTAAATATTAGATTTCCAAATCAAGTTTATGTTTATAACTGTAAAGTAGATGGTATACAAGACACTGCAGGAAGAGAGAGGGTAGGTAATTATAGATGAGGGGGGGTAGGAGGGGGTCCTGATCCCGAAATCCCGGGCTTAAAAACATGGAATCACGAGGTCCCGAATTCTAAAAAATTTAAATCCTGACATTCCGAAATTAAAAAAAAAGAATTCCCGGATCCCAAAAGGATCAATCCCGAAATCCCGAGCTTAAAAACACCTGATCCCAGAGTCCCGATAAAGGTCCTACCCCCCTCATAGATTCTTACATTGGTACAAGTGGATTATCGGATATATCCAATTGGGATAGTTAAAATTTCAATAATTAACTATCGAGATTGGATAAGTCCTATAATACATGAGAAACTATGTAAGAATCTGTTTCTTTAATGATAATCAAAAAAATTTTCATCTTTGATAAACGAAAATCCCCTTCAGATGCCTTCCACATTCCAGATTTTCACGTCATACAAATGTAAAGATGTCAATTTCTCTAAGACCTGTAAGCACATTTCAATTCATCCAGAGACCTGATATAGGTTGTGACCTTTTAATAAGCCAATCATCTACTGAGATCATTGGCAACCACACATTGATTAAATTTTTTTGAATAATGGGTCCAAAAAGGGTTACATTGCAAAAAAATAGAGAAAATAGTTTACTTATTAGTTTGAATGTCCCTTTGGTATACTTCGCCTCTCTTTTACCGCAAAAAAAAAAATGAAAATCAAGGCTTCATAAATTTTATTCGTCAGATGTGCTTTTCAGGATAAACTTCACCTCTCTTTTACAATAAAAAAAAAATGAAAGTCAAGGCTTCATAAATTTTATTCGTCAGATGTGCTTTTCAGGATTTACTTTTATCAGGAAAGCTCAAAGTCAAATATTTAAAAGCCAAAGATGCTTTAGAACTGAAAAAAATGAAGAGCTGTATGATTAAAGGGGACCTAAAAATAATGGTCAATTCCATCTAAGGTCACCCTTGCCTGCATGAGATTAAACTTTAGTTTCTTAATAATTCATAAATTTATAAACAGAAAATTGAAGAAAAGTATTTAACTGTTGCAAGTCATGTAAGTACCAATGCAATGACTTCTAAGCAGATGGAATCCTCAGGAACTAATAGTCCTCCAACAGCTGCCCAAGTGTTTTAGGCAGAGCATCAACTGAATAGCATATCATCATTCCCTCTCTATAGATTTCCTTAATGCATTATATTGTGCTTCATAAATTTTGTTCATCAGATGTGCTTTTCTGGATTTACTTTTATAAGGAAAGATATCAGAATTTAGATTTTATAATTTTTACACAAAAGAATTACTTTAAAAAGCAGTTACTCTTTCTTAATAGAACCAGGTAGATTTCCTTAATGCATTATATTGTGCTTCATAAATTTTGTTCATCAGATGTGCTTTTCTGGATTTACTTTTATCAGGAAAGATATCATGAATTATCTCCCTTGGCAACTTTCTTCTGCATTACTTTCTTACACAAAATTTACAAAAACTGAGAAAAAAAATTTGCCTGAAACTAACTGTTTAAATTTAAAAATGGATCTAGATTTTTCCATTCCACAGGTTTGACACTTTTTTGGGGGGGAATTTAATGTTGTTTAGCAGAAATTCTCATGTTGTCATAAGTGAATATCAGACAATCTTTGTTAAATGTTTTATATAAAAAAGGGTACTACATTTTGTAGAAATTTGCAGAAAGTTTACCCCTGTTGAGGCTTTTTGTAAATTCTTTCATGCAGATGAAAGCCTGCCTAAAGTTTCAATAAACCAGGACTGCCAGGCAAGGATTTATTCTTGAACAAAATGATAATTTCCTTTCTAACTATTTTTGAAGACACTGCTTTATAACATTTTGATATTGTTGACCTAAACCTTACTTATATGATATTTTTTTATCATTTCTAGGTTAAGTTTTCTGACCTCGATAAATTTTCTGAACAAGTATTAGACTTCTTCAAGACAGCAATTACAAATATGTATGGTGACAACAAGACCAGTGAATATGATGAAGAAGAGATTGGTTTGTATTATTAATTTTAAAAGTTTTTAAGGACTTTTGTTGCAGAAGGGTCTAGACATTCTGTCAATTTGAAGATTATGCAAAGGACTACTTCAGTAGGAGTTTGACACTACTTTAGGTCATCATTAGGTTATCAAAAAATGGCAATATGCAATTAATGATCTGATGTAAAGTAGAGATTTTTTGTTTGTTGACGAAGGCAGGTGGGTTCCTCTATCAACAAAACTGAACACAATTAAAACGTAAGAATTAAATAGAAAGTGTTTTTGAAATTCCATGAAAAATACAAACAACCCTCAAGACCTATAGATTACTATTGATTTTGTTGGTGAGGTTCGCAGATTCAGGTAGATTTCTGAGTCTGCCCACAGCTTCTAAAATGACCTGATAATTCCAAGGTTAAGGTAGATTTCTGAGTCTGCCCACAGCAACTATAATGACCCGATAATTCCAAGGTTAAGGTAGATTTCTGAGTCTGCCTACAGCTACTAAAATGACCCGATAGTTCCAGGGTTAAGGTAGATTTCTGAGTCTGCCCACAGCAACTAAAATGACCTGATAATTCCAAGGTTATGGTAGATTTCTGAGTCTGCCCACAGCTACTAAAATGACCTGATAATTCCAAGGTTAATGTAGATTTCTGAGTCTGCCCACAGCTACTAAAATGACCTGATAATTCCAAGGTTAAGGTAGATTTCTGAGTCTGCCCACAGCAACTATAATGACCCGATAATTCCAAGGTTAAGGTAGATTTCTGAGTCTGCCTACAGCTACTAAAATGACCCGATAGTTCCAGGGTTAAGGTAGATTTCTGAGTCTGCCCACAGCAACTAAAATGACCTGATAATTCCAAGGTTAAGGTAGATTTCTGAGTCTGCCCACAGCTACTAAAATGACCTGATAATTCCAAGGTTAAGGTAGATTTCTGAGTCTGCCCACAGCTACTAAAATGACCTGATAATTCCAAGGTTAAGGTAGATTTCTGAGTCTGCCCACAGCAACTAAAATGACCTGATAATTCCAAGGTTAAGGTAGATTTCTGAGTCTGCCCACAGCTACTCAAATGACCTGATAATTCCAAGGTTAATGTAGATTTCTGAGTCTGCCCACAGCTACTAAAATGACCTGATAATTCCAAGGTTAAGGTAGATTTCTGAGTCTGCCCACAGCAACTATAATGACCCGATAATTCCAAGGTTAAGGTAGATTTCTGAGTCTGCCTACAGCTACTAAAATGACCCGATAGTTCCAGGGTTAAGGTAGATTTCTGAGTCTGCCCACAGCAACTAAAATGACCTGATAATTCCAAGGTTTAGGTAGATTTCTGAGTCTGCCCACAGCTACTAAAATGACCTGATAATTCCAAGGTTAAGGTAGATTTCTGAGTCTGCCCACAGCTACTAAAATGACCTGATAATTCCAAGGTTAAGGTAGATTTCTGAGTCTGCCCACAGCAACTAAAATGACCTGATAATTCCAAGGTTAAGGTAGATTTCTGAGTCTGCCCACAGCTACTCAAATGTCCTGATAATTCCAAGGTTAAGGTAGATTTCTGAGTCTGCCCACAGCTACTAAAATGACCTGATAATTCCAAGGTTAAGGTAGATTTCTGAGCTACTCAAATGACCTGATAATTCCAAGGTTAAGCAAGCAACAATCAATCAATCCATAGTAAGAAACTTCTGAACAAAATTTTTTTGAAAAAAGAAATTTACATCGATTTGAATAACAAGAAGTAGTTCTTTAAGGATGTTCGCTTCTCTTGTTTTTGACTTTTTGTCCAATATTTGGAATCCTCTAGTTTAAAAAGCCATTTTTGAAAATTTTATCAAATCCTTGTTATTTTTTCATAGTTTTTGAAAGAAAAAAGGTGCTAATGTTAAATATATGAAAAATCTAGAGAGAATCATTTCCCGCCAAGTTTTCAATTGCTTATATCTTAAAAACAAGGACATGACCTATCATTTTTTTCTGCTTTTTAAGTTCAGTTGTTTATATACTATCAATTTATGACAGTCTTTTAAAAAGCTTGTTATTTTGAAACAGAGTAACGAACATCTGTAACAAAATTTGCATGAGTTCAATGTTTAAGTCTTTCATTTTTATGCCCCTGCCAGAGTGGAGGGGACTGAAGTGTTACATATACCCTGTGAAAAAAAAATGAAGATTAGAATTAATCATTAATGTTGAAATCAGGACACTCTGGTATAATATAATTGTTATTATGGCTTCAGAGCAGATATGGGCTCATATTCACTGTTAGTGTTCTATGTCCCCTTTGCCTGACAGCTCAGAAAATATAAAACACTGGCAAGGAATATAGTTTTTTAGTTTAGATTATTTTCTAATTATTATATGTAATATGCTAGCTATATTTGGTCTAAAAAAGGTGTACATGTCAATCTGAAAGGGTCAGCAGTGTTGTTCTTCTCTTCCTTTGTTTCTTGTATGACCAGCTTTCTCATGGTGTCCTACTACCATATCTGTTCCTCAATATTTATAGTTAATCTAATAGAGTCAGTCTTAGATATCAGATATGTACTGTAACTATTTTGGTCTTTTTTTGCAGAGGAAGAGAATCAGAAATTTTATATAGAAAATAAATCTGAATTAGTAGTTGGACAAGATAACTTACTGAAGACTTTGACATCTTACTTGAAAGGGGAGCCAATTTCAGACATACCTGTGTCTGAGGACAGCAAAAGTTTTGTTAGTAAGTAATTTTTATCATACCTTTAAGATTTATAAACACATATAGAATTTTTTAAAAATTGATTTTATCCACAACTAAGAATCAAAACACACAGACAGAGTTGTATTTTGGTTAGTGAGTCATTTACCGTTCTAGAGTTATGCTCCTTTTTAACTTCGTAAATAGCAATGCTTGAGCGGGTGCATTCGTATCCTCATCCACATTCACAGCATTGGTAAATAAAATGCTCCGCTGGGCGCAGCTTGATACTACCGCAGAGGTCAAACCCTGAACAGTTGGGGCAAGTATGGACACAACATTCAAGCTTGATACAGCTCTGAATTTTGATTTTGATTAAATATTTGACACAGCATAGATTTCTGGAGTCGGTTTCACAAAAAAACTTACGACTAAGATTGATCGTAAGTATACTGAATTGTTCATGACTTACTATCAATCTTAGTCGTAAGTTTTTTTGTGAAACCGACTCCTGACACAGAATGAATGTGGTCTAAGAACTTAAAATTTTTTAATTTACCTATTTAAACCATATCATTATTATTTGCTTTTATATATAAATCAGAAATAACCACATTAAAATGGAAAATTTTAAAGAAAAAAAAAGGAAAAAAGGAAAAAAAAAAAAACAGGGAAAAAAGGAAAAAAAAATCCCCCCCTTATGATTCATCACCCCCAAACTTCCCTTTGTGGTATGGTACCTTGCAGTACAATTTCAGAGAGATCCATACACTTGAACACAAGTTATTGTCTGGAAACTAGAAAAATGCTTGTTTTTTGGCCCCTTTTTGGCCCCAAATTTCTAATCGTTTAGGGCAATTACCCCCAAATGCCAATGTCATACCAATATATGACCGCAAAAATTTTTTGCGGTCTTATAAAAAGCAACATGCAGGCTACTTTTTAATTTTCATTTGTCATTTCCCGCTCATCTCTGCACATATCCCCTTTTACAACCTTCTTGAAAAGAATCACATATTATTTTTATCACCCTTTACAACCTTTTTGAAAAAGAATCACATATTATTTTTCCCCCCTTTATGACCTTCTTGAAAAATAACACATTATTTATATCCCCCTTTTATGACCTTCTTAGAAAAGAATCACATATTATATTTATTCCCCCTTTACATCCTTTTTGAAAAAGAATCACATATTATGTGATTAAGATTTTCCTTCTTTGTCTAACTCATTATTTTCAGAGATGAATCTGTACTTTTATATTGGATAGTAGACCAAATTAATAAAAAGTTTGAAAGTTGCTGTTTTTCTTCAAATGTCAATTCCATTTTGAATGGTTTGGCAACTTGCTTTAAAAGCCAACTTTAATTCCAATGTTTTAATTGACTACTCCTTAAAACCTATGTGCATGGAAACGGTAAGATTTTTTTTTAATTATCTAGAACATAAGTCTTGTATTCTTGTTAGACTTTAATACATATGTAATTTATTCTTCATAGGAGATCCAAAATTTTGGGGAGAAACTGTGTCAGAGGATAATATGATAATGTGTATAAAAGGTCATCCAGGATATGGAAAATCCACTCTCCTAGCCAAGGTTGTAAATGATTTTCTCAAGGTCAGTATAGATATATATTGTATCATTTGATATCAACATTATGAGTATAGAGTAGAGTAGAGTTGAGTTGAGTTTATGGTGTTTTAACACCAGTTTTAAGCACCGCTTTTGGGCTATTTTGTGGCAGCCAGTTTTTATTGGTGGAGGAAGCCGGAGTACCCGGAGAAAACTACTGACCTTCGATAGGAAAACTGACAATCCTAGTCAATTAAGATTGGAGTCGAACTCACAACCTCAGTGTTGACTGGCTAGTGATTACAGTAGTAACTACGTAGACCACTCGGCCACTGAGGCCCATGAGTAGAGTAGAGTGAACAAGGCAAATTCCTTGCAAACGTGAATTCATGCCGCAATTTGTTTGAAAAAGTTCAAGAAAAACATATGCATATGTTCATCGCAAACAAGGTAATCATGAGAATATACTGTTGCCATTTTGATGATAAATTATAATGGAAGTATTCAGTATCCTCAACTATACTTTATAAACCAGGGGAGACAACTCTGGATTTTTCAAAACTTCAGTTGGCTTTGTGGACATGGATAAAACTGCTTTTATACATTGGAAAGATTATGGTGAAGTGTAACATTAAGGAGAAGATTTTTTATATTTAGTTTTAAAATTTTGTGAACACGATATTGCTTTTAATTATTTCTTTTCCTGTTTTTTTTAATTTCAGGATGGTTATGAAATATTTTACCATTTTGTTGGATGTTCAGCTTCAAGCAAAAGTACCGAGACTTTGTGTAAGAGATTAGTCAGAGTACTGGAGAAGAAAGTTCTCAGTAAGATATGTTAAATGAAAGCTTTTCAGTAAATTAGTAGGGTCAGTGTGAGTTACTGTTTTCACCTGGTATTCATGATCATCTTTTAACTTTTTTTTCAAATTTTTCTTTAAAGCTTAAGTTATATGACAAAAGTAAACTGGAAAAAAATTTGAATCCTTACTGTTGGTAAAATTTCACATCTTTCAGTATTTGATTTCAGAGTAACAAGACTTTAACCGTCAAAATTTTCAGATAATTTTTCACATATCAAGCACTATCTCAAATATGATTGATCAATTCATTTGGAATTTGTTATAAAAAGCTTATAGTTTAACAGAAGTCAGATCACCAAAGTCATCAGAAATAAATTGTGTGGTTCATACCATTTTCCTTGAAATGGAATTGGCTCCATAATTTTAAAAGTAAATGCTAACATGATCTCAGAGAAGTGAGTGTCATTTGTTGCTGTATATCATATTTGTTTTTCGTTCATTATTTTGTAGATAAATCAGGCCATTAGTTTTCTTGTTTGAATTATTTTACATTTGTCATTTCGGGGCCTTTTATAGCTGACTATGCAGTATGGGTTTTACTCATTGTTGAAGGCCCTACAGTGACCCATAGTTGTTAATTTCTGTGTCATTTGGTCTCTTGTGGAGAGTTGTCTCATTGGCAATCATACCACATCTTCTTATTTTTATATTTATCAGTTTTCAAAATTTTGAATTTGTCATTCCTTAGTTATGAGACTTTAACAGTCAAATGAGAGACAATTTATATATGCCTAATGATATCCTACTGATAAGTTTTTCTGCAGGGCTATTTTCCTGAATTATGAATGAATGCCTTCTTCAGTATTCTATTTTGATCTAAGTAATAGTAATGTTTGAGATTATATTGACCTACTCACTCTTTAAATTAAAAATCTTAAGTTTTTAACAGAAAAAGATGAAAACACAAACCAGGCCAAAGACAGCGAAGAAGATTCTGTAAACAGTTTGATGGAAAGGCTGAAAGGTCTTCTGCCAATTTTGAGAGAACAACAAGCAAAGCTTTGTATTGTAATAGATGCTGTTAATGAGGTAAGAATTTACCTAAACAGATGGTTCCTCAATCAGAAGATTTTTTTCTCAGAGCTAAAAATATGGCTAATGTGACTATAGATAGAATTCTGCTTTAATGAACTAACTTTGAACATGAACAATTCTACAATAGTTCTGCATCAAATATTTGATGACTTTCACTCATATTTTAGTGCTGAATACTATCACTATAGAGGATATGATTTTGAATAAGGCCTTAAGGAGAAAGGCATTAAAACCTCTCTGAGATCATTTTGGCATTTGCTTTTAAATTGATATGGAGCCAATTTCCTTTCAAGGGAAAATGGTATAAACCACACAATTTATTTCTGATGACTTTGGTGATCTGACTTCTGTAACTATGAACAGATCATACAAAATTAGTTATCTGTATATATAAGTCTTATTTACCTACACTTGCAGAACAGCAAATTTCTTTTAGTGGTCTCATTTCAGAATGATATTGAATGACTTTTCCTGCCAACAAAGATGGCGGACATTATGATAAAGAGAAACTGATAATGTATATAAGGGAAATTGTTCTTAAGATTGTTCCTTTTTAAAGTTCCAGTGACATCCAAGATGACTGCCACCATGACAGACAAAACGTTTTTCAAAGGAATTTGGGGGGAAATTTTTTTTTTTGAAAAACAATTCAGCCAGTATTGTGACCTTGACCTAAATTTAATCTTTGAAATCAAATTTCTAAATAATCTTTGATGGCCATTCAAACTAAAACTTTGTCCCTGTAGGAACTTCAAATAGAACATTTCTCTGCATTTGATCAGCTTGTTAGGACTTTGCCACTGTTATTTCAAATAAAACATAAGTTAAACATCAATGTATTTTTCTCTGCATTTGCACAGACAGTTAGAACTTAATAAGCCACTGTTATTTCACATAGAAAATTGGTAAACATTGCATTTCTTCTTATTATTTATTTACACAGTCTATTAGGACAACAAATTTTTGTGGATTAGTCCTGTGTTGCATAGTCCCCTTTCTCAATAAGGATTATTTTACTTCGTCAGTATTGCACATCTTTGTTTGGTAAGAGTTAAAGCTGCTTATATGGATTGCCTGACCATTCATTAAAATACTTTAAAATGTGGTCTGTCAAAGCAATTAAATTTTGCTAAATTTTAGTTTAATACAAATAAGTTGAACGTAAGCAATGAACAAAATAGATATGAGATGCTTATATTTTCAAACGACAAGAGAAACTTATCATTGTTATAACCTTCTTGCAATGATAGGAAAAATACAAATGATAAAAATATCATTATTTAGAATGTGTTGATTTATATGAATTTCCCATTGTGATAAATAATGATAATCTCACATGTGAAATAACTCATTTATTTTCTCATTTGAGACTTTCCTCGCCTTTTGCCATACACTCAGTTGAGACTGCCAACTGAAGGTTTGCGCCTTGACACTTCAAACTAGTTGATTAAATGTATCTCATGTTAACAATTTATAGTCTGGGTGAATTTAAAATAACTTTTGCTTCACAATAATTGCAACATCTGCATCAATCTTCTCAAAGTGACAATCTGCCAATTTGACAATTGTGTGCAATACACATACAAATGTATATTCATACAATCAAAACAGTACAATACATAAAGTGTGTCAGTAACACAGCTAAGGTTTTATTCTGTTTCTATATAATAAAAAATAAAAATTATTGCCATATTTAAATAAAAATATAAAAAATAGGATCACTTGTGACCAAACACTGCTAGGGATTAAACTTATGCGGCACACTCGTTTTATGCATGCGTGGTTCGTGCATGTGTTGTCTTATTTTTTATGCCCCACCTAGGGGCATTATGTTTTTAGGTCTGTGCGTCCGTTCGTTCTTCCGTCCATTCCTTCGTTCATTCGTCCATTCGTCCGTTCTTTCGTTCGTTCGTTCGTTCGTTCGTCTGTCCGTCTGTAAGTCCTTCTGTCCCGCTTCAGGTTAAAGTTTTTGGTCAAGGTAGTTTTTGATGAAGTTGAAGTCCAATCAACTTGAAACTTAGTACACATGTTCCCTATGATATGATCTTTCTAATCTTAATGCCAAATTAGAGTTTTGACCCCAATTTCACGGTCCACTGAATAAAGAAAATAATAGTGCGAGTGGGGCATCTGTGTACTATGGACACATTCTTGTTATTTTCAAATATGGCGATTAGTTATACTATAAAAGTTTATGATTTATTTAAGCTTCCAGATTGTAATTATTATAACCACCTGTCATGGCTGCCACCAAGATTCCCAGGTAATATTAAATGCATCATTAGCTCAGCAGACAGCCATCCACCTACTATTGCAAGGTTGACTGAACACAGTTGTTATGTTTGTGAAGTTGGACCAATCAACAAAGAGGCTGCAGAAGTTATAGTTGCAAAAACTTTGAAGAAGTTTAACAAGGTATGCAAAATGTAGTAATGCAAGTAAAACAGAAAGAGGTGTGCTATAAAAGAACCTAAGTTAAGTTTCATTGAAATTTGTATATGTACTTTTAAAGACTTGTTGCTTAGGAATTAAAACCTTTCCCCAGAATCAGTACCTATTTATTTGGGTATTTAAATTTTTTTCAACATGAATTGTCCCATTGAATAAATACAATAGCTACTGTTGTCTGTGAAGTTCATTTAACGGGAACCTTAAATATCACCATGAAAAAACAATTATTCATTTATTTGTTTGGTTGTATAAAAATTGAACTCCCAGCGATGACAATACATTTTGACATCGGCAGCTCTTCAACTACAGTAATGTTATTCCTTCATTATAGCACACTAATACAATTCTCAGCTTTTTTATGACTTGACTTGTTCTAAACTTGAAGCAACTGGATAAAGACCAGCTATCTTTGATTGTATCAAGACCATGTGCTACAAACCCTTTATGGCTCACCATGCTGTTAGAGGAACTTAGAATGTTTGGAGATTTCAGGACGTTGGACAGCAAGATAGAAAAAGTATCTGATTCTGTAGACAGTCTGCTAACAGATATTGTCAATAGAATCATTGCAGAGGATGAAACAGGCCTAGTGAAAAAGGTATTTATAGTAAATATTTATTCTTTTCTAGTTTTGCATTTATTTAATCAAGTTCTGACCAGTTTAATAAAATTGGATGAAGCATGCTTTGATTTAATTTGTCTCATTCAATTTCCTGTCATAGTTTTGACTGAAAAATAGATGGCATGCTCAGTATCTAAACAGCACTGAAATCATTGCAATGACCACATCTAAAATAAGACTTAAAATCTGACCAGTACTAAATAAAGGTTTGTTGAAGGTTGTACAGTGACCTGTAGTTTTTCACTAACAGTGTCATTTGGTCTATAGATAGTTGTCTCATTGACAATAATACCACATCTCCCCATTTTTGATTGTTCAGTCTATTCAGATTGGTTCAGACCAGAATGGTAATTTCAGTACAATCCTAGTTTGAATATCTTTGTGTTTGTAAACATTTGTTAAACTGTATTGATCATAATTTATTAAAATCAAATTTCAGACCCTATGTTTACTGGTATGTGCTATTGAAAGCATACAAGTGCATGATTTGTCTAATATGTTAGGGGATATCAGTAACAAAGAACCAGTAGCACCATTGTACTGGTCCCAGACTAGAAGAATTTTGAGTCCATACATAAAAGAAATTGGAGTCCACTCCAATATATCATTTTATCATATGGAAATAAGAAGGGTAAGTTTTAAACAAGGTCAACGAAAAAGTTATTCATGACTAATAATTTGGATATTTTATGTAAAACTATTTGTGCATGTGCATTTGTGCTCGACATGGTTTAATAAATTATTATAATGAACTTCATATTTCATACAATCTTACAGTGCAATAAGTTTATGATCATGAAGCAAGAAAATTTACTGAGAATGTTTTTTTTTTTTACTGTTGCAGTATTATCCAGTTTAAATAAAATTAGATTTTTAGAATCAAATTAAACCTTTTTTTTGCAGATGCTTTTTCCCATATAGCCTAGTCTACTTTGAGGCAATTTATTTTTGTGATTTTCATACTTTTTTTTATTACAAGAGAAGAATCAAGTTTGGCATATTTTTACTTGTGAAAGTGACATTAATAAATTGCTTGTGAAAATTAGTTGGGTCTTTTTCATATGAAACTATCTGCAGCTGATTCATGCACAGTATTTCACCTGTGTAACAAATGGGTCAGTATGTGTAATTGATTTCCCATAGGCGGTAATGGTAACATTCTCTTCTGTAGCTCAGTCCATATCGTAAACTTGGATATGTATGATGTCTTGTTTCAAAGTTGAGACATTTTCACATACGTTGTTAAACTTTCGGGGTTCAAAGTGTGATTTATTTTTTCGTAAATTAGCACACCCCAAAAATCCTTTCGTGATGTAGCTCCTCGTGGTAAAAAAACCATTTGTTCACACAATTAGTTCTTTGAAAATTTAATACTTTTGTATACATTTAATAAATCCATAGTTTTTACACATTTATTCTATGGTCCTCTACTTTCCAAATCAACACAAATGGTTAAGCTCAGTCACTTGTTAAAAATAGAAACATGTCCAATATCACTACACAGAGATTTTTTGTTTACGCACAACTTATGTGTTCCTCAATTTGAGGAGCATTACGGATATTGACCCAAATGGAGAAAGCAGTTATAGTAACCGCTAGACTCCTGTTTTTTCTGTCCCAAAGACCTTGGGTAGAAAACTTTCATCAAAGTTTTTTTTGGCCTCTTATGAAAGGGAATGATTTTATATTTGGTCTGCAGCTTGATATTAAATTTTGAGTTGATGTATGTAACAATTTTAAGACCTGTTCTGTAGATACTTCGCAGATACTTCACAGATAGTTTGAAATTTCAATCAATCACTTTTTTGGTTCTTTAATATATTATCTATCTTGTTATATCAGTTTAAATGATGTAATTGTTTTTTAAGATTGTCAGCCAGTTGTTAATCATTAATAATGGAAAAGAATGGTATAGATTATTGGCCTTGTATTATACAAAGTGGTGTCCTGATGAAAGGTCAAGGTCATTGTTTGCACCAACATACTGTTTGAATGCTAACCTAAAAATAGAGTAAGTATATAGTACTTTGGTTCTATAAAAAGATCAGGTTGAAGTTTTTGGTTAAGGTAGTTTACTGTGAAGATGTGGTCACATAAACTTGAAACAACTTAATTGGTACAGATGTTCATTGTGATGTGAATTTTTTAAATTACAGTTTTTACCCTAATTACACAGTTCACTGAACTAAGTATTGTAAAAGTGGGAAGTAAGTTCATTCTTAAGTTATTTTTTTTTGTTAAAGTAGTTTACCATTTAAAATCTGGTCACATCAGATTGAAACTTAGTACAGATCTCCATTTTAAGGTGAACTTTTAAAATCACTTGACAAATTACAGTTCTTATCCCAATTTCATGTTTCACTGAACACATTGGAACGTGCAAGCAGGTTATTGTGTTCAGAATACATATTCTCGTCCATAGTATCATACATGATGTGACAGAATATCAAAAAATATATGTGGTCAAAAATGGAAAAGAGGTCATTAGGGAAACAACAGACTTAATTATCCATATTGACCAGTTGGAAATGTACTAAAAAAACATCTTTGGAACCTACACTGGGTGTATGTAGTTGTAAACATGAGGATTGAACTTCACTGTGTCTGATAATATTTTTTTTTATATATTTAAACATGCAGATTGCTAGAATTTTATGATAAAGATCCAGCAGCTGAGCTTATTCAAGACTGGAGTAGAAGTCGAAATTTCCAGGTGAAAATTGTTTTAATATTTAATGCATTAGTCCAATTGTCAGGTTTCATCTGACCTTGACCTCATTTTTATTGATCATTGACAGTGATTAGCTTATGTTATAACTTTAGTGAAACCTTCATCAAAAATATTTATGTAAACATGTTCAGCAAAGCAAGCAAGACATTTCAGCATGTATCCTCTGGTTCAATGAAATCGCTTGCTTTTTTGTCTTGTGTTGACGAAGTCAAAAAAGCAAGACTAAGGCGTGCTGTTTCTTGCGGCAGTGACCGTGGTGGCGTAAAAAATGTATTAGTTTGTGATTAGGTCAAGTTTATGGGGAACCACTAGTGGTAGGTCAATGTTATTTAGTATGCTGTGCTGTTGTATTAGCATTGGGACATCTCATTTCCATGGAGATTTTTTGTCACCACCCCTCAGTCATGGTCTATTGACTTTGAAACTTAAGCTTAGTTTATATGTATTATTTTGTAATTAGGTCAGTTTAAGGGGAACCATCAGTGGTAGTTCAATAATATTTGGTATGCAGTTGAATAAGCATAGATACATCTCATTTCCATAGAGATGATTTTGCATCATCCCTCAGTCATAGTATATTGACTTTGAAACCTTTGCTTAGTTTACATGTTTTAGTTTGTGATTAGGTTAGTCTAAGGGGAACCATCAGTGGTAGTTCAATAATATTTGGTATGCAGTTGAATAAGCATAGATACATCTCATTTCCATAGAGATGATTTTGCATCATCCCTCAGTCATAGTATATTGACTTTGAAACCTTTGCTTAGTTTACATGTTTTAGTTTGTGATTAGGTCAGTCTAAGGGGAACTATTAGTGGTAGGTCAATGATAATTATTATGCAGATGTATAAGCATTGGCACATCTCATTTCCATGGAGATTGTTTGGCTCCCCCCACAGTCATGGTGCATTGACTTTGAATGTTTTGCATTATTTACGTGTTAAAGTTTGTGATTAAATCAGTTTAAGACGAACAACTTATGTTAAGTCAATGATATTCGGTATGCAGTTATATTGGCATTTGCAATTCCCATTTCCATGGAGATTATATGGCCCCACCACCTCATTATCGAAACTTATACATGGTTTACAAGTTAAAGTTTGTGTTTAGGTTAATTTAAAGGGAACCACTTGTGATAAGTCAATGGTATTTGGTATGCAGTTTTATAAGCATTGGCATTTCACATTTCCATGGAGGTTATTTGGCCTTGCACCTTCAGTCATGGTCATTGACTTGAATGATTTACATAGTTTACATGTTTAAATATTTCAACATTTGCATATTACCATCAACATCACAAAACATGAGACATATCTCTGTGTCAACAGTTTATCTTTAAAGTCATAGAAAACAAATATTTATTTATAAAAAAAATGGAATCATATTCCTACTGAAGAGTTACATAAGATTGAGAATGAGAACATATTAACTTGATTCTGGATGAAATTAGCTTAACCATTAGGGGAAATTCGCCTAATTGCGGCCACTTTTTCAAATCCGGAAGTTGTGATACTCTCGAGGCCAATTGCGGACATACTGGTGGTTGCATTTGATAGGAGATGATAGAGGGGTATCAAATGGACTATTTCCCGCGTTTTCAGGTCTCCTCTCTTGATTGGCAGATTGGAAAAGCTTAAAACCCGCGGAAATGCTGAGTCGTGTAAATGCGGACAGGGGGAGTTAAAATACGGACACCTTGTCGTCAAATTGCGGACACTTATTTTCAAACAGTTCTTGCTATTCAAAACGCAGGTATTAAGTATATATAACATTACCTTTCATGAATACCCTTTCAGTGCATCTTAAAGCATATAAAATAATTATTTGAGAATGGATTTCTCACATGAACTGGTAATACATGTGGAAAGGTGAGAAAAAAATATCTTAGACCACGCCAATTATTAAATGATATAAGATCCCGGCAGGGGGGTGTACTTCGATATTTTTTTGGTAGGGGTGTGCCATTTTTGCCTAAAAAGTGTACCCATCTAATATAACATTAACTGAAATTCAGTATCTACAGTTATATGAATATTTAACAAAGAATGACCCATACTTATGTACAAATCAGGAGAAAAATTTCCGGGGTTCATTTTGGAACTTATTTGAAAGGTGAACTTTCAAAGTAATTAATTTTATTTAATATGATAATTGACCATGAATAATGTAAGATTCTCAATTGCATATTTATATATGATATGTAGGTCATACATGCCCAAAATCGATATACAGTTATCAAACGTAAATGCATTCTAATATAGGATGTTTTATAAAAAGGAGGGTAATTTTTATATAAAATCTCGCAAAATTATGACCCATGTTTTTGGCACATCCCCGTACACCCAATAATAGGAAGTGAACCCCCCGGGAATAAGATGAATAAACTTTCAATTTCAAATCGTATGGCATTCATTGAAATGTGTTTTAATGTCATAATCACTTACAAATCAGTAGTCCTAGAGCATAAGATGCTTTAAGACGAGATTTTTATGTTTCTACTTTCCGATACTTATAAGATAATCTTATGTATCCTCGGGTTTCTATGTGCTCTTTGACAAGCATGATTTTTTGTGGCCCATCCAACGCCATGAATATCTGGACACAGTTAATGGAATGAGTAAAAAGGCTAAATTGTTAAGAATTGGGAAATCAAAAAAGGGAAAACTCAAGGTGTGATGGAACATGCCAAACTTTGTAAATTGGAATGTCAGAAAAAAAATATATGAGAATATGGAAAAATGGAGACCTAAAAGTCAGTATTATGAATACTGACCCGTGTCACTCCTCAATGCAGGGCCCTGCAGGCCTAAGTCCAATATTTTGAAAATGAAAAGTTAAAAAAGATTAAAAGGTAGCCTCCCCCTATAATGGTACGTAAGTACTATAAATGTTGGGTTAAAATTTCTTTTAAAATCTGTCGGAGCAAACTTGAGTTATCCTACGACATATAAAGTGTAGATGGACGGATGAATAGACGGACATAGTGATTGCTATAATAAATTAAGGCACATGCCGATAGTAAGCAGTACATGATAAAGACGTAGTGCTGGAGACTGTGGTCACTCATGATGATACGCTATTAATGTGTTCGTTCGATTTTGTCACATATATACTTTTTCTATATAAAACCCGTTCTCAAACCAATAATGGCATCGGATTTTATCCGACTGGCGACAGGATACCAACGTGTGCAGAACATGAATACCTTGTTCGGTGCCTTAGATGAAATGTATAAAACACATGACAACATAGGTGCAAAGGATTATTAATTACCTACATTCATTTATCCATGCAGGTAAAAAAATGTGAGGCATATGTCGTTCACACGAGAAAGTTACCGAACCAAATATGGAAGTTGCAATTGATACTGTTTCACCCGAGGAGATGGATGTGGACGAGGAAGAGCTTACTAAATAAAATCATAGAAGAAGTGAACGAGCAAATATGCCAGAGAAAACCCAGATTTTGAAGCTTGTTTTGTAAATAAATATTTTACATTGTAATTGTTATATGATGATTACCAAGCTTTTAGTTTATGATTATTTGATTACTAAAGAAAATTAGGTTTTGATATATAGCCAAAGCAAATATTTAATGATTTTTTTATTATATTGGCAAAAAATTGGTGATAATGCGAGTACTGGTACCTTCCCATGAGGGGTCTCGTTTGTTTTTCGATTTGTCACAGACGGACGGACAGACAGACAGACGACTGGATGCACAAATTCATTACTGTTGGAAGCTCACAGAAAATCTAAAGAGGTCTTTAAAACTGATGTATTGGTTACTTTATTTCTATCATGTTTGCCAACTGAAGTGGAAATCGGACTTGTAAACTCGTCATGTTCGTCATATGCAAAATGAAAGCAAAACAAGTAAACCCATATATATATGGTGATCAATTTATTTGGCAATCGCCAATGGCAGTCAGCAGGGTTTAAGAACATCAGTTGTTCGACCTGTTAGTCAAATGCGTATTGTTAAAATAGACTTTTTCACTTTTTTTAGTCTTTTGGAAATTGTTGTTTGTGCTGTATTTAGACCCCTCTACCAAGAAATTTGTTTTACATGCACAGGTTTGAACGTTGTTTTCAATTTAGACTTTTTAATTTATATATATATATATCAACACTTTATTGATATAGAAATATCTATAGGATTCCGATTTCGCACTATTAATACTAGATTCTAAGAGAGTTTAGCTTATTTCCTACATCATGATATTGGCATATGCACCACTGCACGTGTTAGTTGTTCAAAATATCTTGTGTCCGCATTTCGGCTATCATATTATTTTCGGTGGTGAAAATGCGGACACTTGCTTTTTCCTATTTTGTAATAAAATTTTAGACAAATCAGTAAAAATAATTAAAAGAAATGTTTCCTTGAATAAAATACACAGCGCCCTTGCTTTTCAACACATAAATCACAAATCTTATATGGATAACTGTGAATTTAATATGACATGCTGACTTTGGACCTTTTTCAAAATTTCCCAGTTTTCAAACTTGTTGACATAAGCTATTTATAGCATGCACTTTCAATCACATGACATAAAAGTAAATCGTAAGTAATAAACATGATATCCTTATTGCAACAAAATAGAGTTTCAATAGAAAACAAAACACCTTATTTCTTATATCTATTTTATTTCAAATTTTCATCATTTTATTGAAAAGTATGATATTCGTTTTCCGTCCGCATATCGGCGCTGTCCGCAATTAGGCGATTTTCCCCTAATGAGTTAACGTTTTTTTAACACAACCTTGAATATTGTTATAAATTAATTATTTAAATCAATTTTGACTGAACACATTATTACCTTTTAATAAAAGCAGTACTGTAAATTTAGAAATTATTGCCTGCATTTATTATTGCGATTTTTGAAGAATGGACTAAAAAGCGAGATTAATTATTGCAATTTTAGGAAAATATGCATGCAGATTTATGTATCAGATATCAGAATGTCATTTCCAAATATTGCGATACTCATCCAGTCATATTATTCGCAATAATAAAAATCTTGCATTAATTTCTGAATTTACAGTATGTGAAGGGTAGATATGATTCAACATGTACAGATTATAATTAATAATACTGTTAATTCAGAAATTTTGCAAGCATTTATTATTGCGATTGTTGAACAATGGAAAAAAATACCAAATTGATTATTGTGTAAGAAAAGGCTGTATACAAAAAATACTATCAAAATTAAAAATGTTAGTTTTTACTTTCCATAACCTAATCTGTTACAATTTTTGCAATAATACAAACCACAAAAATTTCTGAATTTACAAATTATTTTTTTTGTACCTTTTCAGAAATTGAGATGTCAATCACTAGCTTCCGGATTGCCACAAATATTTCCTGTTGTTGTGTGTCAGTCTTGTTCAACGAAAACATGTCGACAGAAGTTCAGGATCCAGTATAAAAACTGTTGTGTCGTATGTAAAAGTCGTTTGACATTTATGCAAGCAGCTGCAAACTTGTGCAATTTTCATGCTTTTGGTCACAGTGACAAAATTGGGAAGTGTTTATATTGTAACTATATAGTACCTAAAGAAAATAGAAATGTGAAAAATATGATGGGAATCTTGGGCAAATTATGTATGAATTGTAGCTTTGGACTTGATAACAAAAAGTGTGCTATGTTGTCTGTCAAGTGATTTTAGTTAATGGTTGGATGCTTTATAGGCATCAATAACTTTGTTAGAACTTCATGGAATTTTAAAAAATTGCATTAGAAGGAAAGCATTTTTTTTTTACAAATTCCCATATTTTAGTGATTAACAGACTTATACATTTAAGAATTATAAGATTAAATTTTATTTAGACATAAATAACTTTTTTTTTTTTTAATTTTGCAAAACTTTCACAGAATATTACTCTAATGATGTTCTTTTGCACCTCCTGTTTCATTCTAACCAAGTGATTTTTACAATTTACCTTGTATGACACACACTTTGTCATATCTGCACACTACTGGGTACATTACACATTTGTTTCCTCTTCTCCTTAACCCAAAATTAATAAAAACATTCTCTGAAAATTCACCATATAATACTGTTTTACACATCTTATTTGTTGTTTTTTGGTATGTTAATATTCAAACAGTATTTTAATCAAATGAATTGAATTGGATTTGGCAACAGGCAAAGACTATGTTAGCCCTCTCCATTGCTTTTTTGGTATGAATTATATTTGGGATTTTACTAGTCAAAAAATGGACTTTGCAAAGGGGTTATATTTTGTGAGCTTTACTTGTTGTACCTCTAGTTTTTGCAATTATGCATGAGAGGTCTGCATGGTTCAATATGAATCTGTAATGAATAAACTATTAATCGTTTTTTAAATGAGGTAAATGTAGTCAAACAGTAAATAAACCAAAAATGATCAATAGTTAACAAAAATGCTGTTAAGGATGTTCGCTTCTCTGTTTAAAAATAACATGCTTTTTAAAAGACTGTTATAAATTGATAGTATATGAATAACAGAACTTAAAAAGTATTGAAACAGACCATGCGAGGGCTGTATAGCCAGTCAAGGTCGTTAAAAACTTCTATCATCAGTATAGAAAAATAACAGGTCTGTGTCTCTGTTTTTTGAAATGTAATCAATTGAAGTTTTGGAGGGAAATGATTCTCTCTTGATTTTTAATACATTTAACATTGGCACCTTTTAAAAAAACCAAGGATTTTATAAGATTTTCTAAAATGGCTTTTTTTAAATTCATGTAATAAAATTGTGAAAAGAAAAGTAGATCTTAGCTGGCAAAATTTTTATTGGTACCACATGGATAGAACCAGAGGATTCTGAATATTTGACAAAAATTAAAAAAAACATGATGGGCGAACATCCTTAAAGATAATTTTTGTTGAAAATGAGTATCAATATTAATTGAAGAGCAATCATTAAAGAAATGATGCAAATATTTCACATTCCATTAGAAAGCATTTCATTTATTCTTTGGTGCTATATTTAGGTCCTATTCTTTATGGGATTATAAACTATGTAAAAGTCACTGTGATAAATGAAATATTATTGTTTTTATAGGCAATATTTTATATTGTCTTTGTTACTTCTTTTGTTTATAACAAGTACTTTAGTACATGTTACTTTAGTAGTTTACTCTTATATATGTAGGATATTTATAATTGTACTTTTTACATCTTTACAACTTTATTATCTTAATAAAAATTATAGCAAAAATGTTCTTGTTTATGTATTCAAGTCCAAAGGGTGGACTGGAATATAGAGATGGTTACCAGGACCAATCTGGCATTATAAACCATGCAAAAGAGGGCCATTTGATTGGCTGTATGTGAAATATAAATATTTAGCCACATCTAGTTTTAAATCAAATGTATCTATAGTTTGTGAAACATCATCAACGTGTTAAAAAACATTGCATAAACTCTATGAGGAATCTAGAGATGGCCTGTTATTATGCAATGATGCCTTACATGCATGTTATTGACCTCTTCAGGGGTTTTTGTCAAGCCTGCAACGAAAGTCGCAAAATGCGAGACAGGGATTAATTACTATCTCGCAATGGCAGCTTAAACTATTTGTAAAAAGCATAATATTTCAATAGGTAGAAGGCTTTGATGCTCCATACCTTGTATGCAGATGCCTTATGTCACGAAGTTTCCATCTAGTATATGTCCAATGTCTTTGGTCTCATTTTTATGGATCAGTAACTACTTAAAAAGAATATTTGTTTTTTTTGTCATGTGAAATACTCACTAATTATGAGTATATTTGGTATATGGATGCCTTGCAAGTTCAACATGTCTGTCAGACAGGGTTCACCAGTGACCTCTACCTCATTTTATGAATCAGTGATCAAGTTTTTGTGGTCAAGTCTGATCCTCAGAGATTGTAAGCAATACTTACTTACTTACTTAGGCCCTTGGCTCCTCCGGGGAGCATAGGCCATTGACGAACTCCCTCCATCTAACTCGATTTAGCGCCAGCTTTTCTAAAGTGTTCCAGTTGTATCCTTGCTGCTTTATTTCAATTTCTGTGTCCCTGCGCCAGGTGTTTCTTGGTCGTCCTCTGTTTCTTTTTCCCTGAGGGTTCCACTTAAGTGCCTGCCTTGTAATGCTGCTTGTTGGTTTTCGCAGTGTGTGGCCTATCCATACCCATTTTCTTTTCTTGATTTGGATGTCAATAGGTTTTTGGTCAGCTCTTTTCCATAGGTCTTCATTTCTTACTTTGTCGAACCATCTGATGTTCATGATTCTCCTTAGGCAGTAGTTGATGAATCTTTGGAGTCTAGACGACATTGTTTTAGTTGTTCTCCATGTTTCTGATCCATACAAGAGCACCGATTTTACGTTGGAGTTGACAATTTTCATTTTTGTGCTTCTTGAGATGTTCTTGGCACTCCATACTTTCCCTTGAATGTTAAAGATGACTCTGGCTTTGTTGATTCTTGCTTTTACATCAGCATCTGTACCCCCTTCTATGTTGACAATGCTTCCTAGATAAGTAAACTCCTCTAGTTCTTCTATGTTGGTGTTGTTCATCTTTAAAAGTTGTTTACTTTCGGTATTGATCTTCATTACTTTTGTCTTTTCTTCGTTTGGTTGGAGTCCGAGCTTTATAGATGTTGAAGAGAGAAGGGATGTTTTTTCTTGCATTGTTGTTGTGTACTGGATATAAGGGCTAAATATCATCCGCAAAATCCAAGTCTTCTAGTTGTTGCCACATTGTCGATTGGATTCCATTTCTTTTCCCTTCTGTTGCTTCTTTCATGATGTAGTCTATTGCCAAGAGGAAAAGAAAATGGTGATAGCAGGCAGCCTGGTTTTACTTCAGTTTTGACATCAAAACTCTCGCTGAGATTGCCTTCATGTATAACTCTGTATTTCATGTTGTTTTATGAGTTCCTGATGATGTTTATGAATGATTGTGGTATTCCATAATGAGCCATGATGTTCCAAAGGGTTTCTCTGTCCAAGCTGTCAAATGCCTTCTCAAAGTCTACAAAGTTAATCAGTAGGGAGGTGTTCCACTCTAAGGACTGTTCTATTAGCAATATTTCATCTATATTTGGTGTAAGGAATGATTGGAAGGTGTACATGTCTATATATATATCTGGCAGGGTTCACGTGACCTTGACCTCATTTCCATGGTTCATTGATCAATGTTATTTTTTTTCTGATTTTGTCTATTTTTCAGATACTACAAGCAATAAGGACTCTATATGGAATGATTATAAGGTGAAAATGTCTGTACGGCAGGATTCATCTGACCTTGACCTCATTTTCATAGTTCATTGGACAATATTAATTTCATGATTTTGTCTTTTTATCCGACACTATAACTTACAACTTACAACTCAGCGTTATGTGTCGCACAGGATCAGAACTGAAGCCTCTCATCTTGAGTTTTCTTTTGCTTGTTGTACTTCTCCCAATGTCCTCCATCCAATGTTTGTTCTTTCTTTGTCGACCATTCATCTCCAAGTTTCCCTGGGACTCTTTCCCGGTGGTTTCCACGTCAAGGAGATTCAACAATCGTTTCATGGGTCCATCCTCAGGATGACCTATCCGACTCCATCTCCTAGTCTTAATGGTGTTGGTAAAGCTGCACATGTTGGCTCTTTGCAGCAGTTTTGTGTTGGAAATCGTAGCTGCCGAAAATATCCTGAATATTCTATCAAGTTTCTTGTGTTAAGGGTTTTGAAGTTTGTCTCCATCTCTCTTGCCTATCTTCCAACATGCTGCCCCATATAATAACACTGATATTAAATTGATTTTAGAAATTTTCATTTTGGTGTTCCTACCATGCCTACTGAATTGGTTTGCTGCCCATACTTTCCTTCGCGTGTAGAATGCTGATCTTGCTTTATTTAATTCTAGTTGATATGTTCGACTGTTGCATTGTCGCTGGTATCTAAAACAGTTCTGAGGTATGTGAAACTCCAACCCTATTTCTTCGTTGTCCAATGTAACAGGCTGGATATTATTGTTTACCTAACCTTATTTTACTTTTCCTCTTGTTGATTTTTAATCCAGTAGTTGCAGCTATCCTTTGTAGATCATTTATTTTGGTTTGCAAATGTGTCCTTGTTGCTGACAGAAGAGCTAAAAGAAAACCTGACATAGACTCCAGATTTGATGTGGTACCATCCTCAATGTTTACCCTCATGTTCAACTGCACAACTGAGGTGATCATAAAATGTGTGTGCCATCCTGACGATTTTACCGGGAATCCTATTAATTTGTCATGATCATTTTTAAAGTTTCTCGATGGATACTGACGAACGCCCTTTTTGAAGTCGATTAAGTTGATAAATAGAGGACTGTTCAGTCAATGCACTGCTCTACTATATTTCTCAGGATGAACATTTGATTGATACAGTCTCGACCTCTTCGGAACCCAGCTAGTTCTTTCATTAGAATGTTGTTTTTTGTTTTTAAAGAGTTTGATTATAATTATTTTCTACCAATCTGTTTGTATTTCTTCCCTCTTCCAAATCTGTTCAAATAGACGACAGAAGACTATTGCTATTGTGTCTAATTAGCTTTCAATATAGTTCAGCTTGTATGCTGTGACTATACCTGGAGGCTTACCATTACCGATTGCCCATATACTTCGTATCATCTATTCTATGGTTGGTGGTTCAATATTCACATCAACAATATCTCCAGGTCGAATATCTGTTAGTACTGGTGGATCTTGTGAGTTTAAAATCTCTTCAAAGTGCCCTTTTCTGAGTTTTCATCCCTCTAACTGTTTCTTTTAATTGGTTATTACATACCCCTCTTTGGACTGTATAAGTATGCTTCTTCTAATGTCACTGTTGGAAATTTTCTTGCTCAGCATGTATAACTTATTTTGCTCTCCCTTGTATGCTGCATCTTCTGCACTTTTTGCAAGATTATCTATACTACCAGATACTAGTACTATAAGCAATATGTCAACTATACTTGGTGTATGGAATGATTGGAAGGTGTGCATGTCTGTCTTGCAGGGTTCATGTGGCCTTGACCTCATTTTCATGGTTTATTGGTCAATGTAAAGTTTTCATGGTGTTGACCGTTTATCAAATACAATAAGCAAAAGGTCAACTATAGTTGGTGTATGGAATGATCGTCAATGTGTATATATGTCTATCTTGCAGGGTTCATCTGACCTTAATTTGTAATTGTTTAATTGTCCTGTTTATGTCTGTTTGTTGGATACTATACGCAATAGGTCAACTATATTTGATGCATGGAATGATTGTAAGGTGAACCTTTGTCTGGCATGAATCATCTGACCTTGACCGTGTTTTCCTTGTTTATTGGTCAATATTAAGTTTTACTTGCTTTATAGCTACTATTTTGGCAACTATAATTGAAATAGAGGAACTGTAAACATCAAAAATGAAAAGCAGGGTGAGATCAACAATTATATTATCATAACTGAATATGTGAATTGTCTTCTCAAAGGATTATTCGAGAGCACCTGGATCATACCTTGTCGCGTTTTTGTATAGTGTTACTGTATGAAAGATGGCTGCAGTTGTTGTTGGTGATCATTCGGAGAAAGGTGGCTTCAATATTGACTTTACAAATAGACATTTTACAATCTGGGAATGACCATCAGAATTAACTAGCTGAATGTCGTATGCTAAGTTACCCTTTTCACAAATCGATTCATAGTCAAATTTGGTTCCATGTTTCAATATATATTTCCAATGTCCATACAATTCTGTTTGTGAGGTCCTTTTTGACAATCACAATGGAACTAATCTATGAAGATGATGATTGTTCAATAGCACTGTCTTCTATCTTCCTTTGAACTTCGTAATACAATTCTACTCACTTTGCGAAAGAGTAAGCGTGTGGCTTTACACGGATCACTTGTTCGGCGGATACCGCTATAATTTTGTATCCGGCTAAGTTAGTTGTTTCTGTTTGTCTGTGGATGTGCAACAGTTTCAATACATATCTGCCTTCGTACCTTTGTAAGCTCTGTAATTTTTTCAACATCTCTTCACACCTCAGTTGCAATTTCTCCATCGTGTCTTGCTGGAAAATGATTGTTTCAATTTAGTTTGTTTCCTTCCTCATCTGTAGTTTTTTCTTCAGAATAAGGAATCCCTATTCTCTCATACACTCGGCCGTTTCCTCTTCCCTTTAGAAAAAGGGTATAATTTGCCGTTTCAAAGACTACATTTAACACAATATCTATGCAGTTAACCTTGGTGTTCAACTATCACAAATTGTTCCTTTCGCTCTAACTGTTGCTGAATATTATTTGTACTTAGCAACACTAAAACTTTATTTTAATTTGGCCTATACATGCTATGCCAACGTATATGTGTTCCTCCTGATAGAAGTTCCTGAGTTCCTGGGGGGAAACTGTGTTATAAACAAATATTTAAAATAATAACTTAATGGATTGTGATCGGTTGTGAAGATTACCGGCTGTACAAACTGATCTGCAAACTCCCGCCATTTCATACAGTTATATAACTACTAGTATATGCTAAAAGTAAGGTTTTAACTACCTCAGGCAAGAGTATGTTTAATTAACGTCTATTTTGATTTTTTGCTCTCAAAAGTTTTCACTGTATTGATACTTATCCTGGTAAACTTTCAGTCTCCGAGAATACCACCCGTAGTAGGTGGTGGCTCAGTAATGATTAAAAGATTTAAATGAAACACACTGTCAAAATCTCTCTAAGAAAACCTACCCCGTCAAGTACATCTAACGATACTGCTACACGTTCTATTTTACATCTCAATAATGATTCAACCTCTGAACACTTTATGACATAGTCAATAATAGTTAAATAAACAAGTCACCCTTTCTTGTCTAACCTCATCGGTTCTGATGAGGTCTACTACCGTCCTGCATAGCGGTTCATCTATGATTTGCAATCCACTTAATGGTAATTTCCTTTCGTTACCGTTTTCTGACGTTTTCTGACTTGCAAAATCTACCAATATTGCTTCTGACGTCTCGTATGCTTTACTAATCATGATTGAATTTATTTTGGAGTCTGTACGTAATATGAAGGTTTTCATACATGCATCATATAAACTTAACATTATCAATTATCCATGTAAATGAGGTCAAGGTCAGACGAACTCCGAATACAGTCATTTGTATGCACCTGTCCTAAGTCAGGAGCTAGCTGTTGTTCAGTTGTTGTCGTTTGTTGGTGTGGTTCATAAGTGTTTCTCATTTTTTATATAGATTAGACCGTTGGTTTTCCTGTTTGAATTGTTTTACACTAGTCATTTTGGAGCCCTTTATAGCTTTCTTTTCGGTGTGAACCAAGGCTCCGTGTGGAAGGCCGTACTTTGACCTATAATTGTTTACTTTTTACACATTGTGACTTGGATGGAGAGTTGTCTCATTGGCACTCATACCACATCTTCTTATTTATATGTATATTTTACAATCATACCATACTTTAAATATGACATGTATAATTAACCTATGGCTTATATATATAGTATCTGAGAAACATATTTATTTACGAAAACTGAACATTGTCCAATGAACCATATGAATGAGGTCATGGTCAGATGAACCCTGCCAGACAACATGTCGACTTGATATTTAATAAAAAAGAAATAACAATCATAAGCACATAAGGCAGAGTATAGCACACATATGGGGTAAATTAACTGGTTTTTTGAGATTTATACTGCAGTATTTCTCTCTCTTAACCCTTAATCTCTATCCGTGGATTAACTAAATGTCCATAAACTAAATCAATAACAAAAATCATTATGGAATGACTGTAATATTTTTTGATTAATCCATGCTGGATCTATGCGATCACTCTGGTTTTGGAGATGGTGCAGAATACTTAGTTGAAGACATAGCATGAAACTAATTATGTGTTTTTATCACTCGAAGAAACTTTCTACACCAATTTAATCATCAACTGTAAACTTTTGACATGTTATCCGCCCTTAAATTAAGAAAAGATTGGTCGAATAATGACTTTATTTTAGATATATATACTTCACCTTTAACTCTACGTTCCGCTATATAGATGATGTTCTCTCACTAAATAATACAAAATTTGGTGACTATGTTGAACGAATCTATCCCATCGAACTAGAGATAAAGGATACTACAGATACAGTTAAGTCTGCCTCATATCTTGACTTACATCTAGAAATTGACAATGAGGGTCGGTTGATAACAAAACTTTACGACAAAAGAGATGATTTCAGCTTCCCAATTGTGAACTTTCCATTTCTATGTAGCAACATTCCAGCAGCGCCTGCATACGGAGTATATCTCCCAATTGATACGATATTCCCGGGCTTGTGTTTCCTATCATGATTTCCTTGATAGAGGATTGCTGCTCACGAGGAAGCTATTAGACCAAGAGTTCAAAATGGTGAAGTTGAAATCATCCCTTCGTAAATTTTACGGACGCCATCACGAGTTGGTTGGCGGTTATGGAATAACCGTTTCACAGATGATATCGGATATGTTCCTTATGTCGTAACAACAATACCCTTCCCTTTTCACGAATGTTACTTACCGAATTAGACTATTTACCGGATTTGTAATAACATAAACAACACGACGGGTGCCACATGTGGAGCAGGATCTGCTTACCCTTCCGGTGCACCTGAGATCACCCCCAGTTTTTGGTGGGGTTCGTGTTGCTTAGTCTTTAGTTTTCTATGTTGTGTCATCTGTACTTTTATTTGTCTGTTTGTCTTTTTATTTTTGGCCATGGCGTTGTCAGTTTGTTTTCGATATATGAGTTTGACTGTCCCTCTGGTATCTTTCGTCCCTCTTCAATATAGTTCCATTCTTGTCAAAAATAAAATCTGACAGAGTCTAAAATTGAAAGATCAGTATATATATATATCTATATTTGCATCAATATTGCGAAATTCCCTACCTTTGGACAATAACATAGAAAATTTACAGTAAGAGTGGAAATGAAAAGAGGAAAAAAATCAGAAAAAAGTATGGTCAGAAAGAATATGAGACTAGCTATGAATATGGCTGGATCACAACATCAACGATGCTTTGATTTCTGTCTATGAAGAAATAACATCAAAAATGTGGTGCACACTGTATAACTCGCGTAGCAGGTTATTTAAAAGTGTGCACCACATTTTTTTTTTTGCTATTTCGAATAGACAGAAAAAATATTACAGTCATTCCTTATAATTTAATTCTAAAAAGGAGTAAATCATGATAAAAACGTTGATGACGTCACGGTCACATGACAAAATTATGTCTATGAGCTGATAGACAAAACACTTTCAGCCAATCAGAAGACGTGTTACATCCAAAATTAAATTATTTACATATTTTTTTAATCTCGTCCTGTGAATATTATGTCCCAACGCCCATGTTACCATGTACCTTTTGTAAATCCATCCTCTATCAGGAATACCTGGGTTTTTTCCAGTCATTGTTTTTTTTTTATCTATGTTACAGAATTTAACATGTCTGTTTTCTTCCACCAATACCAATATCAATTTGGTTAATTAGTTAGATATTAAATTTTGTTAAAATTTACAACTTTTTACAGTTTTGAACTAGTTTTTAACTATGAGTTTAGTAATCCTTAAAGCCTAGGATGTATCTTGCAGAGCGTTTCTCTTCTCATGTAGGGAATAACACAAGCTACTGGTTATAGAGTCTACTGAATAAGTTTCTGCTTCCTGTAACCGTGAAAACCATATAAAGTGACTGCAGTCCAAAATAAATTGTGACATTTTAAAGCTGCTAATTCAGATATCAGACCAGGCATCCATGTCAATGCTTGGCACCACAATTTCATAAAAAAATCTCTTACATTTTAGAGAGCGGAGCACACTACAAGAAAATGTTCTAAATCCTCTAGTCCCTAGACTTGGAATTGTCTATTTGAAAATTTTGTACGGTGATACTGTAAATGTATGTATCCAATAGCATTTTAGCTTTATAACAGGCTTTGAATATACAATCTGTTTCGTTCAAGCATTTTTCCATATACAGCTGATAACACCAGCCTTACATTTTTCAACATTTAGGAACCGCAGGGATGATTTCCAATTTTGCTTTGGTCGACATCTTGCTGAACAAGAAGGATTCTATCGACTTCTTAACTTTCTTTTTTCCATCGATATTTTGACTCTGGTTTAAGCAAAACCACAGAAGCACACGTAAGTTACATGTACTGTGTTGCTGGACTTCCTTATTTATCTATTGTCATAATGATTTATGGACGTTGCAGTGGATAAAAAAGTTACTTTACTGTTGGTCTTCAGATAAATTGTAGATGGTCTTTTGTGTAGAAGGTTGGAAAATTCACACATGAAATCGCGGGATGATTGAAAACAACGATTATTCCACATTTTCTATTCCTTGCCATGATATTGCAAATGTTGTAGAATTTGCACCTTATGAATGGTGTCCTACTTTGCTCGCAGTAGGAACAAATTCAAGAGTATCTATTTACCAATGCGTTTTTGACCAGGAGGTAAACAAACTCGTGTACATATCTGCATATTTTCACTGTATGAATTTTAAAATAATAATTTTATGGGTGTTTTAAGATTGATGTATGGCAGTTTAACATATTTATGATGAGAACATGTTAGTGCGATATGAATATGAACCCGACTTTGTACAGAAAATTATTGACTAATATGCATGTTACATGTTGGTGATCATGTTGCATGTTTTGTTGTAGAAAAAACTATACAGTTTAGGGAAAGGAAAGAACTATAGGGTTTTGATTACTGTAGAATATAATTAAAGGAGATTGACTGACTGATTGTTAAATGCTTAATGTCCAGTGGCAAATACTTCATACATGTTAAGGATGATATTAAAGGCCAGAGATGTTGGGCATATGTCAAGGAGCCTGACACTGACAGCATCCCAGTGACACAAACAAACTAAAGAAATTCCATGAGAAAAATATACAGAAAAAGGAAATGTAAAATAGTAGAAATAAAAAGATTTTGCTTTCAAGGTCAGTACCACCAGAAGTCTCATGTCAGAATACATTTCCAAAGTAATTTGAAAAATACAAAATGTAAATATGTCCATGATAAACTGACCAATCGACACAATGAACCACAATGCATTTGTTATCTGACTTAATAAATTAGAAATATGATATCCTACTCCAATGTTGAATCCAGGATTTTCAAAGGGGCGTAATTCTTGGGAAAAGGACCCCCAGGCTGAATCCGCATTGTACTCAATTTTTTCATTGCTAATTCTAACTTTAAACCAACAGGTCAGCTGCATTGAAGGCAAAATCTTTTCAATTTGACAAATATATATTAACCTTTTCTTTTTCTGTATTTTTATTTATTGTCATGGAGTTATATAGCTATTTATGTTGCCTGGATACTGTTTCATTCACACATACTGATATCTCCTTTAATAATATTCTTCTGCAATGGAAACCCGAGTTACTTTCCATAAACAGCATAGTTATTACTATAACAAAAATATTAAAGATCATTATTTGGTTTAAGGCGGTGAGAAACCTTTGGTGACCCCATGCATTTAAATGTTCATTGTGAAAAACAAAGTAATACCACAAGTGGGCGCAACAAATGAACGTTTACCTGATCTGACACAGCCAATGAATGATCATGTCCACCCTGTTTTGAATTTGATAATATACATAATTGATATATATTATGAATGAATGGAATGTAGGAGAGAGATGTCATTGAGACAACAACCCAACAACACAATGATAAATGAGAAACATCTCGTGCTTCAAGCATTTGTTGCTACTCATGATTATTTTTATCAGTGGCTTCACCTTGAGCAATGTTGAGAAAATTTATTTTCACTTTTGTACACATTTGTTTCCTGCATTTTGTGTTGTAGATATTCATTTTTTATTCTGTCTAGTGCAAAGTTATTTATTTTTCAGATCTTACCAGGCCCAGTTATTATTCATTTTCAAAATACACTCCCCCCCCTTTTGCACCATGCAGCAGGCAACATGCAACACTCTAAATAGCAATTCCCCTTTGTACTAGACTGGATTTTTAACATGCTAGTTCTCAAGGTAACAGTTTGCAGGAAGACATGTCACCTGACCAAGTCACATTGACCCTGAGCCAACCAGTCTGTGCTTACTCCGGAATACTCAATGCTTGGTTAAAAAACAGCACAAATACCAATTTTTCAGTCTTTTGTCTGACCCTGCCTGGGTTCAAACCCAAGACCTCCCGCACTTGAGTCAAACATGCTACCACAAGACTATCAAAGCAGTAGAATTAAAGTCTTTTTCTTGGTTATTTTCCACACTCAATGGCTCAAATTAAGGAGGTCAATTGTCTTTAGTTTGGCAGTAACATTGTATTGGGAAAAACAAATGTCAGTACCATCGCGCCATTGTGTGATAGTGCATAAAAGTGATCAACATCATCAAATTTGAGACATTTTCTAAGCATGTAACCTATGACGTAAGCACAATCACATGATTTATTTATAAATTAAAAATCATTGAATATGATAAGCACTGGATTCTTTGACTTATAAAATGCTAATTGATCAGGTTTTGACCAGCAAAATTGTATGAAACATGTTTTTAAGAATAATATTTATTTAAAAAAAAAAAAAAAATTGCGTAACGTCTCCTTTAATGACATCTTCAGATGAAATTGTTTCATGATTTGCATGATGAAGAACTTAATTTTTCTAGATTTAACATGTTATAAGAACATCTGTATTCACCGCATTTGTTTGCGATTCCCACTTTTATAATTGTTTTTCTTGTGATTTTGGCTTATTTTAAGACCTGTGAAGTGTTCTAGAATCCTTTGGAAGCATTTTCAACTTCTACTTGATGATGTAAAAATGGGTTTTCCATGAAAGTACTACAAACGACCACCCAGGCTTTGAAATAACTGTAGTTTTTACAAAACTTTTATGATTTTTGAATTATATATTTAAGAAAGAAGAACCAGATGGGGAAGATTTTGAATGGAGGTCAATATTTGATTTTCAAAATGGTTTTCGTGTCACAGCTATATCCTGGTGTCCAGAAACAACATTTCTGACCAGAGAAAAGGAAGATTTCATCAGGTTACATTAAAAGATTACAGATTGATTATTTAAAAACCATTTTATAGAATTTCAGATGCCAATTCCTATTTAATACTTTTGGCAGCTGTATGATATCCTCCTTTTTCGAAAAATTAGTTTTGACTTATTACAAACATGAATAAAAGAAGGAGTGAGGTACAAGTCATTGAGAAAATACATCATCAACACAAAAAAAACAACATAAAAACAACTTGAGTTCAAAAAAACAGTCTTCAAAAAAAGAAAGTTATCTCTTCAATATGTTGAGCTCTAAATTTAAAGCACCAGGAATTAAAACAAAAAGTAAGTGAATTTATAAATAGACACTATCAAAGATCTGCCATCGACAAGAAATTACCAAAAATGACAAAAGACAACCACTCACAAGATTCCTGTCGTGGAATAGGCACATGCAGGTATGGCAGGGTCAAACTAATTATTTAAGTTGTGAACTTAATATATATACGATTGAAATTAAATACACCAGAATGACTTCATACCACGAAAGGCAAAAAAAGTATATCTAAGCATTTTCTTTCAGAGTGATTGATTAGGTTTTCAACAGCAAAACAATTTGTAAACATGGACTTTACTGTTTTAATATAAAATGAAGACGTTTATCAATGTGACCTATTTAATGTATGTGACCTTGAAATGAATCACAGTTGCAATAACTTTTTCCACTAAGATTTAAAATGGAGAAGTTAAAAAGAATTATACAATGTTGAGTTGTGCCAAAATTTTTTCTAAACATTGTTACACTCAGACAAATGGTGAAAGTGTTGGCACTGTGTCCTAGGACATAATGTAAACATTCTTTTAATCCACATGACAATTGACTATATTAAAAAAATTCATTCCTATGTCTTTATTTTATGTAGATTTGCAATTGGTGGAAGTGACAAGAAAATAAAGATAGTCTCTGCAAATTTGAAAGGAGACAATACTTGTCAGGTAGGAATTTTTTTTTATATGGTATTGTCTGTTTTAACCAAATTGTAGTTCATGTTACTTTTGAGTCAGGATTGCAACACTCCTAGATAATGTGGTGTACAGAATACAAAAGGTGATTACCAGTAAGTTAAGAACACGCCTGATGGGGATTGTTCACAGTGATTCATTTAACACAAGTCAGAATGATTTTTAACAGAATCACTTTTTTGTATTCTGTAAAATTCTGATTACACAATCTGCTCCCCCTTTTTAAACGAGTATAAGATTAGACTCTTAATCGTAATGTCAGATAACATGAGTATAACAATTATTGATCAACGTGAATCACTTAATAAGTGTAATAGTAAATACATGAATACTAACAGCAGCTTGATCATATGCAAACATTTTGTATAGCTATTCTGAATTCTTTTCGTAGTTAATCAAAATGATACATCCAGTTTACATTCAGAATCTAAGGATGCTTGTTGCATAGTCTATTGCAATGGAATTTGCAATTTCAGGTTATTAAAAAACATTTCAGTTTTAAATTTTTGCACAAATCTTTATTTTACAAAAATGGGCATGGACATTCTTGTTGATGCTGCAAATCGGTACCCTCAGGTTTGTGACTTCCGAATTGAAAGTGAGAAAAACGATACTGATTTTTAAGTCCTAACAAAATTATCAAAATAGCGAGGAAAACTACTCAGGAAACTTCTGACAGGAAAAGACTTTGACGTTAACAGGACAGATAAATTGTGGTCATCCTTGAACAGAGACATATATACAGGTATACATTGTATATATGTCTCTGCCTTAACAAAGAGGAGCCGGGCTTGACATTGGAATTGTTACAAATGACAATTAATGAAAATTTCAGTTATTTTATAATGAAATTAATATAATAAGCAATATATCAGTCTATTCACTATCCCTTACAATGAAATAGTAAATGAAATACTTTCGAGCTTGACAATCGACACAGGGTTTTGTCCTGGTGAAGGTTCCTCCATGGCTAAATTCTCATCCATTGAGATGCCAGGAAATAAAGAGTTGTATCAAGCTTTTCATTTGTTTTCCTATGCATTGTTGTGACATTGTCGTGGGAAGCATGACTTGTGTAGTCATGAATATTGCATTTTATTCAGAAAAAAATATAATTTTGGAATGCCAAGTGGTGGTTGTCAGCCAATCAAAGGCACAGATTCTTATGAAACATATAATGTTATATACTAGTGAGTACTGTAAACCAACTAATTTTCGTGGATTCTCTATTTCCACAACTACTTTTACATTTATTTTTCTACCCACAAAAGTTGCAAAAAAAATTAATTTCTAGCGAAAATTTGTTGGTGTTCAGTAAACATTAGCAATATCGAACCATTTAAATTGCCTTCATCTATATTTACTATACTGTAATGAATATGTAATATTTTAGATTTGTGAAGGTCACACTGACTTCATTAACTCAATAGCCTACATACCTGACACAGCAGGGGAACTGGTATCAACTGGTGATGACAATACCTTAAGACTGTGGAACAAGGAAGGGGAACAGCAGGGATGTTTCCAGTTATCTGCCCCTGGAATGTCTGTTTGTGTACATGAAAGAGAACCAGGAAAGGTAGGAACAGAAATACTATTTAATAGCTCTTTATGGTAAAAAAAAAGGCTGTTTTAAGTTATCTGCCCCTAGAATGTCTGTTTGTGTTCATGAAAGAGAACCAGGACAGGTAGGATCAGAAATACTATAAATAGCTATAAATGGTTAAAAAATAAGGAGAATTAAAAGGACTTTCAATAGCAAACTCCACTAAAAACCAATTGAAGAGCAACAGAACATCTATTGGTTATAGTATTCCACCACCAAATCTTATGCAGTATGATATTTTTGCCAGTTAAATTTTAAATATTTAAAAAGCTCGGCAAGCCTCAAGTTTTAAATTTGAAAATTTATCTGTCGAGTGGAGAAATATTGTATCACACTTGATGAAGTGGTAAAACGTATATATATTGTGTTTTCTATTTTGTCATTTGTTTATTGATTTCAATGTTTTTGTCTCGCCTTGACAGAGTCAAAAAGCGAGACATAGGTATGCTTTTTCAGGCACTGCTGCCGCCACAGTCCCCTCAACAATGGATTAGTTTGAGATTAGGTCAGTTTATGGGGAACCACTAGAGGTAGGTCAGTGATATTGGGTATGCAGTTGTATTAGCATTGACACATCTCATTTCCATGGAGGTTGTTTGACCCTGTAACTTCAGTAATGGTTCATTGACTTTGAATATTTTGCATAGCTAACATGTTAAAGCTATTTAATTTCAACATTTGCATTTTACTATCACAATAACAAAAAGGCGAGACATATCTCTTTGTGAATAGTTAATTATGATGTAAAAGTACAAAAGGAAGCCACTCTGTGGGATTCTGATTTTTCCGTCAAAACATCTTCTACAGTGCAATTTTTGGAACATCTTCTATACCTCCAAGGCAAAAACCAGATTAAGTCCGATTTTAATCATTCTTTGCAGTGTTTGTAATATTAAGTGTTTGGAATTCGTGTCCAGATCCTACTTAAGGAACATTTGCTTTTTTTCTTTGCTACTTTTCACAATTTATTATAGGTTATAGTTGCTCAGAAGAATGGTATAATCAAAGTATTCAGCTTAGCCTTACAGAGACAGATTATGTCCCTTGATTGTTGCCAAGCACCATTGATGTCAGCTGACTGGAGTTATATGAATGAAGATTATGTTGTTGCTGCATGTGGCACTGAATGGCTAATATTTCAAATGTCTAGGTCAAGGTGAGAGACTTCATAATATTTAGTATAATATGAGGAACTACGAAGACAAGTATCTTAAAATTTCAATGGACCACTGTCCGATTTGTATACAGTGAGAGGCTAAAAACCTCACTATCATTTGAAAAGTAAGTGAATATTCAAACATCAGTTAACCAATTATTATTTAATTATTATAAAAATAAGGAGATGTGATAAAGATTGCCAATTAGACAACTATGCACCAAAATTCAAATGAAGTGGATGTACGCTATTATGATTAGTTCAAGGCTGAACAAATCCTTTGGGTTACTTTAAGGGATTGGTAATGATGTCAATTGGTATGATCAAAGGAATTAAGCAAACTTTGGCTTTTAACTTTGATAATTGTCTGTCATTTTTATGGAATTTCAACATTCAAAAAAACCTCTGGATAAATTTATTAATTGATTGAATATAGCTGTTATTTGAAAACATCAGGTAATTTTGAATTTTGGAGGTGAAACTTTATTTAAATTACAAGACCTTAGAATTGACTAATTCTTATAAAATTTTGATAATGTTCCTTGGTACTAAAATACTTAATAAAGCTAATGTCTGTAGGAATGCCGTAGGAGACGGGGGCATTAAGTGTTACCCTTGACAGTCCATCCTTCTGTCTTTCCGTCCTTCCATTCATCTGTCCCATTTTCAAAGCTTGAGCAGGGGCATTTGTGTCATCCGACAGTCAAGGATATAACTCTATAGGGTTATTAGAGAAAAATAACATACGCTTGTTATTGTGGACAAAAAAATCAAAGAACTGTGATAACATATGTATGTTACATGTTTCAAAGGGCCAATATACATCATTTGTTTTGTTAAAATGTATACAAGTTCTATTGATATTACTACTGTCTTTATATATACTTAAATATAGAAAGATATACCAGCCCATAGTTTGCCAATCATGCATATCACACCTATGTTATTACAGAACAAATATGCCTGTAATAACTAAAGGGTGTTATTATAGCTTCTCTACATCACTTCAAAGCCTTTGCTTAGACATAGATCATGCTCAATTACAATGTATTTTAATTTATTGAAAGAAGTAATGATCAGAGCATGTAATGAGGTTCTGCGCAAGCTTCCCAATAATTCCCAAGTGTCTCATTTAATAAGTTTCATGCCTTTAATAACTAAGCCTTGTTATTACAGCTAAGTTAATCACTTAAAAGCCTTGTCTCATTGATTTACCATGGTTAATGAAAAATGTATTAATCTGAATTAATAGTTAGTTATCAAGGCTATGCATTTAGTTTCTGCGCAAAGTTTCAAGAGTTCCCTAGAGCCCACTAAAAATAAAAATATTTATGATTTATTTTACAAATAACAAACATATGTTTTTACAGATTTAGTAAATTTAAGGATTAAAGAGTAGATAACTCATAAAAGTATCTGTAATAATACATGCAAGTTATTTTCTGTAATACCCCTATAGAGTTATATCCCTGACTGTCAGACACATTCTTTTTTTATTATATTATATGAACTCAGACACATTCTTTTTTTATTATATTATATGAACATCAAGATTGTTTTTTACATGTTTTATCGGCCATGTTGGAATTTCTGTTTGACAGTCCGCATTTTCCTATCCAGACTGACCATCGGTTCAGAAATTATTGTAATGTTTACATACACTTTTTTTCACACAAACTATTGATGCAATTTTATGAAAAAATGAGATGAAAAACATATGATTTTTATTTGATATCTTAAAAGAAACATGTAAATAGTTTGAGAAAAGGTACAACTCCAAGGGATTCAAATTCTATTTTTGGCCAAGTTTTGTGGAAATATGTGACATCTTCACATCTTCCCACCCTTTTTTGCAATATTGTATAGCAAATAAATGCAAATGGTTGCTATGGATATACCAAAAATAAATTATTTTTAACCATTTTAACTACTACAAATCAAATCTATGAAGGATACTGATTACATAAATATGCACATATATGACACAAAGAGTAAGCTTAATTTATAAGAAAGCAAGGGAAAAGAGATGGTCAAATTTATGAGGGTCAATCTTGATTTTTAATCTAACTTTATATACTACCTATACTAACTGTATACTGCTACCTATACTTTTAGTTAATTCAGAGTTACACAATTGTTTACGGAAAATATTGATTAATTGATTGATTGATTGACAGGTGGTTAATGTACAAATACAAATATTTCATGAATATTTATGATGTTTACATGTCTATATTATGTGAATAAACCACTGTTTTTTACAGATTTTAGACTGACATGCTAAGTTGGATTTCAGAATCTTTTTCACAAGTTCACAAACGGTCTTAATGAACATTGCCTAGACACATTATTCTGAAGCATGAAGTCTTTGCTCTTACTCTTCGTTTCTGTGTGGTTAGTGTAGAAGCAGCAAATACTAATTTCAAAGTCTTTAATTGAATAAGTGGAGGATTGAGATAAACTTCTAAAAAAACTATTAATTTGCTAGATTTTTTCCCCCAACTGTCAGATTGAACAATTATCTCTCTGATTCTGTTTGTGTTACATTGGATTATTGTTTAAAAAAATCTTTTCTAGTCAGCCATTAGAGAGGAGACAGGCACACACTGAGGGTTGTAAGCATGTTAAATGGGCAAGGAACCAGCAGACATTACTGGCTACATCAGGGAGACCAGGAAGACAAATCAAAGTATTCAGTACCAGACATCATCAGGTAAGATGTTTGATCATAAGTGAACCAGTAGACAGACATAACTGGTTACATCAGGGAGACCTGGAAGTCAAATCAAAGTATTCAGTACCAGACATCATCAGGTAAGATGTTAAATAGTAAGGAAACCAGTAGACAGACATGAATGGTTACATCAGGGAGACCAGGAAGACAAATCAAAGTATTCAGTACCAGACATCATCAGGTAAGATGTTAAATAGTAAGGAAACCAGTAGACAGACATGACTGGTTACATCAGGGAGACCAGGAAGACAAGTCAAAGTATTCAGCACCAGACATCATCAGGTAAGATGTTAAATAGTAAAGGAACCAGCAGACTTACATTACGGGTTATATCAAGAAATTTGTTTGCTTCTTGTATAAAGCTTGGGAAATCTTGCCACCATTCGAAATGCAATGGATAATGAAAATCCTGCAATTTAGTTTCAACATATTTGAAATAAAGGACTCATAAGCTCATCTGACCCAAAAGGGCAAGTGTGAGCTATTGCCTTCACCTTGTGTCTGTTATTTGGTCTTAACTCTTAAAAAAATAATTTACGTATCGAGACTTACTATCATTCTAAAGAGTATACTTTAAAAGGTATGTCTGATAATTCCAGGGGTAGAATTGACAAAAACTTTAAAAAAAATGAAAAATCGTGTGAATGACCAAACTATAGAAATAATTCTTTTGTGACACCCTTTAAGAATATGTTTATTTATTCTCAACTAGCTTCAATCTACTCTGAAATCACCAGATCAGTTTTGACCAAACTTAGGCTGTGTCAGTGATTTTGTGTTAAAAGTTATGTCCGATGACCGTGGTGGTTATTGCTACAGTGAAATAGAAAATCTTAAGAGTAAAAAACCCAAAATATGCAATAAAAAAATTCTGAAACATTCAGTGAAAGACAAAAAGGTTTCAAACTTGCTTAAAATAATAGCCTCATTTCATTCAACAAACAACACAAACACTTGCATGAAAGCCAGATATAATACTTATTTATGTTCAGTTTAAAAATTCAATGAACAAGTTCTAAATTTTTGTTTAGAGTTTTCTAATTGGTTATGAAATTAATGAGTGTACACAAGTTTAAAAAGTTTGGAAAGTAACCATTTTGAAATTGAGCATAGATGAATGCATGTGATGCAGGCTCTTTAGATAACCCAACCTCTTACACTCAACAAAAAATTCTTATCCAATAAGTTTTAAGAAACAGCATATAATACTTATATGAATCTGTCATCCTATAGTTTTTATATATTTGTATCTGGCATAAGATGATATTTTTCTGTTTTCTAGATGCCATTAAGTACAACACTGCAAGTAGCCTATGGTATGAGCTGGCATCAGAGAATACCAGCATTAGCAGTTGGTGGAGACAAACAGGTGCATGTGTACTTACTACAGACTGCCAGATCACAACCAAGCTGACAGTGAAATTGCCAGAGTAGCAGATATTCTATAAAAGAACAAAAATAGAGATAGAAAAGTGACTATGAAGTCTTGAAGAAAATATTTATTATCAAAATAAATATTTAAAACACCATTTGAGTTTAATTATTTGTTTATTTTTCTTGCTCACCTCACTCAAAACCCGATTTTAGCAATGGCCACTGTAATTTCTAACTTATTTGAATTTAATCACTGTGTAGCATCACCACTGGACATGAGTACCCCCGAAGCGTTGGAAAAAACAAATATGAAGTCAGATAAGGTCAAATTCTTCTTGTTTTCATTATATTCTACGTTTTGCTGACAGGTAAAGTTTTGTGATACTGATTCCTAATAATGTAGATACTATTTAGGGCTGATTATGATCCTTAATTGATTTTCTCTCTTTTCAAATCGTCAGAATTGGATAGGGTGGTACCTGTTCAACAAGGCATGTAACAAGTTCAAACTTGTTAAAAACACATTTACCCTTCAACTATTCAATTGACGTTTTCGTATAACAATGGTATATCATCTTTAAGCTTGAACAACACTGTATTTCTAAATAAACTATTGTTTAAACAGAGAAATTCATGTAAATGAAGTGGATAAATTGTATGGCGAATTGCAGGGAATAGTTGTTTACTGCATGGGGATTAAAATAGATACTTTTTGCTATCATTGTTTCTATGCTTCAGGGGTACCTTTATCTGGTGGTGATGCTACACAGTGTCGATGAGTAATACATGTATAATAATATATGAAAATATTTCTCAAAAATGCATATAAAGAAAACTTCATTTGGCAATTGTGTCACCTTTATATAATATTATTATTCTTGCAAAAGGAAAATTAAATCATAATGTTTTTAGAAAAGTCATTTAAGGCTATTTGCATATTTTGTCTACAGGGTCAATTTACATAGAAATGAAAATGAGTTTGAGACCTTCCTGGTCTCAATTTAAGGACTATAATTCTAAAAAATAGAAGGTCATGGTTCTTTACAGGCACTCTGACTTTCTCCACCAATAAAAACTGACCACCACAAAACATTTCATACTAATTTCATTTTGCACAACCAGTTTTCTTTAAAAATCCTATCCAGGCATCAGGCATGCACCAAGACCAAAAGTTTTGACAGTCTATTAAAACCAAAAGAGAAGAGCAGAAATAGAACAACCCAAATTGCGCAAAGTCACATATGTCTGAATGAGTTACAATTTAAAAGAAAAGGTACAAAACATTTATCATTTTAAAGACGAAATGTATCATTTAAATCATACCTGAACTGAATCACTGACTTCTTGGCATATGGTACACAAGGAGATATAAAGTCAATAAGGAGCCATTCAAAAGACCTGCATACAAAAGATGCATAATACAAATTTCTGTTTGTATGAGAGATGTCTTAAGATTTAATTCAGTAGCTTAACTAATAGTTTTGTCTTACCTGTGATGAAAGTAGTAGAATTCGAGACAGGGATTACAATCCAGCTGCTGTGACCACGTAAATTCTTTGAAGAAAGCTTTATATTTCAGAAGTAGAAGATCTTGTATTCAGATGCCTTATGTTACGAAGTTTCTGTTTATCATATGTCCTTTGTCCTTGACCTCGTTTTCATGGTTCAGCATCCGCTTGAAAAAAATTAAAAGAGTGTTTTTGTCATGTGAAATACTCACTCATAATGAGATATATAATAACTATATTTGGTATCGTTGCAAGGTCTACATATCCCTATATCAGATAGGGTTCACCTCACCTTGATATAATTTTTTGAATTCGTGATGAATATATTTCTTGGTCACGTCTGTATTTCAGATACTAAACCCAATAGGTCAACTGTATTTGATGTTTTGAATGATTGTAAGATGGACATGTCGGACTGGCATGTTTTATCCGACCTCATTTTCATGGTTCATTTGTCAATGTTAAGTTTTCTTGGTTTATATTAATCAGATACTATAAGAAATAGTCAACTGTAATTGGTTGATGAAATTATTATTTGATGAAAATGTCTGTCTGGCAGGGTTCATCTTACCTTGACCACATTATCATGGTTCATTAGTCAATGTTAAGTTTCCATGGTTATTTCCGTTTCTCAGATACTACAAGCAAAAAGTCCACTATATTCGGTGTATGGAATGATTGCATGGTGTTCAGTTCATGTTGTCTTGTAGGGTTCGTCTGACCTTGATCTCATTCTTATTAATTATTGATAAATGCTTTATTTTCGTAATTAGATTTTTTTCTCAGATACTTTAGACAATAGTCTAACTGTATTCCGTGTATGGTATGAAATTCAATCATTATCGGTAAGGAAGCGATACATTCCAGAAAGTGCACTCTTGTAATTTATTGTCTCCCCAGTAACGAAAGTCGTAGACTGCAAGACATAGGGATTACAAACGGGCAGCGGTGACAGCCTAAACTATTAGTATAAAGTTTAATATTTCCGAAGGCAGAAGACACGAAAGCTTTTTTTTTGTCTCTTCATAATTGATTTACAAGATTTGAACATCGGTAAACTACTGTTGCATTAACTTAACTTCAACTTAAAAATTAGCACACCTGTTCCTAATGATGCATCGTTTATTTATATGCCAAATTAAGGTTTTTCTTCTAGATTTCACGGTTCACTGGATATAGAATGTGATAGTTCCAGTGATGCTTGGAGTCCTATGGACACTATTCTTGTTGTATATGATTGGTCCAGGTTAGATACCTGCATTGAAGCAGTTGTGATAAATAAATGGTACTACTCCACATGATAAATCAAGATATGAACTAACAAAAATGATAGATGGTCCAAAGTGTGGTTTGACCTTATCGTTATGTTTTTTTCTTAATTCTAGCTGAACGTTTTAGTTGAGTTGTTTTCTATCTAAAGTCATTTCCAGAGAAAAGATAAGGCCAACTGTTAGAAGGACACAATTCTTCTTGTATATTTTTTTTTTATAATTCGTTTTCTACACAAAGAAAGTGTTAGTCGTTATCATAATCTTTCAAACGTGTGTCAATTTTAACACTTAAAATTCTTTTCTTCAATACTTCACAATGGTCAGTTATATTTGTAGAATTATGGTGTCTTGTTTTCGAATTGCATTCAAATTTCAATTAAAAATCGTATTGCTGCTAAACATATGGAGGCACATGGATTTAACAGAACTAGCGTAAATTCAAAGATATTTGACATCATGTAAATGGCCATATGTCAGCGATCACTTGCATCTATTATAATTCAGCGGACTTGGGTTTCAGAATACTTCCGAATATAGAAAGTCTACTTTGTTGTTTGATCTTTTCCTTGATACTAGTAGAGTTGGACGACTTTAAACTAGAATTTGTGACAAACGTAATGCTTTCAACTTTCCTTTTAAGAAACAAACATACAGTCTGTCCAGCCTGAGACTTCTATCTCAGGCTCAGCGTAAAGCTTTCGTATATTTCAATCAATACGTAAAGCTACAGCGTTTTGAGAAAGAATGACTGAAATTGACTATATAAGTTTTACAGTCACCAGTACGAATTGGTTGACTTGTATGATGTGTCTGCGTTTCAACACTCTAGCTTCGTGTTTTCGCGGTCTTTGATCTTTATGAACCAGGATAGTCGTCTGTAAAGTAACCAATTGTGTCATACCCCTGTTTGTGACATTCTAATTGATTGAAGATTCGCATGTCGGCTAATGCGTAAATAACAGGAGACGTCCACCCTGTCGACGCACCCGGTTTTTCTCCTTTTGACGTTAATGCGATTCACTTATGTTTTTTTGTACAATGATTTGTATCTTCGTCATGAATTTGTCGGAATTCGAACATCGGTAAACAATTGTTGCCTATAATGACAACCAAAATTTGGATAAATGATGCATTAATAACCCCCATCCTACATTGCTTGGTAAGAATCATGGTTAAAGCCTACCAGACTTCAGATATGTCAACACTATTAGCAAAAATATAACATAGGACATACTCATTATGAATTACGACTCCTAAGACAAGAGGAGCACCTTCTCAAATCTTTTTCTAATATGATGTTTTATTGAGTGTACTTTATGTTTTGGTAGTAACTTAGTTGTTATATATCCTTTACCCTACTTCTGTTTTATTGCCTTTTAATTAATTAATTATTTCGTCAAAAATACTTTCATCTAATAGAAGTGGTTATGTGACTAACTGATCAGCCATGTGTGTAATAATTAGGTTTATTTTTTATATGCTCAGATATGCATGCATGATGTCAGCAAGACAGTCTGCATTGATTTAATTTGCGTGATCTCTTATAAGATTTGATAATAAAAAAATAATAAATACAATACAATTTCCTGTATATGGTAAGATATAATCATATTTGAGGCCAAATGTATCTTATTCAATTCAATAATTATATTTTTCGAGTCATCATTTCCTTAGCTTATTCAGTTGATTATGAAAGTTCAAAAAGCTCCGATCCGTGTTGTAACACTATTCAAAATAGGTGTTTTGATTCAATTCATGATAAAGAAAGAGTCGTTTAATTAATCTGTTTTTATAGAATATACAAGGATGGTATTAGTAATACGATTGCAATTAGCTTTTAAAACTGAAACAATTGTATCTTTACGTCATTCTTAAGCCGTTTGACCCTTATCAAAGGCCTATATTAATTATGTAATCTTTTAATAACACAATTTAATTTGGTGCTTTGTTAATAAAATGCAGATACATGTTGATACTGTTTAAATGTTTGTGTATAGTATAATGGTTAACAGAAATTTAAAACTCTGTGTGGTAGTTTGTGGATGTCTTTTTCTATTATTGAAAGGTATGTTTTGACTTTGAAGCGAAATACACGTTTCTCATCCGCCATACAATCCCTTATTTCATTTTTCTAGAACAATTGGTATGAATGAGATGATTTAAGTAAAAAATTTGTAAAGAATTCATGGACATTCAACGTCCAAAAAGTCTCCAAAAAATAAGTTTTAAGAAAGTTCATACAATATGTAATCATGATTTGCTAACAATCTACACAATTATATGTATACATAAAAAACCAAACAAAAAGGGTTGTTAACAACTAAACGTGACCGTACGACCTTCAACAATGAGCAATCATATACAGTGTATTAAGTTTTCCGTATATTACTTATAATATAAAAGGCACTGGGATGAAAGAAAATTTAAACAATTCAAAAGAGAAAAATAACAGTTTATACTAATAACTTATTATATATATATATATATATATATACATATAAATACAAGTCTAAATTGAAAACAACGTTCAAACCTATGATTGCGTTGGATAAAAACCGCAATTTTTATACGTGTGCATGCAAAATAAATTTCTTGTTAGAGGGGTCTAAATACAGCACAAACAACATTTTCCAAAAGACCAAAAAAAGTGAAAAAGTATATTTTAACAAAACGCATTTGACTAACAGGTCGAACAACAAATGTTCTTAAACCCTGCTGACTGCCATTGGCGATTGCCAAATAAACGGATCACCGATGTAATAAATGGATCTTTAATATAAATTTAATACTAAACAGAAAACAATAAACTTGCGGAAAAGATGGTAAACCGCAAACAAAAGGTGCAAAGGTTTTTTGTACACCATATCCGGATTTCGACAATTAATGTCTCTTCAGTGATGTTAGGAATCGAAACGGTATTTGGAAAGCCATACAATTTACCTCAATTTAGGATAGACTCTTGAATTTTGAGGAGTCAAAATAGGATGAACGGATCATATAAACCCGAAGGCAAATATAATACAAGCTCAAACGAATAAATATAAACAAGTCTAAATTGAAAACAACGTTCAAACCTATGATTGCGTTGGATAAAAACCGCAATTTTTATACGTGTGCATGCAAAACAAATTTCTTGTTAGAGGGGTCTAAATACAGCACAAACAACATTTTCCAAAAGACCAAAAAGTGAAAAAGTATATTTTAACAAAACGCATTTGACTAACAGGTCGAACAACAAATGTTCTTAAACCCTGCTGACTGCCATTGGCGATTGCCAAATAAACGGATCACCTATGTAATAAATGGATCTTAAATATAAATTTAATACTAAACAGAAAACAATAAACTTGCGGAAAAGATGGTAAACCGCAAACAAAAGGTGCAAAGGTTTTTTGTACACCATATCGGGATTTCGACAATTAATGTCTCTTCAGTGATGTTAGGAATCGAAACGGTATTTGGAAAGCCATACAATTTATCTAAATGAACGGATCATATAAAGTATAAAAATTGCGGTTTTTATCCAACGCAATCATAGGTTTGAACGTTGTTTTCAATTTAGACTTGTTTATATTTATTCGTTTGGGCTTGTATTATATTTGCCTTCGGGTTTATATGATCTGTTCATCCTATTTTGACTCCTCACAATTCAAGAGTCTATCCTAAATTGAGGTAAATTGTATGGCTTTCCAAATACCGTTTCGATTCCTAACATCACTGAAGAGACATTAATTGTCGAAATCCGGATATGGTGTACAAAAAACCTTTGCACCTTTTGTTTGCGGTTTACCATCTTTTCCACAAGTTTATTGTTTTCTGTTTAGTATTAAATTTATATTTAAGATCCATTTATTACATCGGTGATCCGTTTATTTGGCAATCGCCAATGGCAGTCAGCAGGGTTTAAGAACATTTGTTGTTCGACCTGTTAGTCAAATGCGTTTTGTTAAAATATACTTTTTCACTTTTTTTGGTCTTTTGGAAAATGTTGTTTGTGCTGTATTTAGACCCCTCTAACAAGAAATTTGTTTTGCATGCACACGTATAAAAATTGCGGTTTTTATCCAACGCAATCATAGGTTTGAACGTTGTTTTCAATTTAGACTTGTTTATATTTATTCGTTTGGGCTTGTATTATATTTGCCTTCGGGTTTATATGATCCGTTCATCCTATTTTGCCTCCTCAAAATTCAAGAGTCTATCCTAAATTGAGGTAAATTGTATGGCTTTCCAAATACCGTTTCGATTCCTAACATCACTGAAGAGACATTAATTGTCGAAATCCGGATATGGTGTACAAAAAACCTTTGCACCTTTTGTTTGCGGTTTACCATCTTTTCCGCAAGTTTATTGTTTTCTGTTTAGTATTAAATTTATATTTAAGATCCATTTATTACATCGGTGATCCGTTTATTTGGCAATCGCCAATGGCAGTCAGCAGAGTTTAAGAACATTTGTTGTTCGACCTGTTAGTCAAATGCGTTTTGTTAAAATATACTTTTTCACTTTTTTGGTCTTTTGGAAAATGTTGTTTGTGCTGTATTTAGACCCCTCTAACAAGAAATTTGTTTTGCATGCACACGTATAAAAATTGCGGCTTTTTTCCAACGCAATCATAGGTTTGAACGTTGTTTTCAATTTAGACTTGTTTATATTTATTCGTTTGGGCTTGTATTATATTTGCCTTCGGGTTTATATGATTCGTTCATCCTATTTTGACTCCTCAAAATTCAAGAGTCTATCCTAAATTGAGGTAAATTGTATGGCTTTCCAAATACCGTTTCGATTCCTAACATCACTGAAGAGACATTAATTGTCGAAATCCGGATATGGTGTACAAAAAACCTTTGCACCTTTTGTTTGCGGTTTACCATCTTTTCCACAAGTTTATTGTTTTCTGTTTAGTATTAAATTTATATTTAAGATCCATTTATTACATCGGTGATCCGTTTATTTGGCAATCGCCAATGGCAGTCAGCAGGGTTTAAGAACATTTGTTGTTCGACCTGTTAGTCAAATGCGTTTTGTTAAAATATACTTTTTCACTTTTTTGGTCTTTTGGAAAATGTTGTTTGTGCTGTATTTAGACCCCTCTAACAAGAAATTTGTTTTGCATGCACACGTATAAAAATTGCGGTTTTTATCCAACGCAATCATAGGTTGAACTTTGTTTTCAATTTAGACTTGTTTATATTTATTCGTTTGGGCTTGTATTATATTTGCCTTCGGGTTTATATGATCCGTTCATCCTATTTTGACTCCTCAAAATTCAAGAGTCTATCCTAAATTGAGGTAAATTGTATGGCTTTCCAAATACCGTTTCGATTCCTAACATCACTGAAGAGACATTAATTGTCGAAATCCGGATATGGTGTACAAAAAACCTTTGCACCTTTTGTTTGCGGTTTACCATCTTTTCCGCAAGTTTATTGTTTTCTGTTTAGTATTAAATTTATATTTAAGATCCATTTATTACATCGGTGATCCGTTTATTTGGCAATCGCCAATGGCAGTCAGCAGGGTTTAAGAACATTTGTTGTTCGACCTGTTAGTCAAATGCGTTTTGTTAAAATATAATTTTTCACTTTTTTGGTCTTTTGGAAAATGTTGTTTGTGCTGTATTTAGACCCCTCTAACAAGAAATTTGTTTTGCATGCACACGTATAAAAATTGCGGTTTTTATCCAACGCAATCATAGGTTTGAACGTTGTTTTCAATTTAGACTTGTTTATATTTATTCGTTTGGGCTTGCATTATATTTGCCTTCGGGTTTATATGATCCGTTCATCCTATTTTGACTCCTCAAAATTCAAGAGTCTATCCTAAATTGAGGTAAATTGTATGGCTTTCCAAATACCGTTTCGATTCCTAACATCACTGAAGAGACATTAATTGTCGAAATTCGGATATGGTGTACAAAAAACCTTTGCACCTTTTGTTTGCGGTTTACCATCTTTTCCGCAAGTTTATTGTTTTCTGTTTAGTATTAAATTTATATTTAAGATCCATTTATTACATCGGTGATCCGTTTATTTGGCAATCGCCAATGGCAGTCAGCAGGGTTTAAAAACATTTGTTGTTCGACCTGTTAGTCAAATGCGTTTTGTTAAAATATACTTTTTCACTTTTTTGGTCTTTTGGAAAATGTTGTTTGTGCTGTATATATATATATATATATATATATATATATATATATATATACATAAAACATTTATGAAGGATGACAATCACTAGAAATACTAGAATACAGGGTCCTGTCTTGCTACAGGCAGATCCAGAATGTATTAACATCTCTTCAACCAGTTTCGTTGAATGACCTTGTTTATACACATACTGTTCATCCTACATCATTTAATTTTGATTTCGGCTTAAGGAAAGTTACTAAGTGTTATTCCGATCATATCACAAATGTTAATTTCAAACTAGAAAGGACATACTTTTCCAATAAATATAGACAGTTCATTTATTTAAAGAGGTTTTTTATGTTTAGGAATTTCGACATTAGAACTCAAATCCTACTCTGCATGTTATGGCATATTGTATGAAAACATTCTCCAACCATCATGTGCGACAGAAGAGAAAATGGCCGTCGTTGGTCTTTATGCATTGGCAAAGGAACTGAGTACACAATGTCCTATAGAGATAAGAACTCCGAATGCTGCACCAGACTCATGCTGTCAGTACAACTTGATCGACTGCTCTATACGCTACGAAAACTCCATATACAGAAACTATTATCAGCAATGTAACGGGAAAACAGGGTGCAGGATACAAGTATCGTGGGTAGTTACTACTTGTAATCAGACTGTTTATCTGGACAGGACCAACTATATGAAGATGGATTACTACTGTGTTTCTGGTATGTCTAAAAATGACTGATCTTAATGTTTTTTATTTGCCTTTACAAATGTTTCAAGTGTAACTATTATACAACACAAATGATCGTTTACATCTATAGTAATTACATAATATGATAATATAAATTGCAATATTATACCAATATTCGCAGTAAATACACACTTCCGAATTAAATAAAATATAGCAACTTTAGTTGACATTATGCCAAATCAAGTATTTTACTTTAAAGTATGTTTATTTGACAGCTAAAAAGTAAAATAACAAAAATTCCGAACTCCAACGAAAATTCAAATCGGAAAGTCTCTTATCAAATGGCAAAATCAAAAGCCCAAACACATCAAACGAATGGAAAACAACTGTCATATTCCTGACTTGGTACAGCTATTTCCTTATATAGAAAATGGTGGTAGTATTGTGAAAATAATTGTAAATTTTTGGATCTCGTTCCATATAGTTGTATGAATTTCAAGATTATATATACGTCACCTTTTGTAGCGTTGATCCATTCATGTTACGCGCAGTTTGTGGTGTCCTGTGCTGTCGTTAATAGATGTCCGTTGTTATTATGTGGTTTACATGTTGTAATGTACTGTTATATTATTTATTTATGCATTTCTCTGTGCTAAGTATTCTTGCGTTTGTTTGTACTGTATTCCTGTCACGTAATTTTGTCATTTTAGCGATGTTTTTTTAACATTGCCATATAAGCGGGAGGTTTGGCTAGCCATACAACCAGGTTCAACCCACCATTTTTTCTTAAAAATATCCTGTACCAAGTCAGGAATATGGCAGTTGTTATCAAATAGTCCGTTTCTATGTATGTTGGCGTTTTTTTTTTTTTTTGCAGTTCAGTGTTTATGTTGTTCCGTTGTTTTCCTCTTATAGTTTATGTGTTTCTCTAGGTTTTAGTTTGTAACCTGGATTTGTTTTCTCTTAATCGATTTATGATTTTTGAACAGGGGTATAATACTGTTGCCTTTATTTAAACCTTGTTTTATAGCTAGCTAAACCTCTCACATGTATGATATTTGCATAAAATTCCATTATATTGACAACAATGTGGGAACAAAACAAACAGACATAATAGGTAAAATGTCAAAAATAGGTGTACAGCTGTCAACACTGTGTTATAATCTTAATCGCTATAAAAACAAACAAATATGTCGACAAAGAAAAACAAAATGGCATATAGACAAAGCACACAAGCGGAAATGAAAGACAAGAATACAAAAAATGACCACAGCACAACAACACATTGGCGGGATGCACAAGTACCGAGCCACGCCAAAAGGAAACCACCAAAAATGGACCTAACAGCAACTGTCAATAATAACAAAGACAAACAAAATAACATTATAACACGAAATTAAGATGATTAACAACGTCAGTACCTAAAATTTATACTTCATTTTTGGGCCCTTTTTAGCTTGCTGTTCGGAGTGAGCCAAGGCTCCGTGTTGAAGGCCGTACTTTGACTTATAATTGTTAACTTTTTATACATTATGACTTGGATGGAGAGTTGTCTCATTGGCACTCATACCGCATCTTCTTATATATTCAAGTCCATCATGTAATTTGTGAAGTTGATATGGAATATTTATCAACAAGGTCTTGGTATCTTCCGATGAACTTTTTTAGAAAAAGGACGAGACGTTCTTTGACATAACCCTGGTTCATCAACTTTCTGCTCAGACACCGGTGACGTTTCATTAAGTCTGGGTAGCAAAAGAGGGACGAAAGATACCAGAGGGACAGTCACACTCATAGATCGAAAACAAACTGACAACGCCATGGCCAAAAATAAAAAGAAAAACAGACAAATAATACAGATGACACAACATAGAAAACTAAAGACTAAGCAACACGAACCCCACCAAAAACTGGGGGTGATCTCAGGTGCTCCGGAAGGGTAAGCAGATCCTGCTCCACATGTGGCACCCGTCGTGTTGCTTATGTTATTACAAATCCGGTAAATAGTCTAATTCGGTAGGTCACATTCGTGAAAAGGGAAGGGTATTGTAGTTACGACATAAGGAACATATCCGATATCATCATGGTTATTCCATAACGGTCAACCAACTCGTGCAGCCGCAAGCTCTTGATTGCCGAATGAGTTGGAAAGTTTATATCCCATATGCAGGTGAAGTTGGTATATTGCTACTAACATTTTACTAAGGTCAAGGAAATTGATAATTTCAAAACTCGTTTGTCATAGACTCTGGTACTGAGATGACCGCTTCGAATTTGCCATATTCGAGGTATGAGGTATAAATTTAAAAATGAGTCTAACTTTCTTTTCACCTCTTGTCGTCGTCCTCTACGATCGTAATCATTCACACAAAAAGACAAACAGAGGCGACCTAATATCCGTCTTTTCTAATCTTAATTATACTGTTTCTGCATGGTATATATTTATTTTAACTGACCATTTCAAATATTTTAGTGATATTGTGTTTTTTTACCTTTCAGATCAAGCTCTAGATCCTTGTTCAAGTTTTAACACAAGAGACAACAGAGTTTTTCTCTGGAACCCTGGATATCCATCGACCCCTCTTACAGGATCCTCAACATGCACATGCTCAGTTGAAGCTTCATGTAACACTACTGTAAGATTAACAGCAATAGATCTTAGATTTCGTAGCAGTACAACTTGTAACCAAAGTATAACAATAACAGACGGAAATACATCAACAATGTTTGATTGTAGTGATAATAATGATAACCTACCCACAACACTGTATGACAGTATGTCTCACTTCATACAGATACAGATTGCTGATAACTTAGGTTCAGCAGATGGATATTTTTTCCTCTTACTTGAAGGTAATTTGCTTATTGATATCAATGTTGTATTTTTAAAAAAATATTTCGAATACGTACTTGATAAATGATTGAAACTTAGCGATCCAGTCACAAAACAAACTCGACCACAAACAATTAAACAAAATTGTTTTGGAGTCCATTCGTATGAAATGCCCAATTCCTGCACTATTTCCTGCTACATTATGGTAACATGATTATTTTTTCTTTCTCCAGGAACTTCGTTTGGTGCAGAATTAACATTATCTTGTGCCAGTACAGCCCAAGCTACACCTACTGTACCCTCCGCTAGTTTGCTTGATTGCCCAAGTCCCGATATCACAACAGAAATCAAAACAACACAAGCTGCCACCACTACACCTTACATTAGTTCAGAAGCTCCAACTTCATCTTTTCAAAGTACAAATATAGAATCAATGACAACTCCTACTGTTGTCACAACAGAAAGCACAACAACACCACCTGTCACTTCTACAGAAACTTACATTAGTTCAAAAGCTCATATTCCATCTATGCAAAGCGCCAATGTAGAATCAATGACAATTCCAACTGTTGTTGCTACAACCAACTCAACACCTTCTGTCATTAAAGATGTATATACGACTAGCGATATACCACATACTATTGGTACCAACACAGACCTTACGATTACTATGAAAAGTGAAGTAACACTAACAAAAACCAATGAAGTAAAAGCAACTGCAAAAACAATTACAGAATTAAATTCAACAACAAATAATGAAATCACAATACCAAGTGGCAACACAACAAAAAGGTCAACAGCTGGGATGTCAAATTCAACAGAAATAAACAATTCACAAACTACTACGGCAGCAGTGACTTATACATCAACAGAACCAGTCTTTGTTTCTCTTGGATGGACATCAACACTACAAAACATCACTGTAACAAGAACTTTTACTCCAATATCCTCAGACAGTGATAATTCTCAAAAGACACCTTCAACTGTAATTGAGCAAACAACATTCACAAATGCAACAGTTTCAGTTGACACATCTTCGCCAAATAGAATCCGTCGTAAGTAATCATGGTGAACTTGCACGTTTTAATTGCTTCTTTATATTTTTCCTTCAGTTTTACTTTTGAAAATTGTCTTTATATTCCTAATTCTTTTACTTAGAGATCGTTTTTCTTTTCTTAAGAAATGACACTCGTGACAATTCTATGTTAGGGACTTATCATTTTTTACCATGGAGAGGGGGGGGGGGGGGCTGGTCATTTTGAAATCATAAATACAAAATTTCTTGACCCCCCCCCCATAATATTTCACTATTTTTATTTGATCCTCCCTGTAAAACCATTTAAAAAATGTGATCCCCCCTCTATTAAACATGCCAAAATTTTAACATGCAAATCACTAACTAAGTATCATGTTATTTCATGGAAATATTGAAAATGAAATATTCTCAGTGGATTGAGTCCCAAAACTTATTTGAGGGAAAATTGCCTTGAAATAGGGCTCTCCCATGAGGCCTCTTCCATGAATATTAGTAGGTAGAGCAAGCTAGTGCTTTGAGTAGCTTTTTCTGATTTTTTTTCTAATTTCCTATATTGGGCTATTAAAGAAAACTTGATTCTGAGTAACTCTGTAAAAAATATACATTAAAAAGTAAAATTTTTGAAACAGTAACAACACATTATGTATATGTCCCTCTCTTGAACGCTGTTTAAACTTAAGTTTTACGTATGGCCTTATTGAAACCTCCATTGAGTCGCTAAACTTTTATATGGATAGTTCATGCTTTCAGCTTGAACAATTCAATTACTCATTTATTGTCACAGTTCATTCATAAATGTGTGATAGTAACCTCAAATTGAGTGAGAGGTATAAATGGACCCAAAGGGCTCTTGTAATGAAAACAAAAAGATACATTGGCAATAATGCTTGTTAATTTAGTGATCGACGTGAGTAAAATATAACAACTAAATTATTCGGATTATGAAGCACCTATGCATTTTATATAGGACAACATGACACAAAATGGCAGCTTCCTACATCACCAAAGTCTTGTGATGTCTTACTTAATTGTATATGAATGGTGTTAAAAATATATTTCAATTTGACTGCTGTAATGTTCTTCTTGACATTTTGTCTCTTGAAGTATGTGAACTACTTATTTCCAAGTGCAAAAAATATTGATCCCCCCACTTTGAATTTATAAAAAAAATTGAACCCCCCTTGTCCACATACAGAAAAAAACTTGATCCCCCCCTGCATTTTGACCAGCCCCCCTCCCAGATAAAAAATGATAAGTCCCTTATTTGACTGGTTACTCAATATAAAAACAAAGAGATGTGGTATGAATGCCAATGGGACAGCTATCCTCAAAAATGAAATGGCTTAACTCAATAGATTGATACGAAACACAAAACCAATCAACAAACAAAAACAAAAGACAAATAGTACCGATCTAAGAATACTCTCACTACTGAAAGCTAGTTCAGAGCCAATTACAACTAATGTTCTCCTAGACTATGTCTATTTACAAACAAAACTTTCTGTTAATAAAATGCAGTATTTTACAATTTAATAAAAAGACTTTCAACTATTCAGAACCTTTTTAATTAAAGAAATCCTGTACAATCGGCTGTAATCACAAGTCTTAACTTTGCAGGAAATCATGTCTGATTAACATAAAACTACTTAGAACGTGGTAATAGAACTTTTTCGAAAATAAAAGTCGTGTTTTTAAAGATGCATTTTCATAAAGTTACCCAGCATGTCTTAAATTCAAGTGGTTTTAAAATTGTCGCAGGTAGTTTTTTAATCGTTGTTCATGAACCTTTACTTATACCTGGATGATAATGTTTGTGTCATGTTGTTGTTTTGGAATTTTTACTTAAAACGTCAATTGCTTCTCCTCTCTCATATTGGGTAACATTTTTATCTTTGAGTCATCTTACACTGCCACTATCTTCATACCGAATTAATAATTGTATACAATTTAGAAACAGCAATCAGGTAGACCATTTCTAAAATGCGAAAGAGTTAAATGATCCTCGTTTATAACAGTGAAATTCCTATACTCCAAATATTGTACTTGTCATAGTATTCAGGACGGGTCAGCTAAAACCGTTTCAATTTTATCTCTTTTGTTTTAATTTCAGCTTTGATCATTGGATTTTCCGTTGCAGTAATTATGATATGTATCTTGGTTATGTTGTTTGTCCTCTATAGATATAAAAGAAAAGGAAAGTGTTGTAAGGTAGGTATGAAAAATCTAGAGAAAGAAAGAGAAGAGACCGAGGAGTAATAAACAAAAATCATAAGAAATAAAAACATACGAAAACATCGTTGCCAAAAAGAAAAGACATAAAAAATAATTGGAAACTATACCTGAGCAAAACGAGTCGCACAAAATTGGGCCTTGAATAAGTTGCAATAGAAAGGTCAACAGTTTCTGCTCAACTATTGACGCCCGCCCTGTTTAAATACGTTGATGGGTCATATCCAGTGGTTATGTATTATAATAGTGGATTGTTGAATCTGCTACTTATGTAATCCTTAGATAACATCGACTTGTAGAATTCATAAACCATAGACACAAATAAATTCCCTTACCGCAAACTTGACAGAATGTGAAAGATTAAAATCAAAACACAGATTTTAGAACAACGGATAGACAAGACTGTCACCGGTAGAAACAACACAGACATTTAAAAATAAAGAAGGATAAAATAGAATACCGAAAAGTGAAGCCCAAAAAATAATTATAATAAAAAAAAAGAATATGTTCATTGTTAAAAGCATAATGATGACATATACTTGCTTACATCTACGTCATTGGCTGTTTGGAGGATGGTTGTCTCATTGGCAATCATACTACATCTTCTTATATTAATACAAATAATACGAACACTATCTAGGAAGAAAAAACAAGACAATAACTAAACTATATTCGCGTATAATAATGTAACATTTTTTTAAAGTCTTACTTGAAACGATTTATTCCACAGATAATTCCATTCAAAAGACTATTTCTTTAACATTAGTTTTTAATCGCAACTCATCATAGCACAATGACATGAGTGTGTAGGTAAAGGTAACATCTTCTGTAGCACTCTACCCCCCTAAAATACACATCATAATCAAAGATAATGATATCCTTACATATATAGTAAGGATATGAAAAGGTTTTTTTAAAAGGTTAAATCAGAATGTTATATAGAATTACACATGTAAACAATCTAGCCATCAATGAACAGAGGTAACTGATTGAAATGAAATTGACAAATCAAACACACCTGAAACAACATGAAAACATATTTTTGAACTAACTTGTAAAATTGATTTCATAATATGTATATATTGTTCCTACTTTTGATTGGTTCCCAGCTTAACTATAGACTCCACCCAAAAGAAAGTTAATGATTTCATGGTTAATCTAGCAAGCTTATCAATGATACCACCTTTACTTACACACTTAAAAAAGTTATCAAAGGTACCAGGATTATAATTTAATACGCCAGACGCGCGTTTCGTCTACATACGACTCATCAGTGACGCTCAGATCAAAATAGTTATAAAGCCAAACAAGTACAAAGTTGAAGAGCATTGAGGACCCAAAATTCCAAAAAGTTGTTGCCAAATACGGCTAAGGTAATCTATTCCTTGGATAAGAAAATCCTTAGTTTTCGAAAAAATCAAAGTTTTGTAAACAGAAAATTTATAAAAATTTAAGTGAATGTGCTGTAATTTTAGTGACAAAGCTTGCGTTAAAAGTGTTACTAATAAATATAGCATGTTAAATTTATTTAGGTATATTTAGTAAGCATTGTACGTTCTTTTCAATGTTAATTGGTGAAAGTTGTCAGTTATGAAATAAATCTAGTCATAGAAACTCAACACAATCTAACTAAACATAATCTATGTTATTACGTAAGGTCGCGGATTCAATCCCCAACCTGGTCAAACCAAAGACTTGCCAATTTGAATTTGCTGCTTCTTGCAAAGAACGGTCGGCTCGGAGTCAAAATAATGTGTCCGGGTAGGGTAGCATGTCCTGCTGACTTTAACCTTGTTAACTAGCATATTAGAAATCCGTCTCAGTGTTTAGGTTAAGTATAACGTAGGATTCATCCTCGTAACATATTAACATTTTTTCGGCCCGTTATGCGTGTGACATTTGCTTCTAGACGCTAAACACCAATTCTTCACATCGTCTTCTATTTTATCTTATAATTATTGTATGAAAGACCTTTCAATAAATCTGAATATGAATTATTCGGTTATTGTTGTAACAGTTCCCTCTGTTACAAAAAGTTACAAAACATCATCAAATCACTTATTGGACTTGCGAAGAAAAGGATAAAACATTATTTTTCTATTGAATAAAAATCAGTTTACGAATTGGCCATCACATCTTCCTTTTGATTAAATTGACATTTATATTCAAGTTTTAATTATACTTTTATTGTTAAATACTTGCAATTTAATTTTGAGGGTTAATTTATTCAAATACATTTTGAAATATCCTTTCTTTCTCCGTTCTGTGTTGCAATATTAAGTAAGGTCGAATCAGAAAACCAACGTTTTATATTTTTTACTTATTAGTTTTCTAGAAGAACCAATGAAGACAGTTGTAGAGTATACCAAATGACGACAATTTAAACATTAAAATGAACCTAAACCTCTTCAAATAGCGCCATTAATGCGCTACTTATTAGTCTCCAACATCAACAAACTTGTATGAGTAGAACCATACAAAGAACATTGAAAATTCAGAAAACAATTCTTGATTGGATAATACTGAAAAATTTAAGCTACAACATCAAGGAGCATGTTGATAAAGATACAAAACACCAGAAGAAGAGGAAGCAAAAGAAATGATCAAAGACAATGACGGAGAGTGAACTGGAAGCCAAAGCCAATATTTTCAAACTATAGGTAAATCGAGGCAATGTATCAATTCTTTTAGATTATATATATTTAAAAAAAAGCACTTTATTTCAAATTTTTAATAAATTTCAATAAAAAATTTCAATATTTCAATATCAAAATATGATGCTTAACGTTTATGTGTTTGACTTTGACTTTTAGAATTTATTCATTGTGTTGATTTTGAATCCAATGATCATTTGTCTTAGAGAAAAATGTCCAAACCAGTTACTTAAAATATGTTTAAAAGGAGATGTGGAATCTACAAATATCCAAATCAAGATAATAAAAAAAGCAAGTCTCCATTTCAATGTTGTTGTTCTATTAATTATTTCGACTTCATCTAAATTTTCACCTATTTTTATGCGCAAATTCTGTTAATAGACACATGAAATAAATAATTTTCATAGATTTTCTGGTGTAATATAAAATTCGTAAAGAGTTCCGTGGAAGCCTGTGTCTCGCCTGGGATTCCTTTAAAAGTGTAAAAGTGTAATGTTGACTATAAAAAGTTATCTATTGATCAGTGAAATACAGATTTAAGAATAATAAACTTTATCTTGAAGATAAGCTTATTTCCAAGTTTCATAACATGAAGGTTTACAAATTTATCATGTAAAAACAGAGCGTCTGTTAATTATCAAAAAAATAAGTCAGTAAAATACTGAAAAATAAAAAAAAAAATGTTTTTTTTTAAATTATCTCTTTTAAAATCATTAAAAAGCTTCTGCCAAATGTTCATAAAATTCCATGAAAGTTTGACAAAGTAATTGATGTGTAAAAAACTTTAACCTCAAAATGTATCTACTTATCAACTACAAAACAACAAAGTCCTTTTATTAGTAAAATACGGAAAATAAAAAAATATATATTTTCATTATGCTCTGGATACTGACTTTTGATCATAAAAAGTTTGTGTCCAACTTAGGTAAAATTTCATGAAGGTTTGCCAAAGTAATTGATGTCTGAAAAAAACTTTAACCTTTTACGGCATCTAAATATTAACTGTAAACAAAAACTAAGTCCATTTAGTTGACCGTGCGAGACCCTCATTGGTAGTCAAGGTCGTTAAACACCCCCTAGTAGTAAAATATCGTTGCCATAACACTAGTGGTTCCCCATAAACAAACTTATCACAAACTAATGCATGTAAACCAAGCAAAAATTTCAAAGTCAATAGACCATGACTGAGGGGGCGGGGCTAAATAATCTTCATGGAAATGAGATGTCCTAATGCTAATACAACTGCATACCAAATATTATTTGCCTACCACTAGTGGTTCCTCATAAAGTGACCTAATTACAAACTAATACATTGTTGACGCCGCCGCCGACAACGACGCAAGAAACAACATACCTATGTCTCACTTTTTGACTCCGTCAAGGCGAGACAAAAATCAAAAGAAGTATTCATAAAATTTTGCTCTGAATACTGTCTTAAATTTGGTCATAAAAGCTTCTGTCCAACTTCCGTAAAAATTCCATGAATGTCTGACAAAGTTATGATTAAATCAAAAATAACTTTAACAACTGACTGAACCTAAATGTTGACGACGCCGACGGAATCTAGGAACGCTAAGCCACGGTCTCGTTTTCGCAACATAAATGTCGCAGGCTCGTCATAAATGCAAACCACATATCGAATGAATTGCTTTAAACAATAGGATACTGAGTAGAATTCACAGTAGATTCAGAATTTGACAGAAAATGAACAAATATGTAAATGATACCATTCCATTAAAAAGTTAATTTCGTGATTTTTAAAGTTTATTATTGAAGAAAGAATAACAAGGCTCGTGTGGTTTAAGCTTTTTTTTTTATTTGTTTAGATTAAATAATTTTTTCTCCTAAATTCATGTGTACGCACGGGCGTTTTGACGTAAACGTAGCTATGTGCCTGTACATTCAACAAATTGTGAAATAGAGGTATATGTATAAAACATCCAATAAAATGAATTAATTCATTTTTTGCGATTTTTTTAAATTCTGTACATAAAATTTTCATCAGAACTATTATTACTGTGAATCAATGCTGCAAGTATTAAACTCAGAATGCTTTTGTTTTATATTAGTAGTTTAATCTTGTCAATTTTAATGTAATTTTTCGAAAAAACATATATGTTCATCTTACTTTTTATACAAGTTACAACCCTACGCATTTTCTTTTTGTATTTTGTAGAATATGTGTTAACATACACACAAAGAGGCGGATAACACATAAATGAGCATCAAAAATACAAATTCTAAGAGGTACAAACAAAATCATGTTGACCCTCTCCCACCTCCAATAAAAGAACGAAAAACAAATAACAATCTCAATCTTATAGTTCAAAAGAAAACATAAATAAATAAAAACTGAGGACACGAAAAACCCTGTGGTATATCAGGGTTCCGGACCGGAATTTGGGTACATTTACAGATTTGTCTGCATCTACAAAAGGCAGTAATCAATTGCACTATTTGAAAATAACATTTGAAACATATAAAGATTCCATTAGTTATTGATGTCAATAAATAAAAGCTACATCAATACATAACTCATATCACATGCCGGATCATTTTATGTGTCTTAGAAATACAAAATTTCAAAAGGTAATAAAAAAATGTTGAAATAACAGTGAATCACGCAGAGTATTCTCCAATTAAGAATTCCATCAATAATGTTGCAGAATAAAATTACAAGACTATTTTACACAGTTTTTTGTTTGTTTCATGCCTCTTTTAAAACTAAGTTTGAATAAGTTTAAATTGCTCCCTTAGCTATAGTATTCACACATAAAAACAATAATAAGATGTACTATCATTGACAGTAAGAACACTTATCTTCACCAAAGACACCAGGATAAAGATGTTATGAACATTCATGACATATTTTCCACTAGACGTTTACCCCCCCCCCCCCCCCCCCCCACACACACACACAATCAATCAAAGATGTAAACAACAATAATATGTCACCATATGGCTTCTGGAGTTATTTGGACGAAAGTGAAAATATTTATAGTGTGCATTTGTAATTAAAATATTTTGTAATATGAATAGTAATTTTTCTTTTGAATATCGAGGTAGCTCACTGCTGTTTTTTTTAAATAATTGTGCATTAACAGGACGCTTTTTATGTTATTCCGCTATCCGCACTTTACACATGTATTCTCCATACCAAACTTAAAAACAAATTGAAAGAGTTGGTCTGGCTTTGTTTCATAAAAACGAATGGCCAACGTAGATACAAGTATCTTATCTTAGGGAGGGATAACACTTAGTTTTTTTTTTATAAAAATCACTTTGATTCAAATAATTATTTGATTTCTTGATAGCTAAAAGGCAAATTAAAAAATTCACCATTTTTTGTTGTTGTTGTCTTATTGTGTGGTTGCCATGAAAAAATAAATTTCTCCAATTTTAGTATATGTACAATCAATTGATGATTTTAAGGATACAAAATTAAAGAGAATATTGATAAATAATAAAAGAATTCTGTCAGCAGTATAAAGATTTAAGGTTTGAATGATTTTTTAAAAATTAAAATATGAAAATCAGCTGTTGACCCTGTTCAAATAGAGACAACTCTTCTTAAACTGGTCACACAAAATGGTCCAATGGCTCTAGCAAAACAGTTTTCGACGATTCTTCTACCATAAACTTCTATTAAAACATAGCACTGTATTTTACCTTATCTGCATTTTTGTTGATTGTACTATGTACGGTAATTGAGGGGATTAAGATGGGTGTTCCATCAAAGGATTGATGCCACTGAACTTTTCTGTAGCAAATGTAACTTTTTACCCTACATAACTAAAATTCATAGAATTAAATTATTTGAAATAAAATAATATTATCTGATGGTAATTGACAGTTTTAAATATCACATTCAAATTTACCAAGTTTGATCTTAATGGAATTTCCTTCAATTGAACTCAGGTTATGTTAAATATATACACATTCAAAATTCAAGTAAATAATACAAGTCTTATTTTTAAGAAATACAATTTTAACATTTTAATATAGATTGTATAAAGGAAAACCTTTCTTTGGAATATAAAAGATAAACTTATCAATAAAAATTGGTAACATTTTATTTTATTATTGAAAGGTAAAATTCAAAAACTGAAAAAAAAACTGAACATGTTTGGGTTAGTAGTTATCAAAGGTACCAGGATTATAATTTTATACGCCGACGCGCGTTTCGTCTACATAAGACTCATCAGTGACGCTCAGATCAAAATAGTTATAAAGCCAAACAAGTACAAAGTTGAAGAGCATTGAGGACCCAAAATTCCAAAAAGTTGTGCCAAATACGGCTAAGGTAATCTATGCCTGGGATAAGAAAATCCTTAGTTTTTTGAAAAATTCATAGTTTTGTAAACAGAAAATTTATAAAAATGACCATATAATTGATATTCATGTCATCATCGAAGTGCTGACTACTGGGCTGGTGATACCCTCGGGGACGAAACGTCCACCAGCAGTGGCATCGACCCAGTGGTGTAAATAGTAATCAAAGGTTCATACCTCAGGTTATTGATGTATCAAATTGGATAATACACTCACAAGCTGAATAAAAGTCTTTTTTAGTGCATCGTCTCAGTTCACACACCAATAACCTCTAGAAATGTGTTTAAATTTATAAAGATTTTACGTGAAGCATATTTTCACAATTTTCATTTAATTGAGAAATTAACGAAAATGGCCCTCTTGCGAAAATTATAATTTACTAGTATTTTAGAATTCAGGATATTTTAGGAAAAGAAATACCCAGAAGAGGATCCGTATAAACATACCCTGGCACTTCATCTACAATATCTCTTTTGTATATTGGAGATCTGTCTGCTCCCTCTAAAAATGGTTTGTTATCTTTTTCAAGATCTGTGTTTTTTTCTGGTAGCTTGTTGGACAAGGTGTTCTAAACTAAAGAATACATAAACCTGAATTACAATGTACAAAAAAGTTCAATACTGCTGTACTATGATCATAATCAATATTTTATGAATATAAGTTATATCAAGTGAAGAATTAATTGCATATTCATTTTTTTCTGTTTTTTGCCATAATGGCGTTGTCAGTTTGTTTTAGACCTATGAGTTTCAATATCCCTTTGGTATCTTCCGCCTCTCTTTTTCAGGTTAATGACAGGTTATTGAGAAGTATATATATGAACTCTGCTTTGTACTTAGTCAAAAGCAACAAGCTTTTGGGGGATTTTTAATGTAATAGTTCAAAAGGTAATTAAAGTCTACACGAAGACATGTTATCCTACCCAATCACCTCATTATGATGCCTAGCTGACCAGTCTTTGCTGATTTTCCTCAATGTTGTATGTTTTATAGCGGACAAAGGAAGTAACAATAATCAATTTTCAACCGGACCCAGGATCCAACCCACACTTGAGACAGGCACTCCACAACAAGACCACCAATGCTGCTAAAGAAGATTAAAAGCAGACCTAAAAATCTTTGATCTAATTACACAAACGTTAGAGTGCAAAAATATAATACTGCTTATCGGTTATGACATGGGAAGTATATATTCAGTTGAACTGCATAGCCAAAAACAGAACCTATTCTGATCAATGTTTACTCTTAATTGTTTAAGTGTTACCATCAAAGAACCAATTTGCTTCCAGATATGCAGTGTTTTATCCAGTTTATGATCGCTCATATAAATCAATCATTGGTTTTCAAAGGTATTTCTTTGCAGGCATTTTAACCAAATCACCACATAATCTCTCTGTATCCTAGGTTCTGTATTAGCTCCCATTGAAAAACCTTTGTTGCGTAAAAAAATTGGTTTTCTGCAATAAAAGTGGATTTAAAAGGTAGCTACGAATTTGACAATATAAGCTGAAATATATAACGTATTTGTGTGTGTGTGTGTTTTTTTTTATTGGGGGGGGGGGGGGATGAGCTGGGACTTAAACATTTACAAGGAAGGAAATTTACAGAATATAATAACAAAACTGTATTATATTGCAATCATTTTGGATAAGATATTTCGTTAAATAATTTCAAAAACATTGATGCTACATTATTGAGTTGCAAGACAATAATTTGAGACCTCATTTAGTTCCATATATATGCATACAACCTTTAACTTGACCGTTGTTGGAAATGATTAACTGCGTGTGCTCAGCAAGATGAGTTATTTAAAACAGCGTCAGCTGTAAAAGTAAACATAAAGGTCAAACTGGTAGATCAATTTCGTATAGAAAATAAATAATTGTCATACGGGTAAGAGTCGAATAAAATATTTTTTGCCTTACGTTCGTTCATTTAATAATAACTAAGGATGCAGGATGGTAGCAGGGACCCTTAGCGTTTGCAATGAACCATAGTGTGTTTTTTCTGACCTTTTAGGTTCGGGTATCGTATTTTCTTTTTCATGAAGGGGCTACTAACTTTCCGAAAGGCCTGGAAAATTTGCCGAGGCCTTTGCGATTCTATTGGTACCTCAGTCATACCTATATATTGATGGCCTGTCATATTTCGAAAAGGACCAAACAATAATTTGCCTTTGCGAGTAAGAAGAAGATGTCTTTAAAATGTCCTATCAACGGACAAAACACTCTGACTCGCATGTAGGATTTGGACCATATGACTGTCATAACCCTCGGACTAGCAAATGAACCATTCACAAGGGGATATAGTTTATATGTCGCTATTTAAACATAGTGAATACTTTTTGAATGTTGTGAAACAAAAGATAAAAAAATCTTATCATGTATTATCTATTTTATTATGATCAAAGTAATATTAGTAAAGTTTAATTGTAAACTTTCATGTACTCGCGAGAAGTAATTTTAAAAATACATTTAATTCAATTTGGTTGTAAACGCAATGGAACTGATTGGCGTTATATTTAAATGTCGGTCACAGAAACCGGTTTATTATAGTATATTTGATATGTGATGTACAATTCACTGAATGAACATTCCATAGTAAGTGTGTATCTAATGTTTATAGAACCGCTATGGTATTAGTATTTGTTTAAACCATTAAAATCGTCTGTGATATAATATGTGCATAAGGTATTCTATGTTATATTGAACTATTATTAATGTTTATAATTTTATTATTTCAGAGTTTATATTCTCTGGTAATAAACCATCCGAACTCTAGAAAGTCTCCTTTGTTATTTATATTCGAAGAAAGAGACCCCTTTCTCATTTGGTAACGATTCAGGCAGGTTGCAGGGACCCTAAGCCACCGTTTGAGATATTATATACCCATATGGCATGCCTGGTTGGTGTGGGGGATAATTTACCCCTTATAGGTTATTGCCTATAGGGTGATTTTCTGGCCTTTGC